GGCGATACGCTTAGTCATGAAAGTTCGGTTGAGATCGAATCCTTATTAGCCAGCGACCTGGGCATATCGATGATGGTTGCTGCGCTTCCGTGGTTATGCAAACCGTTCATCTCACAGCCAGGGGAACAAGGATAGATGTGTGGAACTAAAGGCAGTTGCTGATTAGCTGCGAAGAATTGGTTCCGATGCCGCTTCGAAAACCATTCCGAACAAAGGATAGTTTACGGTTAAAGTTGATGCCTTAAGGCTCAAACGCCGAGACGCTGGGTTTTCCCCAGACTTCGCTTCCAGCAGCGCACCATATCGGCACAGAGCGACGGTTGCTATCTGCATGGTCTGGGGAGATTAGGTTAATGGCATGCCATCTCGACGGTCTCACACCAAATCCCATCACGGCTGTGCCCAGTGCAAACATCGTCGGATAAAATGCGACGAGTTTCGACCTATTTGCAGCTCGTGCCATAAGAAGCACATCAGATGCTCATTCGAGGGCGAATTCACCCCCCAAACATTGCATCACGGCTTTGCTGCCTCTAGTACCCGTGTCGATCTCATTCCGAGAAACGACAGCTTTCAACTCCCACTGCTGGACTTGGAGCTCTTGAACCACTGGCACGTGGCGACCGTGCGGACACTGGTACACGACAAATCCACAGAGAAGGTTTTGCGGGAATTTGTCCCACAGGAGGCTCTATCGCATCTGTTCTTAATGCACAGTCTATTGGCTTTATCTGCACTTCACCTGAGTCACCATGGCCCTGTCGACAGAAGACACAAGTACACTGAGGCCGCCATGACACACAACAACCATTCGCTATCTTTGTGTAAGCCTCTTCTAAACAATGTGACTTCGGGAAACTGTCATGCTTTGTTCGCGTTTGCATGTTTCGTCGTCATGTTTTCGTTTGCTGCGCACGGACCAAAGGTCGACCCGGGAGCTCAGCATCTGTCAGCTGTTCTTGAGGTCTTCATGCTAATTCGGGGAGTGGCTTCAATAGTGGGACAGGCTCGCCCATGGATTGAAGCAGGCGGTATGAGAGATTTACTAAATCTCGGCGAGCAGCCGCGTGAAGAATCGAACACCGCGCATGCGCGGGAACTGTATGCTCGCATATCGGACATATATGACAATCTGAAACGACCTTCTCGTCCGGGATGTTACGATAGCGAGAGCCTAGTGATTGAAGAGTCCATTCAGAAATTCCTTGATCTGCTGCAACAGGCAATCGGTGTAGCAAACCCTGCTCCTTCCATTATGATGAGATGGCCTGCCGTGATAAATGCGAAGTATTTGGATTTGTTACAGGCAAATCATCCCACAGCACTGGTGGTACTTGCTCATTATGGTGTTGCACTTGAGCTGATGGCTGAGAATTGGTGGTTGGATGGATGGGGTGCGTTTTTGGTGAATACCGCTTTGTATCGTTCGGGACCAGCTCCTGGGCCAGAGCTCGTATGGGCTTGGAAAGCTATAAAGCGGAAGTCATAACGCCCAGTCGTCCAGTCCATCTTCATAGGAAGATGGGATCGAGGTTTCTTGCACGGTCGCATTATATGGAACCAGACTGTCTATCTTCTCAAAAGCACCTGTTCGTCAGATATCAAATGAGGTCCACTATTTGAGAGGTTGCATAATACTCATAGCTCCAGAGTTCTCCAATGGACACCAATCACATATGCCCAAGCGCCAGGGAAACGACATGGGGCATGCTTTCGAAAAGACTCTGCCGCATCTATATGTGCGAACTAGTATATCAGGCGTTAAGACCGAGAAGGGAGACAATGTTACTGGCGGCGTGGTCTTTCCTCCATTGGTATTCATGGAGTCGGTGGCTCAGTTTCACTCATTCATGACTCGGGGCTAGTTCGGGTTGAAGCTCAACATGGTCTCCAAATACGTCAACCATGTCCTAAGGGGCGTTTATAACTCAATCCCAGTCACCCGCTACTACACCGAATTCCCCTCCCCATTTCGAGAGGTACAGGGGAGCTTAAGGTGCATGTGATTCGAAGAAAAAAAAGTAGGTAAGGTGTAGATTAGCCTTCTTATATCAGGCAATTATTTATCGATTCTCAAAATTCAGGCTCTTCGTGATCTGAAAATACCTCGGCGTGGTCTGAACTCGACTTCAGCGTGGTTCTAAAGCAGAATATTAGACCACGCTCACCTTTTTTCAGACCACGATGAGCTGCGACCCGATGATGAGCTGCAAACAGAACTACATACTCTTCGTATAATTATGTTGCACAACTAAGTCAAGTCCATGCTGTGCTTTGCGAACCCAACATTACTGTATACCTTCTGCCCCCCACTCTCGTCTTGAGATAAATCAACGCGCAACCAACTCCACCATAAGAGGTGACTTCATCCACACAGCATAAGTCTCCTGATCCTCCCACTCACCCAGAGCCTCTCGTCCATTTGGTAATACGAAATCGAAGTGATAAATCAGGTATCCGATCACAAGCGACATCTCCAATCGTGCCAGATTCTGTCCAATACAGTCCCGCGGACCCTGCAAGAATGGTTGTATCGCGGAGCGCCGATCGTTTGCGAAGCGACCCTCTTCGGTGTTCAACCACCGTTCCAAGTGGAAATTGGTGGGGTCGGAAAAGTTTCGGGGGGATAGACCTGCAGCCCATGAGTTGTATGATACTTTGGTCTGTATGGTTGGTGCATTAGCTTTGTGTTTGAGGGGTTCTCAGAAGCATCATGGACACTTACGCCTCCAGGGAAGAATTCTCCACACACGGTATGTCCCCCACTGGGAATAAGTCTCGTAATTCCCAGCGGCACAGGCGCGGTTAGTCGGATACCCTCCTTGATGGCTGCATCCAAGATTGGTAGTTTCGACAGCTTGTTTGCATCCAAATCCTTCTCGTCGGAGAAACTACTCCGAACCTCTTCTGTCACCCTGGCTAGGGCTTCGGGTTTTTTCAGTAAATGGAACAGGATCCCCGTGAGGGAGGACTGGAGGGTATGGCTTCCTGCGAAGATAAAGGTACCCGCGTTAATTTCCATCTCGGGTTCTGTAAGCTCGTTCTTCGACTTGAGAAGGTATGAGAAGAAATCCGGTCGGTCTACTGCGGTATGTAAGCGCTTTTGGACCTTCTCATTGGTCATGGCCTGATGTCTTTCCACCATCAATTGGGCAGATTTTGGTAAGCTCTTAACCAGATAGTTAAAGAGCCATGGATAGAAGCGAAAAGCCGCAATCTGCACTTTGCCCTTCACGGAATTAACCACCATGCCGACCCATTCGTGGTAACTATCATTGTCAAGGCAGCCGAAATCTTCCCCGAAACTCAGTGAACAGATGATGTCGAATGTGCAGTAAGAGATCCATCGCTGGAGGTCAACTCTTTTCTTTGATGGGTCGGAGCTGTTTGCCCGCGACTTCAACTGGGCGATCATTTTAGAGACGTAAGAGGTTACCAGTGGCTTTTGGGCGTTCAAGGCCTGTGTACTAAACGCGGGGGCATATGCTTTCCGAATACGCGAGTGGTCTTCATCTTCCACATCCAGAATGTCACCGGGCTGCCCGGGTTGTGGAGGCTTTTGGCGGATCGGATCCTTGGGTAGCGCCTTGTAATGGGGGTTGGTGGGACGACGGCTGTAGATGTCTTTTATGCAGTCGGGGTCCAAGAATGACACCTCATCCGGAGCCACGCGGACAGTATCGCCATATATATCGTGGAATCTTTTGATGTCGTGAGCCAGCCGACCCGACCGAAAGGCGAGCATATAAGGGAGTCGCGTCAGCGCCCAGAGCCGTGGGCCATTGTAGCGGGAGAGAGGATGGAAGTAGAGCCGTTTTATCGCTAGCAGAACGGGCAGCTGGAATGGATTAGTTCATAATCATTAGTAGAGAGTTTTGAGGCCGAGAGAATATTGTACCAGCAGGACCGTTATAACGGTCGCGTAGACGGAGACGTTAAGCGCCATTGCGACGGATGCAGAGCTAGATGAATCATGATTATTGATGGGTGGGTGGGATCATTTAAATGCGGCTAATTGCTGCTAATCATCTGGTAACCTCCCATCTGTCAGCGGGGGCTAGATTGGGGGCCTTTTTTAATTGTCAAGAATGGGGGACAAGGCAATGCGACTGGGCAGCGTGTTCCAGGCTTCCAGCATGCATGAACAGCCTGATGCAGTGAGAGGCATCATCCACTGCACCTCGAATACTTATGTAGGACTAGTTGACTTTGGCATTTCAGATATGTGATCACTGATTGGATGCCGAGAGTACTGACTTACTAGTGCTTATGCTTACGTCTTGGTGGTCCGCATCTCACATCTCACATCTGGCTCCCACTAGCATTGTGAGATCTCACAGGTGTGCTCGCTTCGCCCCAGACTTTAATTATTGTCGATAAGCAAGCCGAGGTGGATTGAAGACAAAGTTCGAGTAGTTATGTCGTTTGCGTAAGAAGTTTCGCTATCATCACACCATCATTGCGTTGCTGCTAGCTCTTGAGTGCTTCCGGTCGGCATGTACAATACAAGGGTGATTGTTCGTCCCCGCACTTGATGTCCGATATCGCATCGCCACGAAGAATGAAGAGACTTGGTCAGGTATGCCTGATGTCAGATACGGGAATAAAGAGCTGCACTGGAGTATGAGGAGTTGTTGATTGACAGCGATCTGGTGACGACACATCTTAAGTAGATGACCTCGCGCTGTGCTCTCCATTGTCCTTGATTAATCGAGCTTTTCGGGTCGATATGGCAGTTAGCCATGTCTATGCTACTCTTTCGCGAAACTAACCAACTGGAAAATGCATGAGCGCGTCAATTATCAGGGTGCTGCGGCGATAGATACATCCGCTTTCCAGAATAGCCCCCGATAGATGGGGAAAAGGTCGAAGAGCATGCGAGACAATGCAAGTCACTGGCGTAGAACGTTATTTATCGCAGACTTGACTCGACTAGTTGCAGCTTGATTCTATCCAAAAAGCCAATCTATCTAATGAAGCCAAACATCACCCCATCCATCCTACTCCTTTTCGTGCACAGCCGCAACCATTGCCTTTCCACTAAGAAGATATCGAAGCAATCTGGTCAACGCACGTGTAGCCTCAAGCCAATATTCCTTGAGATATAGATTATACCCTCGCGTAAACTCCAATTCAAACTCCTCCTCATCCGAGTATCCATGTTGATATACCTTAGCAATCCGATCACGCGGAAAGAATCCCCGACATATATGAAGATAGGGTCCATGGAGACCCACAACAAAGACTTCCTGGCTCTGAACCCCGCCATGTGAACTATGCATTAGGTTCATCGTCAGATGTCCCAGCATAGTGCAGATTGTGTCCGTCAAAAGTTCATTCCAAGTTTGTCCCTTGTACCACTAAATTCCATTAGAAAAGCCACCTTTCCAAAAGGAGTAACCGTCAAACCTACCCCGGTAAAGGAGACTATCGGTATGAATTCACCCCGTGTCCCAACATGAACATTACCCTCCAATCGGGCAGCATATTGCAACCTCCCCACCACATATTTCACATCCCGTGGGAATGGTAAGGCATTAGAGATAAGTTACCATCATTCTAACTATACCCATCCATCCAATATAAAGTGTATGTATCAATTACCCAAGCCTCGGTGCTTCATCATCCAAATCCTCAAGTCTACGATAGATGCTTCGCATCAAGTCGCCAAAAACATGGCTCTGCGAGTGGAGGAATTGCGCATGAGTCGACCTGTCACCGACCCTCCAGCTTTTCCTAGGTAACGTGATGGTCTCGCTGGGTTTCAAAATATTCGTTATCCCCGTCTCCTTGCACAAGATCTCTGATATCATATTCCCATGTCCTTGCTCCTCTATATAGTCGACGAGTTGAGCGAACAAGGTCTTGAAGAGATGCTCTTCTTCCGGCCAGTTCTGTGTGCAGTCCCAATCCATGAGGTTTGATTGTTGGAAGACCCAGGGGATAAATTTTTGTACATCTTCATCTGATTCATGCGTTAGCAGAGCGTGTTTGGATTTTTTTCTCTCCAAAAAAAAAAAAAAAAAGAAAGTCTGCAGTAGATACCTTCGCGATCGCGGTCAACGACTCTATAGGTATTAGGCAGTCAAGCTCGACCACTTGCGAGTGGATGGTTATTGACATCTTTCAAAATGTAGGAAGCAGATCAGTAGGTTGTCAGTCAATATATTGATGATTCTGTGTAGGTTGTAGCGAGATAAGAGGCGTGCGATGACACCTCCTGAGCCAGCCTGAAGAGAAATCGTAGGTGAGGCAAGCTCTGATTCTAGATCGCGGTATTTCCCGGTCGTACAGACCACTAATTCTTTTAGACTGGTGTGTTTGTATTATATAATTCACTGAAATAATTATAATATCTGCTTATTGTGCTAAGGGGAAGGTTCGGAATGGTCCGTTATGTCATTGTAGTTCATTAGACTGTATGGTCGCATGTCATCATCGACACGAATTTTGCTAGATGTCAGAAGTGCCAGTGCCCAGCAAGATAGACATATTCTCCTTGACTATATAAAATTCGGAGCAGTAGTGTCAGTGAAGTGCGTAATGTCAGCGTACTAGATAATAGTTCACTACGTGTTTGTTATGAATATTCGTGTAGTATTATAACATAGTAGCTGTAATAAATCCATTATTCAGCCTAAATGGTGTTGTGAATTTGATAAATCAAAAAACTCTTTTCTGTACATATATAGAAGCAAGTGAAAATCCACATTTAGTATGGAGTTCCATCGCAAAGGCAATGACGATAAAGAATGGTACATATAGAGCATTTCTGTAAATGAGTAACAAAAACAAAAAACACATCTAAAGACTATTATGCCATCATAGAAAAGTCTTTATTTTCAGTATTTACGTTCTGGTTTCATACTCATATTCTGATGTCTGAAATGTGGATATAGATAGATAGATAGATCTAGAGTGTAAATATACTTAGTGTTTGGCACTAATTACTCCTTCAGCTAAGCATACACACTAAAAGAGGACTCATCACATTTACGTTAGTATTGGGTGGTTTTGCGCGATAGCTTCCTGCAGCACAGGCCTCGCGACATAGTTACGGCTGCATTGCATCTGCAGTATCGCTGTTCTTGCTTCCACATATGCTGCAGAAGAAGCCGACGTGGTTTCCATACATCGTCAGGTGATTAGTAGTGACTTGAATTGTTCCTCGAAACATACAGTACAATGAAAATACGGTAACATACGAGAAGGCAGTCTGATTTTGAACTATTTACAAAGAATGTACTCTCATGCGAAAAGGTAGAGGTCACCATGACCTACTTCACTTAGTCTGGCTATCCAGTGCAGCGACGAATAAGTTAATCAGCTGTACCAAGATGTTAGAAACTGTGACATTGCTATATGCAGCAGAAGCAAGATAGGTTATACTTACATACGAAGAATATTGATTATCTCCGCCAGCTCTGCGGAACACCTCCCGCCGCTCATCCAGCTGGTCTTGACAACAATAGAGCACCTCTTGTAATTCCTTGTTCACCCTGAGGTTACTAAGAAAGTTCTCTGCATTTGCGTCATTGCCAACCCGTGAGATGAGAAATATTGCACCCGCTGGCTGCTTGGAAAGCTGGGTCAATTTCTTCTTGCACTCCAAGATGGTCTTCCCAAAGCAATTCTCATCCTCACCATCTGGCTAACGTGAATCAAGTATTGGTTAGCCCGATTACAACTTTGCAGGAGACTGGTAATACTCACGTGTCCATCTGTTACGACGATAGTAATGACCGGCTTCGCAGAAAGGCCATTCTCCAATGGATCGAAGATGAGAGGCTGGACAATCTTGGTTTTCAGCGCGTTTCCCAGTCTGGTCCACCCAAAATATTTGACCTTCTTCATGTAGTTTCTGATCTCAGTTGGTGACAACTTATTCAGGTGCCGATCTTCTGGGCTGTTCAAAAACCGAAGATACACGTCCTGGTCTTGTATCGCGCTGGCAATTTCGGCAACACGTTGACAAGTATCTTCGAGAGCCCGTATACGAGCACCCTTTTTGATTTTCATCGAACTGCTGTCATCTAACTCAAAGGTTAGCATGGGAACCGGGGATCTGTTGAAGATATAGAAAGCGTACCGCAGAGGATTACAAAGTCGTATAAGGCCATAACGGCCAATTTCGGCGTTGTCCCGGGTTCCAAGTCGTATTTTTGTGTGAGATCCTTGGCGCGAATAGCCGCACTCTTCACTAGTTCCTCCACGTATGGATCCCCGGGTTGGTAATACGAATGGAGATAACGCTCGATGTAACCCCAGACATACTTTCGATACTCTTCCTCAGTCTCGGGTATCTTGGGCGTCAACGAGCGCGATAGTGATGAGTTTTCGGGCTGTTGAATCCCGAGATGCTTACTGAATTCGGTGAGAAACTGGTCGACAACCTCGGCAACAATCTCATTGATAGTATCTTCCTGCTCGTCGCCGACAATTGAGGATTCGTACCCATCATGCTCATCACTGTACTCCGAACCCATGACTGAGGGCCTGACAATGAAAGTGATCGTGACTGGTTTCTTGAATGTTGGCTATAGTTGTGGACTCCATGTATTCGACCATCTTTTGTGCCTTCGGCCCGACATCTTTAATGTCATCGCCGCAAGGTTGCCAGCACACAATACCCCGATAAGGTAGCCATATATCGTGTGCGTGTGACTGAGGGTCGGGGAGCCCAAATATCGTACAGCCAGCTTTCATGCTAGTATGAAGGTTGTAGGGCGTTCCTCAAGAAGCGGCTGAGATGATTTTGGGTGCCGAAGAGTGTTTTGTCGAAGAGAGTATCGAAGAAAGCGACAACTGACAGGTGGGGTCAGGGCGGGGCACGCGGCGGGGCACCTATGATATCACGCATGTATAACATTCTCCCCCCGACGTTGCGCGGCAACCGCGGAGAAGCAACCATCCATTCCCAATGTATGGCGATATATGGCCTACAAATGAGTACAGTTATTCCTGACAACTTATTCTGGAGCAGCCTAACTGGCTGTCTTGATGCCTGATGTTGCGAATTTCGGTCGCTGCTTTTCAAATCTGCCTCCATGTTCGGCTTTATGTGGCCGATTCGAAGGTTGAGTTCGCCAGATGTGCTCACCCCTGGTAACTGTCGATATGCGCCTGACTCAGTATCTGCTAATGTGAAGAAGACATTTGGAAATTTGATGAAGGTCGATGACATCACCACCTATCGTCTGCCCGAAACATTACATGCAAGCAACTGAATGCAGTGCTGGACTAGTGGCCAATCAACGCACTCAGACACAACGCTCAGCCTTGCGCTGCATAAAGATAAAGGGCAAACTCTCCGTGGCCCGATAGCGTGGCAACACGTCGGCCATTCTGCTGGCATACCCCCAGTTGATATGCAGTGTGCCCGCAAACGTGCAAATTATTATCTGCAAATGTTCCGGCTGATGTCCAGTAAGGGGTCTTCCTGCAAGATGCTTTTGTATGAGGCACACCAATCCACACCGCTTCTGATCAGCTGCCTGCGTGAACCCCCTTGCCACTATTTTGTTTGTTTCATGTTTTCCTATGTCAATGCAATCACGCCCAAGTACCCTAATCAGACAATGAACTGCTGACTACCTCGGGGACTACTATGTACTTCGTGCCCTAAACCACCTCCCAATCCCCGACCAAAGTAAGCAGAAATTTCTTCAGCCTTGGAGGCTGAAGAATTTGGCATTGATTTGATAGTTGTAAGGAAACGACCGCAATGCACCCGGACACGCTGTCTGCTTGTTAGGCGCTCTTGCTTCTCTGGGCTACAGCTTTCAGCGATGAGGGCATTCCAACAATACCTGTATTCCGAATATCCTAGCTCTCAAATCTACATATATGTTGGTGAAGGCTATATATTTCTGGTCAAATCTACCTTTACTCATTCTCAGTCCAGGCACCGAGACATTGAGAATTGCTCAGAAACACTTCCAACGATCATATTCCATCTTTCATTAATCCTAATTCTCTATCTTTTTCACGGGCACCATGGTAAATGCCGAAGAAGCAATTGCTGATTGGACTCTGTTAGAGGTCCAAACCGCGGCCAAGAATGGCTCTCTTCGAAAACTATTACAAAGTCATCTTATCGTGCACTGTACTGCCGAGAAGCTACAATCTTTCCACAAATCGACCGACAAGTACAAAAAGTTCTTGGTATCAAATCTGGCCAAGAGTATGACGATAGATATGTTTGAGCATTTCGGCCGGGAATTGGCCTCAGAGTTGGAAAAAGCGCTCTAGACAAGATTTGGGTTAAGTTCAGGCCCATGGGGTGTGAGGTAAGATTTTTCAAGTCCTAAACTTATTGTCTTGGAACGCTTTTGATTTATCTAACTAAGGAATTTAATCTAAACAGTCCCAGCGCAGTTATGATGTCTTGGGAGTATGGTCAAGTGATTGAAGTGATTGAGTTGGGTTTTCTTCGAATATACTCGCTTTATACATGCTTTGCAACTGTTTCTGTGACCACTTATGTGCTTTCGATTCGCTTTCGTTCATAGAGATCCAATGCAGTTATGACTTGGCTCATCAAGATACGTAGAAGGTCTTTAGATCAGCAATGCAGTATCGTACTGGTTCAAGTCTACTCAATATAAAGCGTAGACCAAGCAAAAAAGATAGCAATAATTAAAAGATAGATGAAGACACAATATCAAAATAAAATAGAAATAAATAGAAATAAAATAAATGAATGAAAAAGGCATTCCTGAAATCACTAGAGTGTATGCTCAAGCTTCTGGAATTGCTTCAAGACCGCCAACAAAGCTTTCAAGAAAATTTCATACCCGCTGCTTCAGCGCCATCGCTCAACTGTTTCATGTATACATTCTGAACGCCAGAGAAGCCATAGAAACGTCTTCCGTGAGATTCCGAGAGCTGAAAGCAGCCTTGAACACATACCTGTGAACGTATAGCTGCCCGAACACTTGTAAAGCTGAGTTATACTTACAACCAGCTGGCAATGACTGCTGATAAGGGGATGGGATTGCTTTGCGGCCCAACACTGAGCAGACTGACAAACATACAAAAGTCGGCAACGCCCCTCGCAAGAAAGAGACAAACCCTCAATTTCCTTCCACACGAGTTGCCTCTTATATTTCTCTGTCTCGTTTGAATTCCTTATGGAGCAGCTAATGCGCGCATACGGCTCTCAACAATCACTACGGTGCGCCGACTATCGCGTGGGCTGGGTCTGCGCCCTAGCGCTCGAGCTCACGGCAGCAAAAGCCATGTTGGACACCGGACATGGCAGACCATCTGACCTTGAAATACTGTCAGGGTTCGACGATAACCAATATGAGTTTGGCCAGATCGGTGGTCATAACGTTGTGTTGGCTGTCTTGCCCTCCGGTGGCTATGGGGTCGCTCAGGCAGCCCTTGCCGCAAACATGATGAAACGTGCCTTTCCCGCCATACAGTTCGCTTTGCTGGTGGGTATCGGAGGTGGTGTGCCAAGCAGAACCAATGATATTCGCTTAGGAGATGTGGTGGTCAGCACTCCAGTTGCCGGGTATCCTGGCGTGCTGCAATACGATCTCGGCAAGCGAGGACTGGACGAAGACATCACTACTACCGGAGTTCTTCGAAAACCAGCACGGAAAGCCTTGGCAGCCATTAACGTTATGAGGGCAAGGTATATGATGATCGATAACGATTTGTCGGGTGCCATCAATGAAGCACTGGAGAAATATCCCAGAATGTGTGATGATTTTTCCCATCCTGGTATGGTGAATGATGTCCTGTACCGTGCGGATTACGATCATGTGTCTGGAGATGATTGCTCCAGTTGCAGTAACGGCATGGTGATGAGCCGAAGGGCACGGAAAACGAGCGAACCACGCATTCACTACGGACTCATCGGATCGGGAAACCAGGTCATCAAGAACGGGAAGTTTAGGGAGCGGCTGAGAGAAAAGCATAACATTCTGTGCTTTGAGATGGAAGCAGCGGGTGCATTGGTAAGTGGTGGAGGTACTACGATTACTATCATGAAGTTTGTTTCTGATTTTGAATCATCAGGAAGCATTTGAGTGTCTTGTTATTCGAGGCATTTGCGACTACTCAGACTCCCATAAGAATGATATGTGGCAGGGATATGCAGCGCTTACAGCAGCCGCATACACAAAAGACCTATTGCTTCTGATTGAGGGCCCGGTCACCCCAGATGGTGTGTACCCCATCTACACTTTTGCTTGTCTCTTCCTTTGTGGAATGTCCTAACAACGATCACATAGCTATGGCTTCACCCAGCCCTCCTGAGATTGAGGTACCGGAAAATATCAGTCTGGGTGTTCCAGCACACGGGGGCAGCCCGGGGGTCAGAAATCATCCCCAGAACGTTTCCGTCCATAAATCGCAGTTTCACCACCAACAACAACAACCAATAACTTGCGAACCTCCGCCAAGTTATACACAGGCAGCACGTTCTTTTCAACCTGCACCTGTATCGGTTGAGCTTCCTTGTCAACAACCAAAGAAAGTTGATATTGAAAAGAAACGAGCAGATCGAAACAGTTCTCCAAAACCTCCTGTCTCACGACCTCCCAGGCAGCCAATTGACCCTCGCCTCCGGAAAGACTACGGAAGAAGGCTGGTAGAAGCAGCTAAAGCTGGTAATATGCCATCGGTGAAGAGATTTATTGAAAGAGGAGGTGATCCAAACACCACAACCGATGATTGGGAACTGACCGCGCTGCATTACGCTGCCAGAATGGGTCATAACGGATTGACGCGACTGCTTCTCAAAGCAGGGGCCAACCCCAATGCCAAAGCTAGATTCAGAAACGACACCCCGTTATTTGAAGCGGCTGCCAGCGGTCATATAAAGGTCGTGCAATATTTACTACTCCACGGAGCTGACTTCACGGTCCATTGTCAGCGGGGTAAGACTGCATTGCATGCAGCTGCCGAGAAAGGGCACTTTGCGTGTGTCGAGCTTCTGGTACAGAGCAAGGCCGATCCCGACAGCATTGACGATGAAGGACATACTCCCTTGGACTTGGCGAAGAAGGAGGATCGTTTGGAGATAGTCAAGTATCTGCAGCGGATATAGGCTTTCTTTGGTTGATTTTTTATTTTGAGAGAATCTTGCGATCTAGTTTTTTGCGATGCGGCACCAGAATGAGATTACAAAGTATTTCGTTTTATGAAGATTTAACAAACTGACTGGTCGTATGGTCTTCAATTGTCTTATCTGTGTAGATGTGTAATCACATGATCAGGCTCCATGATCTCTTCGACGGTTCCAGTCATCGCTTCTTTACTCCGCATTGCAAGAAAACCACCAAATTCATCAACTCTATCATTAAGATCATCCAGTACCTTAATTCATCGGGTTCTGGCAGCTATGGAACCTCCTGAGGCTACAATTCTACTTCCACAGTAGCACTGCCTTCAAGGTCTTCCCAGTCGTCATGTCGCTGATTGCTTCATCGTATTTCTCAATCGGGTAGTACTTGATGAGTTCTTCGATGGGATAATTTCCGGTTGTGTTTTGCTCAATGAGGTATGGCAGGAACTAGGGGTTTATTAGCAATGCTGATGTTTCTTATCGTGCATGGGCATTTTACCTTCTCAGGCTGTCCATCTCCCTCACAGCATCCTACGTACTGGCGACCGAAAACCAGTTGTGAGAAGAGATCGACCTTGACTGTTTTACCGGGTGTTGAAGCACCGACAGTCGCCAATTTTCCCCGAGTTCCGAGCGCCTGGATAGCATTCTCAACAACTGCCGGAACACCGGTACAGTCAACGGCATAATGCACTCCAAGGGGTGGACAGATCGCCTGGATTTGCTTGACAATGTCCTCATCAGTTCCGCTGATTGTATGTGTTGCCCCAAGCTTTTTCGCTAGGTCCAGTCGATCCTGATTTAAATCCACGGCGATAATAGTCCTTGCACCACGTATTTTCCCCGCCATGATAGCACTCATACCTACGGAACCAGCACCGAAGACCGCCAAACTGGTTCCGGGTTGCACATCAAGTGTGTTCATAACTGCACCTGCCCCAGTCTGGAAGCCACAGCCTAGCGGCGCGAACCTATCCAGTGGACACTCAGGATCCACTTTCACAACACATGATGCATGCACAATAGCCAAACTGGCAAAGGAACTCTGACCGAAGAAATTCCCACGCAAGGGGTCTCCGTTCGGGAAAGATAGGGTAAAGCTCCCGTCTGACCTTTGTTGACCGAAATTGCTCGGTACCCATTGTTTGCAATATGCTGGATGTTTGCTGGTGCATTGCTCACAATCTCCGCAGAAAGCATAGCTCAATAACACCTTGTCATCAGCATGGAGATGTGTGATGCTGCTGCCGATTTTCACGACAACACCAGCCCCTAGGTGACTCTTAGCGGGTTACGGGCATTTAAACGGGAACTTCGTACCTTCATGTCCAAATACACATGGAGCAGATGCAGGTAGATTTCCGTTCATACAAGAGAGATCGGTATGGCAGATGCCTGTCGCATGTATCTCGACAAGCACTTCGTCGGATCTCAGGTCATTCAGGTGTATGTCCTCTAAGCTGAGAGGACTATTAACCTCTCTCATCACCAGTGCTGTGGCAGTCGCAGCCATGATTTCGGTCGCTTAGGTAAGAGCTAAGGGAAAGAGGTTTCTCAATGCGAAAGGTGTCTTCGCCCATGTTCGGCCAAAGAACAGGGACATTCTTTCTATTTAAGTGTCATTCCTGCTTCATATCTTTTTACATACCCCAAAACTGAGTCCAATGACGACTGGGAGGTACAATAAGCTCTCCTGGATCTGCCGTGTTCTCAATCCGGCCCTTGGTTATATCCGAAAACCAAGGATAGGCAGCAGGCCCCGGATTCTGAACTGCGGGGAGAGTTTATTAAGGTTTACTAAGCACGCCACTAGCGACCAAGTGTGTACTCTTTTCATTACAAGCTATTGATGGGCCGCCAAGTAGTAGGCCAGCCTCACAACTAAGCGAACATCTTTTGTGGGGTATCCATACTACGTACAACGGGCTGGTATACCTATGCTTCTTGTCGTCCTACCGATTCAACGGGCCGTTCTCAGCACAACCCGATGTGACTCCTCACATCTTTGCTCAAACATTACACTCTCATTGGCGGGCTTGATATGAGCGGCGTGGATCTGTACTAGGCAGCCAAGCCTTCAGATGCTGATCCGTTCGCAGATCTCCATCCTGCGGGGTTTACGATTCTTATCTAGCTTTCGGGCGTAAGGCATTACAACTCCCGCTTCGATCTGCCGACCACTACCTACTAAGCCGAATCTCGATCCGGACATGTTGGAAGGAAGCTTAGTGATCTGGTGAGGCGCGGGGCCCCGCGAAACCCGTATTCCCTATTTTCGGGTCGTTCCCGAGACGCCATTGATCCCGACGATCAGAAAGTGCCCATAATTCAGTCTACACTACGGATACCCGGGCTAGCATCACTTCGTGATGTGCTCCAGCCGTCACGCGTCGTCACGCGGCATACGCCTCTCGTATTCGTCGGGACGGCATGCGGCCCATAATTCCCACTTTATCCCCACCTGGGAGCTGAAGGTGGAGTTGCTTGAGGGGTAACCCAGCCAGCCAAGATACAAATACGAAGCTACAAATGCTAGCTCAGCTAGCTCAAATCTCGAACTTATAAGACAGAGAAATCTCTTCTCTTCAAGAAAATAGCACTCAATCTCTTTTGCCTAAAGTCATATCGTGACCTTACACATCAAAATGGGTTCCTTGGATAAGATTGATTTCACTGTATGTATCTATTCATTTTCATCGCCCCTATGATACCTCGACACAGAATGACTAATCTCTTTACAGACCTTCTACAACACTATCAACAATGAACTCGCAACCACATCAGCAACCCGCCACAGCCTCAATCCGGCCACGCGCAAGCCCAATCCACCCGTCCCCGTCTCCACTGCGTCAGACTTGAACCGTGCTGTAGATAGCGCCCGGAACGCTTTCAAAACATGGTCTAAATTAAGCCCCGCTGAGCGTCGTAGCAAGGTTGTCGCCCTAGGTGAGGCCATTGATCTACACGCTGAGGAGCTTACGGCTCTCCTGGTTCAAGAACAAGGCAAGGCGCACGGCCAAGCGGCCATCGAAGTAAACATGTCCGGAACATGGTGCAAACAAATTCCGCAACTCGAACTCAACGATGAAGTGCTCCAAGATACTGATGACCAGCGTGTTATCCAACGCTTTACACCCATGGGTGTGGTCGCAGGCATCGTGCCGTGGAACTTTCCCCTGCTGCTAGCAGTAGGGAAAATTGCCCCGGCCGTTTATACGGGCAACTGTATCATCATTAAACCATCTCCTTTTACACCGTACTGCGCGTTGAAGATTGGGGAATTGGCGGCGAAAATCTTCCCGCCCGGTGTGGTACAGGTATTGAGTGACGATGGGAATATTGGGCCATTGATGACGGCGCATCCGGGAATCAACAAGATCAGCTTCACGGGATCAACGGAGACTGGAAAGAGGATTATGCGCCATTGTGCGGATACCCTGAAATCCGTTACCTTGGAGTTGGGAGGAAATGACCCCGCTATTGTTTGTGAGGATGTGGACATTGAGCAGGTCGTTCCGCAGGTATTCTTATCTTCTTTCGAGCAGAATCCACTGAAGGCTAACCGAGATTAGATTGCCACATTGAGTTTCCTCGTTTCGGCACAGGTCTGCATGATGATCAAGCGTCTCTACGTCCATGAAAAGATCTACGACAAATTCCTTGAGGCCTTTGTCAACTTCACTAAGAACCTCAAGGTCGGAAATGGCACTGAACCCGACGTATTCTTCGGACCTGTGCAGAATGAAATGCAATATGGGAAGCTCAAGGATCTCTTCTCTTCTATCCAAACAGAGAACCTCAAGCCAGCCCTTGGAGGATCTATAACTGAATCCGAGGGCTACTTTGTTACCCCTACTATTATCGACAACCCTCCCGACAACTCCAGAGTGGTGCAAGAGGAGCCGTTTGGCCCTATTCTTCCGTTGATGAAATGGTCCGACGAAGACGAGGTTATTGCTCGCGCCAATGACACCGATACGGGCCTGGGTGCCTCGGTGTGGAGCAAGGATGTGGATCGCGCGCAACGCATCGGTACTCAGTTGGAATCTGGGTCGGTGTGGATCAATTCCCACTTCCAGGTTGCACCGAATATTCCATTTGGTGGTATGAAGGCGAGTGGAAACGGTCGCGAATGGGGTCTGGAGGGACTGAAGAGTTATACCCAGTCTCAAATGTTGTGGGTGAAGAAGGCTTAACTTGAAGAAATAGTTGTACATAGACCAATAAGGACATTGCAATAAGTGTTACTTTAAGAATCTTCATACCAATGGCGACGTAGAGGGACTAGTATGTTAATTTGTAATGCGTATTGATCACTGTTGTAAATTCATCACCATCATATTCTAACCCATGAACCTCGTGCCGAATCGCACTCCCATAAAACCTACTGCCCCAAAATACTAGCCAACGACTTACTCCCCTCCTCCGCCTCCCCCTTATCATCCGTAGGAATCTCCTGGGACGCAAACGCCAAAAACACCGCCTCCCAATGCCCATCCTCAAAGCTAAACAACAGCGCCCCATCCTCATAAATCCCATTCTCATACGACGGCGCACTCCCCTGATTCATATGCACATCATGAATCCCGGACCCATACGACGACCCAAAGATATACACCGTTGCCTTCTTCCCAATCGCATCATTCAAAATGGGTTCCAAGGCCTCGAGCACAGCATTATGCGGTCCCGTATCAGCCTCAGACAGAACAGCGCCCGCTTCGATATTCACCAGACCCTTGGTGCGCAGGAAGTCCAGACCCCGCAGCTTGGAGGAAGATTCCTGGTGTCGACGACTGCGATGGGAGTAGGACTTTAGCAGATGGAAGCCTTCGTCGAGAGTGGATAGCTGCTCGGTGATTGGGTGTGTGAAGTTTCGGTCGAACCAGTAGACGAGACGGGAGTCTTTGCCCGTGGATTTGACGTTGATGGCGGCTTCGTAGTCTTTGCTTGAGGAAGAAGAGGAGGAGGAGTCTTTGAAGTAGAGGTAGATGTGAGGCGACTTGGGATCTTCTTCTTCGGTTTGGGCGGTGTAGCGCGTTGGTTGGGCGATCCAGACGCCGTAGTGGGGGATGGTCATTTTGATGAGAATTTACTAGGAATTCCGTAGACTCTGTTTTGGAGAATGTTATGTTGTATGTAGTAAGATTCAATTGCTGTTTACAGCGAAGGAAGAGGGCAACACAATAACCCCTCTTTATACTACTACCTAGTACCTAAGGTATGTACCACCCCACCCTAATTCATCATCATCATCATCATCATCATCATCATCATCATCACGCCAGCCACAATTCACCCACCAATAGATAAGACAAGTACAAAATCGACACATCAACCAACTACTTTACTAACTTATCTCTTGCCGATCGCAACCATCCAAATCCTAGCGATAAGCCAAGCGGGAGACGGACTTTCCCCACGTGCAGGATACTAGTACTAAGTAGTAGCTTAGCTCACTGCCGACGGGACGGACATCCCGTCCCCCCACCAGCCAACCAGCCAGACGAATTCAATGCTTGGCCCGCCCGCTATCGTCACCCCTTTCGATCTGCTACATTCATTGGGTGTGGGTTGTCGCTTAATCTTGGTTTGGGGATCGGCGAGGGCTGGCTAGCTGAGTAGTACTACTGCTAGGTACATGCACTTGGACTTACTTGACAGGTTATGGGTGGGGTGACGTAGTGCGGTATTTCGGATTGCGGTCTGGACTGTCCACTGTGTATATACAGAGTGTATCTGACGATCAATGTGTCCAGGTCTATGTGTCAGGCCACTGGTCATATTGGTGGCGTTGCGGTGGGTGATATACAGTATGCTGTGCTAGAATTAGTGTCTGATGGGTGAATTCTTGATACAGTGTGCAGCTTGCAATTGAGTGGGTTTGGCTTCCCCGCGCTGGAATTACTTGCTTGGTGTTTGTGGCGGGTTTGTCGACGTCATGGGGGTATAGAAGAGGTTATTATGATATAGTTTAAATGCTATACTTTCCGTTGGTGATACCTATTAATAGAATAGAGTACTTTATATTGTTTGGGGATGGTAAATATAATTCAGCATAATATATACGAGCATAATCCTACACATCCCAACTCATACTCTCCAAAACCGTTTCAGTATACGCCCATATCAACGACGAAAAGTCCGAACAAAACGTCAATCCCGTATAATACGTACTCCTCCGCCCCTGCAACGCATATAACTTGCGATAGAATCCATTACGGATCTCCTCCGGCGACACCATCAAGGTTTCCGGCGAACTATCCCCAAACACCACGATCTGAGGATCCTGGATCGGAAACGTCCCCTTGGCTTTCATCCGCGCAAAATCCGCCGCGATAAGGTCTCTCGCGTCTTCGGCGGTGAAGTTCATATCGCCGACTAACTTGCTCGTTGAATGTCCCGGCGCTCCCATATACTGCAGTAGAAAGTCGAATGGCATGCGAGGTAAAGACCCCAGTCCGTTTGTCGGATCGGTATTAGTGACCCACAACTTGTCCGGGATACCGGTATTATTAACCACGGCGACGTAGTATGTTCTCCAGAACCATTTTTCGAAGAGTTCCGTTTCTGTTTCATCCAAATCGAAGCCTTGAAGTTTTTGCATGAGCGGAGGAAAGGTTATAAGTAAATTTCTGGCTTGAATGAGTTTTCGAGTCCCGTTCGCATGCTGAACTGTTACCTCCACTCCGGAATCAGACCGGTTTGTTGCAATCACGTTTGTCTGGAACAGCACGTCCGATCCGAGTATTTCCGTTGCTTGTTTGTACAGTTCATACATGCCGTTTTTCGGTGTGATGTATCCATGAATGAGAGCGTCAACGTGCGGGACTCCGAAGTTCTGAATCGCATAGAGAGTGGGCATGTCGAGAAGGTTTCCTACATTCTGAGAGAAAAGAAATACCAAATGCAGGGCAGCTTCGAGGGCATGTTCTTCGATGAATTCGCGAAATGGACGGAGGAGATCTTCTGGTACGGGGTCGGGAAGGTCGTATACCCCTCTTGTGAGGAATGTCCAGTGCTTTATGGATGAGCGGTAAATGAATGTTGATACCAGGGCTTGTAAGATTCCTGCTGGTGGGTCGACGCGTTCGCCGGTCGAGAAGTCGACGAAGTCGGTTCGTTTGTTTAGTGGGAGTAGTGGCTTCCAGTCTACTCCGAGTCGGCGGAAATACTTACGGGAGAGCTCGTTGTTGAAGACGCCTTCGACGCCGTAGTCGACGTAGTTGCCATCTGGTAGGTATAGCGTCTCTGCGTGTCCTCCGAGCCGGTTGTTGGGCTCTATTACTACCACGTGCTTCCCGGCATCTTTTAGTTGGATGGCGCTGTATGTTCCTGAGCTTCCGCCTCCGAGGATGCAGATGTCGCAGGTGATGGTCTCGAGACGGGCAGCCGCTGGTAGTAGGCCTACGAGGGAGCAGAATAAAATGAAGAGGTGGACCATCAGACACGGTTGATCATACAATAAACGTTTTTCAAGTGAATGTGTCGATCAATGGCTTATGCTTGGTCGGTCATCTCAAACGGTATAGTGGCTGAGTTAGTGGGCTGCATTGATACGCTTACTTATACACCGGTTTGGATAATAGTCCACTTGGATAGTAGGTGATGATACATCCCAGCGTCCTCGTGACAGACAGGGAATCATATGCTTCACTCATGAGATGCCCATGGGTGTAGAGTACACAGGGGTGTGCGGTTCCTGCATCTATCTGTTTTTGGGCACTATTTGACAGGACACCTTCACCTGACTTCAACTTCGACACAATTATCTAATTTCTCTGGATGATCATGAATCATATGTGGTTGCGGGTTTTTACCATAACTACGGGGTACACATGGGGTTGTCTGTACAACACTGGCGTGCATCTGATCATCTACTTCAGGTATATGGCCGGGTTGGCATCACATGGCAACACTCAGTTAGTATCATGAACTTGTGACAGTATCTTCTTGTGCCAGTCTTCTATCCCAGCCTCAGGGTGATGATCTATTACTAACTAAATCTCATAAGCCATATTCTATAGCAAGCAAGCACAAAACACCCCATCTATTCCTTCTCCCCCTCCAGCGCAGCAATCAACTCCCCAAAAGCAGCCTGAATCCCCTCCCTCTCCCCAACCCAATAACCCCCCTCCCCATCCAATCCCAAATCCTCCCCTCTAGCCGCCCTCTCAACCTCCTTCATCTCCGGAAACTTCAACCCAACCATCCTCTCCAATGGCCTCATCCTCACCCCCTGCAACACCTGCCTCAACTGCTCCGCCGCCTTCCCACCCCCATGCCCCCCATAACTCACCACCAACGCCGGCTTCCCCTTCCACTCATGAAACAAATAATCAATTGCATTCTTCACACTCGCTGGATACCCCCAGTTATACTGCGGTGTGACGAATATAAACGCCTCGTGGCGCGATATCTCCCGTGACCAGGCCTTGGTGTGCTCGTGCTCGTACTCATCTGCTGAGCTGATGCGCGAAGGCATCCCTGACTCATTGTATAGTGGAAGATTCCATTCTGCCAGGTCGATGGTCGTAATGGTGGCTTTTTCAGCGGGGTAGGATTCACGGATGGTGTTGTGGATGAATGTGCTGATTTGGGGGCCTGCGCGGGGTGTGCGCTGGCTGCAGATTATGAGGCCGATGGAAGGGGGCATGATGATTAATCCCAGTTCCTTCTTTCTCTTTTTGGTGGAGGTAATAGAATAGGGGTAGTAGGTGGATTGGCTTTTTCTCTGTGCTACATTCGTGGTACGCTTCTACGGGGTGTGTGGGTATTTATGCGATTCAGAGGCTGTTTGGTATGTTATGGTTCTGGTGGTCGGATAAGCCTTGTCCGAAGGCCGAGGCCGAACGCCGTTTGCTGATGTGAGGTGAGTCAATGTTGTATGTGTTGATTGATAATGCTCTTTGCTGGTTAACTTTATTTACTACGCGTGATAAAGGATATGTTACTGGATTGATGCAGTTTGGGCCATGAGGCAGGGTTGCAGATTTCTTCGGCGTGATGCCGAGCGTGGCGAATCATCGTGTTTTCTCTGTACACTGCAGAAGATATGCATGTGACACGTGACTTACCCGACTGGGCGTCCTAATAACTACTAATTACCTACCCTACACAGCGGGTACCGGCAAACAACCCATCCACCACCAAAAAAAATTGACAGAGATAGGGAAAAAAGAAATAACTCCTCAAGCCCAACGCGGGGCTCGAACCCGCAGCCTTGAGATTAAGAGTCTCACGCTCTACCGATTGAGCTAGCCGGGCTGGCTTGGTGATTGTCGCTTCTTTTTAGTGCTACAGAAGCCGGGGCTAAGAAATGGCTGCTTTGGGTATAGTCTGGTCTTTATGTCATGTGATATGGGTTTAGATGCTTTGTGTATGTTGTTAGTTACTGTCCTGCACACTGGTTTTCAATAATTCGGGGACTTTTAAGTTATTTGTTTTGCTTGAGATATCTGGCAGGGCTGTTCTTGTGGATTGGTGATGGTGGGGTTGTTCCTCTCTAGGGTGTCGAGATATATATTATGCGGATAGAAGGTATCTCGGCCATTTTCCACATAACCAACTAATAACAATAACCATTAAGCTACTAGGTACAATACACTGACGTGCACCAATGAAATACCATAGAGTATGGTAAGACAGCCCACTGTTAGAAAAACCACGTGCTACCATGAACGCCTCAGTGCAAGTACCAGATGCATACATTCACATTTCCGTAGATATCGATCTGATATGATCTAGACAGACCAATAAGAAGCGTCCGCCAACTGAGATGTCGAAAGAATCGCGAAAATCCACTTTCAACATTTGTCCAATAAAGGCGCGCCGCCATGTCGCGTATATGAGAGCGTATTCACTGTTCAATGAATGCGGGGCGATATTGGGTGGTGGTGGTGGGCTAATTGTCTGACCCCTCGGATGTACCGGGCAGATGTTGCGATACGCCGGGGCATACTATGACCTGCCTATGACTACGAGCGCACTGTACCATGAACCTAGCAGACCTGCAGAAGCATCGAGCCTACAACTCATTGTCTACGTGGTGTTGCTCACACCCTGAAGAAATAATGCGAGTTGCATCAACATATCTCCAACTCTGGATTATGAATCTAACTAATTGGGACTAGCGTCATGACAGTACACAAAAACCCATATTTGCCACTCTTGTTGTTAGAACACACACTCAGCCCCAAGTAAGGCCATGATTCAAATAAACAACATACTCAGAACAGACCATTCGAATTTAGCTAAGCGAAGCGATATATGCCGGCATAAAATTGCAATGTCAATTCGAGAACTCTTATGTGCGCCACGAGTGGGCACTAGCCCAACGCAGAAGACTTGATTGGTCTCGGAAGGCCTCACTCACCATGAGTCATGTTGCACTCATTCCAGATCCTGCACCGCCTCTCCACCGGGTGGGTCGCGGATATTCCAGACTCGGCAAATGTATAGATATCGCATTTGTATAAATGGGGATGGAATCCTGCATGTCGCCGACAATCAACAACAGTATCACTTCAAGGACTCCCCACAGAGTGACAGGCCCAGGCAGAATCCACACATCATCCAAGAATCGATCACCAATTGATCAATGCCACTAGTACAAACAACCACATCCTCAGCTCACCACAATAGAATGGAATTTTCCAGCCAACAATATCCCGTACCAGCAGGGGTACACATCATCCCAGAACATCTCCTGGACCTCCGTTCCGACACCGAAGTCGACCATGACCTCCTCCACCCCCAACCCGTGACAGACGAGAAAAACATCTGGCTCTTCTGGCACAGCGGCTACTCCACCATGCACCCATATACAAAGCGAAACGTGCGCGCATGGCACCGGCGCTTCTCCAAAGCCGGCTGGGTCGTACGTGTGGTCGACCGTGAACCGTCCTCCCCGCTCAACATAGCCAACTTCATCGACATCAATGACACGGACAACTTCCCTCGCGCATTCGCCGAAGGCACCATCAGCGGTACCTACGCGAAGCAGCACACATCCGACCTTGTTCGCCTACCTCTACTCCTCAAGTACGGCGGTATCTACGCCGACGTTGGACTGATCCAGATCGGCGACGTGGATCGACTGTGGCGCGAGACGGTCGGAAACCCGGACTCTCGGTTCGAGGTGCTTTCCTACAATGCTGGCGATGCCAACGAGCGCAGCCTTACCAATTACTTCCTCATGTCGAGACGCAACAACCCGCTATTCGAGCGGTGTCATCGTCTACTGTTGAAGTTGTGGGAAGGAAAGACGTGTACAGATGGGATGCATCGAAGTCCGCTGTTGAAGGAATTGCCGTTCCTCACTGGAACCGGTAATTTGACAGAGCAGCAGTGCAGAGAGTTGACGGATTATATTATCCAGGGACAGGTCATGACTCTGGTCATGGGCTTAGTCGATGAAGAAGATAACTGGGATGGACCGAAGTATGTCGCGGAGCATGTCTACGGAATTGAATTCATGCAGGGGTCGCAGCTGATCAATGACATGACTGAATGGGATGGTCGGAAGGCATTCGAGCTCATGTCGTTGCCGCTGCCCAAGGAAGGCGAGGAGGAAACCGCAGAGCAGAAGCGGGCGAGGGAAATCGTCGAGGCTTGTCTGACGAAGAGTTTTGGGTTTAAGCTCGCTCACGGATACATCCTGGAGGTGATGAATGTGACACTGGGGTCGTTGTGGAGGGAGAATGAGGGATCAGACAATGTGCCCGGGACGTATGCGCATTGGCTCCGGCATGCAATCGTGCATTGGAGTCAGGATGCACTTCCACCGACACAGGAGTACACTGTGCTTGAGCCGATTAAGAGGGGACCACTATTGCGGGAAGAGTAGATAGACACCATGATACCAGTATAGATAGCATCCACTAGACACACAATGCATAGACCTGATAAAACCATTCCTACCCCTCAATTGCCTAAAACAAAGAATCACCGCAATAGCATTACGTCCCAAACCGGCTAGCCCACACTCACCACACGCCACATTCACGTGCCAAAACCAGCAGCACCAGCCACACCTTACCTAAGCATCACGACCTATCAAACAAACAAGGCCACCTAGACCATCCATACATACAAAGCACAAGCACGTCACCACCAACCCTCACAACCCCCCAACGCAACCATGCTATCCGGAATCCAAAATGTACGGCAAACAGCCATCCAGCTGCTCAACTTCGGGCTGGTCCTGAGCACTGCATTTATGGTACGATACCTTCAATACTTCCTTCCCATCACAAACTTCCATCGGGGAAAATAAATACACGATCGCAAGATCAATTGCTTACAGACACTAACATTCTGGAAAATCTACAGATGTGGAAAGGTCTCTCGGTCCTCACGAACTCCCCCAGTCCGATAGTAGTCGTCCTCAGTGGCTCCATGGAGCCCGCTTTCCAGCGCGGAGATCTCCTCTTCCTCCGGAATACGCAACCGACGTTGAACGTTGGAGAAATCGTGGTGTATCAGGTCAAGGATAAGGATATTCCGATTGTGCATAGAGTGGTGAGGCAGTTTGGGGAGGGGTGAGTGTATTCCTCCATTCGGACTATATGTTCCAGAAAGGAAGGGACCTGGAGAGTGAGCGCAGTGTGCTAATTCGATTATGGTGGAATTATGCAGATCCGAAGCCAAGCTCCTCACGAAAGGCGACAACAACATTGCAGATGATACGGAACTCTATGCGCGCGGACAGGATTACCTCGATCGGGACGATGTCGTGGGAAGCGTGTTTGGGTATATTCCGTTTGTGGGGTATGTGACGATTCTTCTGTCGGAGCATCCGTGGTTGAAGACGGTTATGTTGGGGGTTATGGGGTTGTTGGTGCTTTTGCAAAGGGAGTAATGCGGTAGGAGTTAGTTTTCTGGTTCTGGATTCTTTCTGCCTGGTTTGTTTGTCAGGGTATTTTGGGTTTTGGGGTTAGCTGGGTTAATAAATGCATATTGGGTTGCGGTTCATTTAGGTGCGGTTGTGTTGTAGGGTGGTTGTAGGTTTGGTGCTGGAGTGTGTTCGGTTGGAGGCAGATCGTGGAGCAGTAATTGGTTAATGATGCGATCGGGAATAGAACAAAGCTACTTAGTATGCTTTGTCGGAGGCTTGGCCAGATTGATTTCCATCTGCATCAGACCTCGGTCGACAACAGGACATCTATGACATGCTTGGCTGCTATCAGCAGTAGATCAGTGACACCAACTATGGCTGTTCACATGATATCATGTGGTCGCTAGTCTAGAAGACATGGGCAATTTTCACCTGCATATGACACTGTATAAAACCCCGGCACCTCAGGAAAGCGAATGTGTCTTACACTAGACTAAGACGTCAGTGACCACCCAATTCATGATATCAGTGACCTTTAACTCCTGCCTAGTCTCGCCATAAATATCTCACCCGCTGAATAACAGCCTTAAACCTCGCAGTGGCCACTGAAACACGCCCCGACCGGACACACTCGGAACCATATTCTCTCAACCGGCTCTGCTCATACACCCAAAGTCAATTCAAGCTGCACAGCTCATTCCAGATTGCCACATGAGGCAACATGCTGAAGCTCATCTTGCCACAGCGGAAGTTTAAGCTTGTATATCCATAGTGTGGGAGGCAGAGAATCAGGTTTCCACCCTCTCATGACGACTGCACCTGGGGTATGTGATGAGTATACTGACATCTCTCTAGTAGTGTGCAGTATACTGCGTAATCGCTGAGTCTAGACACCCAGCCCAGGTTACGCTAGTCACATTGATCGCAACAAGCAAGACACTAGCCTAGTGTCATCCAACGCGCACCGCTTATTCTTTGCCACATCCCAAGGTTTTCTGCCAGGTCATCAATCTTGGCCACAAACTCCATGGCTAAACTCAATTGCAAAATGTGAGCCTCGCAAGCAGGATCGGTTCGCCTCGAAGTCCAATCCAGTTTGAATATTCGTGGATGTCAATCAAACAAACACATACTGTGGAGAGATGCTGAAGCAGGTTAGCAGCAGCTATTAGAATTGCCGCACAAATGCCATGCATTGGCACAAGTTGTGTGCTGGTTCCACCTGCTCTTTCTGGGATAAACAGACGACACTAAAAGTGTCCAGATCTACTTCCTCCCCATCCACAAGCAGAACAACAGACCCTCGTGAAAGAAAATTCTTTGACCCCGTTGGAAGGATACCGTCCATGGAATTCTCGGCAACAGGACGCTGGGTCGTCAGGAACACCGCGCACAGGGCGACGCCCTCAAAACGTGTGCTGCCCCGCCAAGGAGCAGCTGCTTTCCCTCTTTGAGAAATCCAAGCTCTTGACCCACGGTTCGCTTTCGCCCAATAACCGCTGACTGTGCATGGATTTTGTAGGCGATGTTTTGCCATTGGTCGGAGCGGATGTTCCCCTGGACCGGTTACATTTTCGCCCAATGAGCGTTGTTGCTTTGCCTGAGGGCGGAACCACTGCTTGCGTGCATTGGGTTCGAGCCCCTGGCCCAGAAAGGGAAAACCATGGTTGATGGTGACAATTCGTGGATTGATTATTTTTGTGAATTCATCTTTTGTGGGCTTTATTCCTGTCTTGGCTGTGAGGGCTTTGTGCGCTGCTGGTAAGTTGCGGGTGAATAGGGGCTGAATGGGTGTAGAGGCAGGTTACCGATGGTTGAAGGTGAGTGATAGAAGGGGGAAGCAAAGACCAGTTGGACAGACAGAAAACAGATACGCTTGGCCAAAACCACTGTCAACGAAAATAGTGCGTACTAACAGCTCCACCAGGCTATAGGAAACCCAGTTTTCTGAGCAGTTTGTCGTCCACTCCACTCTAGATTGGCGTTTTCTGTGATCCTTTCGCCCGCTTTGCTTCTAACTGAACAGACACAGTCTCATGCATCAGCCTTGTGGCCGTTGAGACTGAAATAGCCCAATCCTTACACACATACAATGGAAGTAACAGCCTCAAGCCTCTTTTTGAGGCATGAATCGACGGCAGTCACACACACATGAAACAGCCGATACCTTTGGCTGAGTTTTCAAACAACTCTTCTCATGTCACAACTTATTCCCCCCCCACCAAGAAACCCTAATCCACTCCTCCACCGACCACAGTCCAGATTCATGGCAGTGGATGCTTCCAAACTTCATTCCAAGCCAATATTTAGCCAATGGGATTACTTTGCTTGCTCTGACTTCCACAATGGCTTGTAGACCCTCCACCGCGTCAACCACCCTCCACTACCTCAATCCATGGCATTCAGGCTGACGCACCCCATCCCCTCCCTGTTCTGGACACATCCATTATTTCAGTTCCAGAAGAGAGACAGCCATGGCACGCCCATCAGCACAGGTATATAGACCGCGTCTTCTTCTTCCATATCCTCCTCTCTGGACACTCAGGAAATTGTGATTCCCAACTACCACACAGTCTTTACATACCAAGACTCCGTCGTACTCTTTCGATAGGTATACGACATCCATTCCTTACATTCACACTATCGTTATACACACTCGCTCGACACGACACACACACTCTCTACATACACTCTCTTAAAATAACAAGAAAGATGTACTTCACCACCCCCTTCCTGCTGCTGGCAGCTGCTCTCCCCAGCGCCCTCAGCCAGCCGACCCCCACCAAGGTCCAAGGCCACTCCCGTCGCCAGATCGACATCTCGGCCTCTGCCTCGGTCTCCATCTCCGCCCCCTCCTCCAGCTCCAGCTCCAGCTCCACCAGCAGCGCCAGCTCCAGCGACTGGACCTCCACCCCCAGTGACGGCGACTACTCCACCTCTGGCTTCGGCTCCGAGACCTCCGCCTACGGCAGCGGCGACACCTACATCGGCAACGTCGGCAACCCCTGGGGCAGCAACATGGTCGAGGTGTCTGCCTCCGAGGCCTCCAACTACAAGTACGTCATGCAAGTGACGGGCCAGAACACCGAGGACTGGACCGTTGTCTTCTGGAACAAGTACGGCCCCGATGGAAAGATGGACGGCTGGTACGGATACTCTGCCCTGTCCTTCACCTTGTCCCCCGGTGACACCAAGTACGTTGCCTTTGATGAGGACACTCAGGGTGCATTCGGTGCTGCCCAGGGCTCTTCCCTCCCCACTGGTAGCAGCGGCGGATATGCTTGCACCTGGGGTGAATTCGACTTCGGGTCCACTGCCAACGACGATTGGTCTGGATTTGATGTTAGTGCTATCCAGGCTCAGGACAATGATATGAGCGTCCAGGGTATGCAGATCTGTGATGCTCTGGGCTCCACTTGCTCCAGCATGACGGCTGATGCCGCCGAGGTTGACAATGCTTATACTTCTGCTGAGACTGATGTGGGTGGTATTGGCGGAAACCTCTCTGCTGGACCTGTTCGGTTGGCTGTTGTCATTGACTACAGTGGTTAAGCGGTTTATATAGACTAGAATTGGAGTGATGGTTTTTTTTTTATATACCAGGAGTGAAATGTAGTGAAGTGTAGAGTCTACGATTAATGTAGATGTGTATACAGGCTTATCGGGTGGCTGATGATGGCTGATGGCGGATGGCGGATGGCTGATCGCGACTTCTTCCGCCATGGCGACAGCTAATAACGCCACGATTTAGTTGTCGATCATGTCGATCTTGATGATCTTTTCACGACCTCATCAATATCGATGCAGAGTATTCTTTGATTGTTCTGGTTAAATTTCAACAATGTAGTGGTACTTAATAGTGAACGGATTGGACTTATCTTTCCTAAAAGGCACACTTTGGTGATAACTCCAGTCTCAACTCACTTATAACTTTAACATCATGTAATATAGCCATGAGAGATTGAAGTAAATAACCACAATGATAGATGCTAATAAAAAGCAAAGAATGCAAACGCACCTACCGGGGATCCAACACCTCAATTACTCACCTTTCTTTAGTAGACCGACCCGAACTATAACAATCATCACTACTTACTTAACCACTATCGCAACCAAACAACACATTCACCCCCACGACTACCACGAGACACCTTCACCACCACCACTGTAAATCAAAATACATCCCTCAAACACACACGCCAAAGAAACAAGTATATACCCTCACCACTCACACCCTCAAGCCCCGACCAGCCACCCACCCACCCACTCCCTCCTCACCAACCAAGAAACACATCCAAAATCCCACCAGCAACACTCTAGACCATTCCACCACTACATACATACATAGTACAAAATCAAAATCCAGAACATAATTCCAGTCCATCACATGCTGCAGAACAGCACCATGGGAAAAATTTCCCCGAGTACTCTCCGCTATCTCTTTCTTCAGACAATCATTGTGGAAGTGTCACGGAGTCCCCACGGAATCCCGTGCAGACATTATCAGGGTTCAGAATGGAAAGTTTTGAGATAAACACGTGCATCTCGCATGATATCGTCCGCATGGTTGGAGATTAATTCGGACTTGTGAAGGGGGGATTGAGTTGGAGGACCGGTGGAGTATTCTATTACTGAGTAGTATAGTGTGCAGATGTTTACCTATATCATAGTATCCTTACGTAGAAGAAAAGTCCGGGTGGGATATCCGGATAGAGAACAATCTCGGCTAGAAAGGGAAATTGTTTAGATGAATTGAGTTGACTATTACTATAATAGTATAGTACATACTAAACTCCTATGTCATAGCGCTCACCCCAGGGGGGAGGGTGTTTCCCTGGCCAAGCTGCAGAAATCAGCTCAGTCGTGTTGTGTCTAGATTGAATGATAGGGTAGTTTGGATCAGGGTCATGACTATGACCCTTGTCATTATTACTATCATTATTATCCTTGCATAGCAAGAATAGCATTAATCGAAGAAAGTAAGAAACCACTTTATTCTATTAATGCTCGGTAGAGATAATAAAATCATGCATATCCGGCGTATACCGCGTATAACCAACCCAACCCCTACCATAACCTGTATGTCTGTATCTGTGGTATGTACCTTGCATCTCCGATGAGGTAGGTAGGTTCCAGGATTATGACTGGACGATGAGTATAATTATGATGTTGGAAAAGGGCATGAATTGAGGGATTAAGTCAGGGGGCTTAAGCGGGTTTTCCGACCTTCCGCTTAGTTGGCTGGCTAGCTAGCTAGCTAGCTAGTTCGTAGGAAGGATTTCGCCGGTACCCTACGGAGTTAACTAGTATCTTCTGATTGTTCAGAGGGATCCTGCGTAGTTGCCACACAACTTATCTTTGCATAATGATTTTTATCGGTCATATCGGAGGTTTGATAAGGAGGAGTTAACTGGACTTGTTTGCTATTGTAGTGGGTACTACTCCATATGGATAGATTCTTGTCTTGTGCTGCCTACTATGAGTCTAGTACTCTGCTAAATCCGGAGAAGCTCCTAGAAAGGGAAAGTCAATTCCCGAGCTGGAAGCTGAAAGCTGGAGCTAACTCGCTCGGAGCTAAGTTTAGAGAGACCGGAATGAACAACATGAATGGATTGTTATAAAGTGAAGGAAGAATTAGGATCAGCAAGAAACAGATAGAAGATACAAGATACTACTACTACGATTTTATTCAGGATAGATATCAAACCAATCAATTCGTAAGACTGGGTAAGGTAAAGTTGGGTGCCTGCAGAAATCAGCTGCAAATAGTAGAAGCAAAAAACCCGGAGATAAATTCGCCGAAGCGGATAAGTATAAAAAACAATTGATTAAAATTAATAACTTACAAGCGAATTGGCAACAGTATTCGTCAAGGAGATTAAGCTCAATCAAGAAGGGATCAGCCGGACGGATCCCGCCCGTTGGTTATAATTGGATGGATTATTAAAGAAACCCCCCCACACCAAACAATCCTTTTGTGGCGGCATTGTCTGACTGTTTAGCTCTATCGTATCTAATTGGTTACTGTGCCTTGTAACCGGGCTTTATCTCTGCAGAATTAGACTCCCGCTTTTAATCTATTTCTCTATACACTAAACTCTCCATCGCTGTTGGTGCTGTGCCCCGAATCGGATTCCCCTCGCGCCTCGTCCGTCATGATTCATTTCACCTGATCTCCACTGCCCGTGCAGTGCAGACTTTCAACAAAACTGTCAATAGACTGGCTGAAAAAGGTTACATCCGATTTCGGCCAAGACACGCCGGCTCAAGCCCCTCGATTTATCTAGTCTACTTTTGTTCGTACTCAGTCTTGTTGTTAGCTAGCCAGTTAGCCAGCTATCCAGCAGCATTCTACGAGATAGTAGTTACCTAGCATTATTCCTCTCCAATCCTCCCTTATCAAACCCCTGCTAGCCAATTGATGACTTTCCCCGCACACCTTTCCCCCTCTCTTGGTACTACTAACATCTGTACTATCCTCTTTCCAGTTTCCATCCCAACCCGCGCCCCTCCCTAATTGCTTATCATTCGCCCACAAGGCTTGGGTGAAGCTTGTTGTGCCTGCGCCGGTGCCTCTTCCCTTTTCACCTTCCCATGCCTCTTCGGGCAACGCCATCCGCCCACTAATCCTCCACTCCAATATACCAAACCTGCCCAAAGCGCCAGCCAGCTCCCTTAAGCCCTGCCGTAAGATAAGCCCGAGTAACCTAGTTAGTTGCCGCTGCTCCCGGCGCTGGGCCAAGCCGTCGGACTTCCGTCCCCCCCTCTCTCTTCTCTTCCCCCTCCCCTCTCCACTGGTGGAACGATGTCTGGTTGACTTCAATTCGCTCCTGGATCGGGTGGCTGTCGTACTATTGCATGTTCGTCCGCAGCTGCTAGGGAGAGTTTCGTTCTATCCGAAGTATCCGTGTTTAGTCCGCGGGTTGGCTTGCCGGCTGGCTGGCTAGCCGTGCCCGTTAGGTAAGGTCCTGAATGAGGACCTTACTAGGTAGAAACGGGATCCAACAATGAGAGGGGAAAAGAAAGGCGAATATGGCTTGCTGGGGGGTCCTTTGCGGCCTGGACGAAGGAAGAGGAGATGATCACTAATGCAACACAATCTTGGCTTGCAAGGAATTGCGCTCCAACCAGAATGTCTCTTTGCGTAGAGAAATGCCAACTCGTGCGGGCCATGCTGGACGGATAGTATGATGCTCCACTCTCGCTCGACCTTTTGCAGTCCACAATCGTTTCCCCCATATCTTTGGGCGGGGACCGTCTCTTTTCTGCAGCTATGGCTGCTGCTGCCCCGACGGTGAACGACTCTGCATCCCCGGTTTTAGTCAACTTTAGTTGGCGGACCTGGAGATTAAACTCCGTCGGACGAGGAGGAGCAGTGGTGTCATCGTCGGCGGATTGCATGCTATCGGAAGAGCATGGAAGAGGAAAAATAGAAAAAACAACAGCTTCATCTGCAGAAAGCTCGAGCATAAATAGAAGCCTGAGTTCCGCTGCTCTGGTTGCTTTTCTTCTTCATCCAGCATCGCAAGTCTCTCAAGCATCGCCTGGTTCGATCACCTCACTCTTCCACCACCGACCTTGTCAATAAGTTAGCTCTTCATCTTTTCGAAGAAACCAACCCTCCAAACGTCAAAATGAAGTTCTCTGCTATCCTTACCGGCTCCCTCTTCGCCACTGCCGCTCTGGCTGCTCCTCTCACTGAGAAGCGCCGTGCTCGCAAGGAGGCCCGCGCCGCTGCCAAGCGCCACAGCAACCCTCCCTACATCCCCGGTTCCGACAAGGAGATCCTCAAGCTGAACGGCACCTCTAACGAGGAGTACAGCTCCAACTGGGCTGGTGCCGTTCTGATCGGCGATGACTACACCAAGGTCACTGGCGAGTTCACTGTCCCCAGTGTCTCTGCTGGCTCTAGCGGCTACGGTGGTGGCTACGGTGGTGGCTACGGTGGTGGCTACGGTGGTGGCTACGGTGGTGGCTACGGTGGTGGCTACGGTGGTGGCTACGGCTACTGGAAGAACAAGAGACAGTCCGAGGAGTACTGTGCCTCCGCTTGGGTTGGTATCGACGGTGACACTTGCGAGACCGCTATTCTCCAGACTGGTGTCGACTTCTGCTACGAGGATGGCCAGACTTCCTACGAGGCCTGGTACGAGTGGTACCCCGACTACGCCTACGACTTTGACAGCCTCTCCATCTCCGAGGGTGACCAGATCAAGGTCACTGTCGAGGCCACCAGCAAGAGCAGCGGTAGCGCCACCGTTGAGAACCTGACCACTGGTCAGTCCGTCAGCCACACCTTCAGCGGCAACGTCGAGGGTGACCTTTGCGAGACCAACGCCGAGTGGATTGTTGAGGACTTCGAGTCTGGTGACTCCCTTGTTGCTTTCGCTGACTTCGGCTCCGTTACCTTCACCAACGCTGAGGCCACCAGCGACGGCTCCACTGTCGGTCCCTCTGACGCCACCATCATGGACATCGAGCAGGACGGCACCGTCCTCACCGAGACCTCCGTCTCTGGCGACAGCGTCACTGTCAAGTACGTCTAAAAACATCTCTAGCATGAGATATCGGTCGCTTCAATATCTTTGTCTCGACGACAAACCCTGGGGATGAATGAAAAATGAGTGATGAGCTATCCGGATTGATCTTATCTTGTTGAGTTGTTAATTCGGCTTCTATTGATGATTTTGAGTGATTGTACCTACTTTGAGTGGAAGAAATAAATGCGCGCGCGATGCTGAAAATATATATTCATACATCTAGTAGATTGTAGAAGGTATTCTGAAGTTGTGCTGTCGATCTGAAGATCCGAAGATCACTAGTGAGATATCGCAGCTCGGCTGTGTAAGTGCTTTTGCTCTGTCGATCATAACTTTGTAAAAGCTTGTATGCATGGCGGACATGTATCGTTTATTTGAATGCCTCAAACTGATCACTCTTATGAACAGCCCAATCAAGAAAGAACTTGGGAGCGTCGGGGGGAAGCGTCGGTTCGTGGATGGCATGTTGGAAGGCTCTTAGCATTAACCCAAGGATCGGCAGTATGGGGCAAATGAGGAAGAGAGACCCAAAAACACTTTAATGGATCTCATATGGCCTTTGAAGTTAGTTGCAGATTTATTAAGGGAGATGAAGGATGACTTGGCTTGCCTTTTCCGGAAATAGTGCTTGAGCGATCGCGATAGAGACATGGTCAAATAGGACTCAGACACAGCCATTGACTGGTAAGTGCCATTCCAAGCAAAGTTGTAAACTGAAAATTAGACAGATGCCTAGAAACACAAATCAGATGCTAGGGACAACCTAATCATGGTAGCTCGGTTGCCGTGATGAATGTAGACCGTCAGAACTTTGATGCTTTTTGGAAGATATGAGGTTGAGAAGAGACACGTGATCCGTATAGGCAGCAGAGTAGCGCCACACCTTATTTTGTAGTACTAAAAGATTGAAGAGGACTTAGGCGCTGTGTACAAGACACGTTGGTGAAATACCTCACTGCCTTTGTAAGTGGGAGTGTCTCTTCGTCTCGGACAGCGATGTTCTGAAAACGTCAGCTATGAATGATGTGACATACCACCTCTGAGCACCAATTTTCTGCACGATGAGCAACGCATTAGCTAGACATAGGAGATTATCTTCTTCCCCATACAGGGACGGGCTTTTATATACCTTACTTCCTTGCCAGACGTGGCAAGAAGGTTTCTGCAAATGTAGTGTGATAACTACAGCCTTATCAATTGAAGCGAGTTCGTGTCATTAAGCTCTATTAGCAATGCAGCCAATGCAGGGACCTCGGGGTCCGATACCGTTACTCTGAAGCTGTCAGGTACAGGATCTAGGCTGGGATAAGGCAGAGATCCCACCTGTCGCCATACTTCCCTTTGAGTGGGACTATTCCGTATTGGGAATGTGAACGGAAGGTGACATGCTGACGTAAGAGCTTGTGCAGAATGCATAACCCCAGAAGTGCCTTCCTAATTGGGTAGACTGCTTTCCAACCGGACCAACTCTTAGTACTTAGTCCTAGTATCGATTATAGTATCTCCATCATATCGCAGCCAATGGCCTAGACTCATTTGAAACAGAAGGAGATCTAGAAGTCAATGATGACTAAAGATCTTATCCACTCAGTCACAGCAAATTCGATAACTAGTACATCAATCATTCAACTCCTCGACACGTGACAGGTCTACTATCTACTATTCTACATGCGTGTAACCAATATCCCAATCTTTGTCAAATAATACCAGTCAAATCACCAATATAGATATAGTGAATGGAATAAGGAAAGTTCCATATTCACGACATGGAACCAAGATCCGTTGCCGGCTGATGCCGTGCCCCACCTTCCATTTTAGATTTCTCTATTTAATATACTTCCACCCTTCTCACTCCCCTCTATCCAACTTCCAACTCTTCATCCAAACCCCACTTTCTTGACCATCTGATATCTTCTCTCCATCAAACAATCACAAACAACGAACAACAACCATGTCCAGCTCCGGAAAGGACTTCAGCTACAAGGGCTCCGGCACCAACAACCAGGTAAGTTCCATGCCACAAATCCCCCCTCAACAACAACGACTAACAAATCAACCTAATCGAAAGGGAAACCACTGGTGCTCCCGCGACTACGGATCCAGTAGCTCTAACTCGAACTCTTACCACTATTCGAACAGGTCTGTCATCCATCTCAATACTTTACCTATACTTCTACTAGAGCAAGCCGAAACCCATCTAATGCCTTCCTCTCAGCAACGGATCTTACTACTACTCCAACCCCAATGGAAGCACCTACTACAACAACGGAAGTGGTGGTTCGACCTATACCCCTCCCAGCAGAAACGGTGGCTCGACCGGGAAGAAATAAGTGCGAAGCTTAGAGCCTTGAACGCTGAGGAGGATCACGTTGAGACTGAGTGGTAGTAGCTTGAAGTGATATCTCCTGTAGCTGTACCAGTTATTGTTGGGATTGAGCTTCTTTTGTCCCCATCAATGACGAGGATAATAATGATGGTATGGCAACGGAGTATCTTAACACCGCAGGAATTTGACCTGACGTTTGCTTGTTCTTCACTTCTAATGCATGTGCCCAGATTAAGTGCTGATCTTTGTGAAGATCCAAGTAAAATCTCTGCTATCTAGTGGGGTACTGCTTAGCTTGAAGATCTTGTTTTAGATCGTATGTTATAATTTCGTAGCGTTTTGCGTTGATTGAAACGGTTAAAGTTGTGCGTGCTTGTATACCTACTAGAATATACAAGGGTTTATTATTCAAGACTTGGCTAACGGCAATTACTATTAATAGCTCATTGTCAAATTGGAAACTTAATGGTTCAATGGTTAGTAGTTTGATGATCAAAGTATAAGGCTGATAGTTAGTAGCATGTGAAGGATATGCTTACTTTTCCGGAACCTTCAGAAGCTTCCAAGGCAACCTTCAGTTGTCACTGTAAATGCAAAAGCAAGCCACATATCATACCTATCCAAATATAAAACAATGCTACTTTCCTCTATGTACTACTACTAGTTCATGTTGAATACTTTTGAAATCTTGCATACTGATTGGTTGTGTGACTTGGATGCGCTCAGGCACACACAAATTTCGGCAGGCAGAACCAGTACCAACCCACCATCCACAACTTCCCAATAACGATTAGCGTGTCTTCTTCCCGGTCGGTCGGCGTATCTCTTTAACGCGACCACCGCATTAATTGCCCCTCCACACTTGATCATCATTTACCATTGCTATCCCCGTTTCTTGGGGGATTTTTTATTGTCTAGTTCAGAACTTTCCAGAATACCAACAGATAATTACTGGGAGCATGTCTCACAGACTCTTTATCCTCGTCTACAGAGGCGATCCCCTCGATTACAGCGAATACCGACACACGGCTCTATACGTGCAATTCGCATCACAAAAACGCAGTATCCTACATATTCTAGGCACACAAGGTCTCTACAGATATGTGGAATACCCTGGGGCTGATCCGATGGAACTTGGGGATTTGGTGCGTGCGGTGCCGGTGACGGATTTGTCGGTCTCCGTTGAGGAAGATGATATTCGGGAGACGGTGGCACGAACGCCGGTGCGCAATGGGTATCTGGATTTGGAGTGGAACTGCCAGCACTGGGTGGGGGATGCCTTGGCCAGATTGGTGGACAGAGGTTGGGTCGCAGACACGGAGCGGGCGGATGCAATCGATAAGATGACCGATGCTTGCTTGGAGGCCCGTGATGACCAGCTGCTTGATGCTCAGTGATCGGGTTTGTTGCTTTTTTTTTTTTTTTTTTTTTTTTTTTTTTTCAACAATGAAAGTATGTATGCGTATATCCTTGCTCGCTCATTCTTCATGAGAAGTCGATTAATTCTCCTAGGTTTCCATCAGTGGTCATCCTCGAGGTGGAAAGTGATCTCACGCCTTGGTGGCTGGGAGTGAGATCGGTTGTTGAGACTGCGTTGCTGCAGTGTGGGGTAGCACCGGGCTAAAAAGGCGTCACTTGAACTATTCATTTGCCTCCCAGAAGCAAGCTCCATAGTTTATCGGTACTTGCGTGAATGCGTATAGGCCACAGAATACGCAACACCCATTCGTGGTGCCATTGTCGCGTGGGGTTTTTAGTGCTTATCACATCAGTCGCCAGGCAAGCGTGATCCCCAATGAGTAAGGCGTACCTCTTTCAACAGTTACTGATTAAGTTTGGAGTGGTTACACCCGATTGAACCGCTTGAGGGCCTGTCCACTTGGCTGAAGAGGGCGGGCCTTATGCTGGATTATGTACGTACATCTCGGTGAGCGTACGGCTGGTATAGTTAGGGAAGACCCGAGATTCTGCACCTCGGGAACAGGTCATCATGGGCATTGAGGGGCATAACAGAAAACGAAAAAGAATTAGAAAGCAAACAATGGAAGAAGCAAAACTCTTCATCGCCTTGAGTGATGTCATTCGGGGCTTCGCCGTGGAACCATCATGCTGTTATCGTCCAACTGCATAGCTGCGGTGAAATATGATACTTGAAAGTTGACACATGAGAGATGAGCTGCGAAAGTCGAGTGACTCAAATCGAATTGATCCTTCCTGCAAGCATCTTTAATTAGCTGAATGCTGGTAAAAACCCCGCAAAACAGGGCATGAATGGCTGAAGGGCCATCATCTTATTCCTATATCCCTTGATGGTTATGTCAGCATGCCAGTCTAACCCTGCTGCCGAGGCTGTACTTTACATGAGGAGACCCTGTTCGCCGATGATTCAGGCATCCTAGCGCTACAAGGTATGGTTCACAATCGGCGGATACCCTCCGTGGTAGCCGTGGGAGCTGCAGCTTGCCATCATCTGATATATCACCCAACCGCTGCGCATAAAGGACTTCTGATCGCCCGTCAACCCAGAGTTCTCTTCTGCTATTCATTTCCAGACAGGATCGCAGCTCACCATGGATTTCAACAAAGTTGATCATCCTGTTTTTACGATTGCTACCGTCACTCTCTTTCTTTGGTATACCATAACCTACCTGCAACGGGAATGGACGCATCGTCGTATAATGAAAGCGAACAATTGTCAACCACCACCATCTTATCCTCAGAAGGATCCTATCTTCGGCCTCGATATTCTTTTTGAGCAGATTAGATATGTCAGGAAAAACAAGCTTCTCGAGCGGTTCAGCGAGCGATTCAAGCTATATGGCAACACATATACACAACGACGATTGACCCATTACGTTATAACTTGCGAGCCGGAGAACATAAAGACAATCTTGTCCCTCCGATTTAAGGATTATGGCTTGGCAGGCCGTATCGATGCAATGGGTCCGCTTTTGGGTCATGGCATCTTCACCAGCGACGGCGAGCACTGGGCGCAGTCGCGTGCCATGGTCCGTCCAAATTTCGCGAAAGAGCAAGTCGCGCACTTGGATATTTTTGAGGAACTCGTCAACGAAATGACCACACTGATCCCAACCGATGGCAGAACGGTTGATCTACAGGAGTTATTCTTCGAGCTCACCATCGACTCTGCAACGGAATTCCTCTTCGGGCACAGCGTGTACAGCCTCAAGAAGCGACTGGCTGGGACCCGTGACAGTACAGAACAGGACTTTGCCGGAGCTTTCAATTATGCACAAAAGGCCATCGCAATGAACCTACGCCTTGGTAAGCTCAAATATCTCCTGCGCGACCGTAAAGCAGAAGAATCCAATCGTATCTGCCATAGATTGGTGGAGCAATTCGTCGACAGTGCACTGAAAGTGCGAGAGCAGTCCAGCAACCAGAAAGCGTTTATCGAAGAGGATAGTCACGATGCAAAGGGAAAGAAAAATCACCTTTTCCTGCTTAGTCTAGCCCAGCAGACGGGAGACCGAAGGCGGATTCGCGACGAACTAATGAATATTCTCCTGGCCGGGCGAGATACCACGGCATCCTTGTTGAGCAACCTGTTCTTTATGCTAGCAAAGAACCCTCGCATCTGGAACAAACTGCGCGAGGAAGTTGCTTTCCTAGAAGGCCGCCCGCCGTCGTACGAGCAACTGCGTAATCTGACATATGTGAAATTCTGCTTGAATGAATGTCAGTGATCCCGACCCGCAAAAAGTCTCATGAGCCATGGCTTACTTGGCACTGTAGCTCTTCGCCTCCACCCTGTTGTCCCAGCAAATCTGCGCTTTGCGAACACGGATACAGTACTTCCTCGCGGTGGTGGGCCAGACGGCAAGTCGTCTGTTTTCGTGCCAAAGGGCTCTAATGTTGCCTATCATGTCTATGCTCTTCACCGTCGTGAAGAATTTTTCGGCCCGGATGCGAATGAGTTCCGGCCTGAACGTTGGGCTGAGATCCGTCCGGGATGGGAGTACTTGCCATTCAACGGGGGACCACGAATTTGCGTTGGCCAACAGTATGCTCTGACGGAGGCAGGGTATGTCACGGTTCGGCTAGCCCAGAAGTTCTCTGTGCTTGAAAGCAGGGATCCAGGGCCGTGGGTGGAGGAGTATGCACTGACCGTTTGTTCAAGGAATGGGACGAAGGTGGCATTGAGATGATTCCTGCTTGTTTCTGTCTGAATTTGTAGAGATGGCGATGAATTAAGAGCGTATTACGTACATAGTATCTCCTCCAGTTATTAGTTGGAGGATTTGAGAATGCATGGTTTTGTGCAATTCTACATAGAACTGTATCAACTCGGGGTAGCTGCCAGTGTCACAAGCGAAGAAAAGTCAAGTGCCAATTGATCACGAGATTTTGCCCGGGTACCTGACTTGGAGGGAAGGCAGTTCCATGCCAGGGAGGACTCTGTAGCATGGATGTGTCTGACATGTGCCACAGCTCAAAAGAGCTCAATACTTCGCTATGTATTATGCGGAGATATTTTATTCACTGGAGCCAGGTATTACCAGATCCTTCACCACCTGTGTCCATGTAGTCTCTGACTCCCACCACTACTACCATGGCAACTAACATCATTCTGATATATCTTTGGTGATTATAAAATGAAGATGGCTAGACGGAGTAAAAACATCCAGCAGAACCGCTATCAAGTGAGGCATTCATTCTTTCTCTTCGCGAGATCCCTGAGGGTTCAGACAGATCCGGCATGTTGAACAACCAAACAAGTCAGTGATGAATCATATCATGGAATGTGTCAGTGGTTATACACACGACCGATCTAGTCTCTTCCCTTTGCCATGAGTTGTTTCGCTGCAGAAACATGGAGGAAACGAACACTATGTCAGCGAGGTAACTTTGCATGGCCGACTCCTTACAGGTGCTATAGTTGCCACAGCTTCAGTCAGGCGAGGTGAGGTAGGTACGTACAGCCCCCCTTGCTATCCCCTAGTAGCCCAAGAACAATTAGTTGCTGTACGTCGGATTATTCTAACATGTGTTTAATAGGTTGATAACATTCTTTGTCCTTCGCTCCACAGTACGAAGGCTACGGCCACTGACACATTCCAGACCATGAGAACCATGATACGCATCACTGACTGATTGGGCTTTTTCAACAGGCTGAGTCCGTCTCAACCCTCAGGGATCTCGGGTAGAGGGACAATGGATGTCTCACTTGATAGCGGGTTTGCTGGATGCTGTTATGTGGGGAACTACTGCAGACTCAACAAGGCCATGGGCTGTATAGCGAGACTATACGAAAAGCCTGATGTCGCACAAGAAAACCGGAGCAAAGGGGGCGGCAAGTAAAAGTATCGGAAAGAAAGGAGACGGAACACAAGATTCGTGGGCGTCGACATGACTACCTATTATTAGTAGGTGACGAAGAACGGAAACAAAGGGAAGCCCAAGCCAAGGAAAACATGCAACCGGGGCCCGCTGCCTTATAACAACTGGGCGTGACACAGCAGCATCACATATATCTGCCCGTCTGGCTAGGAAGTAGAGCTTATAACAAAATAGGGAACTCGTCACTAGGCAAACCGACATGACAGGCCACGTCTAGCGTATCAAACCCGCGCTCTGTACCTGTCGTCGGGTGAAACGAGGCTGAGATGTATCCTGTCATATGATGGGTTTGCATGCGACGACGGCTGGTACCTGGAAAGATGCCTGTTGGTTTGCCATGCTTTCGCACCAGCTCTAAATCTTACTAGTCATTTAGTATCAGGAACCCAGCCGGGTTCCGCAACATCCAGATCCAATGGTCAGCCACAGAGATGGGAGGTTAGTATTTATCATCGTTCGTTGGTTCTGACGCTTATGGCGGTGAGCTCAACCCTCACAGGCTTCCTTCCACAAGCCGTTCTTTGAGCTTTGGGTTCCTTTTCCTTGAGGCTGGAAATACTGATAAAAAGGGCGACGGAAGTGGCGGTGAAAAGGAGGCCTAGAAGATTCCCGTCCCACAATTCTATCTACCAATGGTGCTTTTTCCGGCATTCTAAAGTATCCATGAAGTTGTGGTCAGTGGTGGATCTCAGGGTCCTGCAAGATGGACAACGGAATTGCTTCCCCGATTGGACTATTGATCGCCTGAAGCAATTGCCAGCCATTTTTTGCGCAGATGTGGTTCAATAGACGGGCTGACGGACTCCATCCGCCGCGGTCCAGCCGATCGGAAACACGATCAATCGCGATACCCACCGAACAAGCATGTCTGACTTTCTCGAATAACGCATCCACACACCTCGAAAGAAGGAAGGGCGAAACTTCCATGGATCGATGTGTCGATCTGCATCTCATTGCTTTTTCCCCTCTTTTTTCCTTCTTTGTCGCCTGTCCTCCCTTTTCTTTCTTTTTGAGTTCCAGATTCCGCCCGGCGACCGTCTCAGTCGGCCCACTCTTCCAACATCGTCGTCACTTGTCGCACAATAGATTCCATTACTACTATAGCCTAACCGGCTCGTCGGTGCCCAATACCCGGGATCAAAACTACTAGTATGCCCGGAAGACCATCCGCGTGAACGGATCGGAGAGTAAGAAGCCAATCAAACCAGAACCGTTGATCCCGACAGTCTGTCACACAAATCCTCACTCTGCGAACTACGTGTTCCGTCCCGCCCTTCGACTTCGTTCCGATGTTGGTTTCTCTCTACTTCCCCGGCCAATCGGGAGCCGACCAGCCTGATGTCCCAAGGACTCGTCAGTCACGACGGGCTCCCTTTGGGAGGAAGGGTCTGGCGCATTATTGTCGGACGGTGGTATTCCACAGAAGCTAACCTGCATATCCACCGCCTGTCCACTCTGCCACGACGGGGAAGCTTTCCCCCCCCCCCCATCAGCAGCGGGTCATCTCTTCAGTTCTTTGAATAACAAATTTCGTTCATTCCACGGAATGCAAGGGAATTGTCGAACAAGGCCGATACACAAGGGTGTGGACTCGTCGTCGACGGGCGGCCACATGGCACGGGAGAGTGAATTATCAGGTCGATAGACCCGGAATGATGAATGGACTTGACGTCGGGGCCACTTAGTTGTCTATAAATATGCTCGACGGCCTGCTAGCAGGTCGACTTAAAATGATCACTTCCCAGTGAGAGCTTATCTTGCGTTCAACCCACCCCTCTCCTCTTCGAAGCTTAATCTGGCCTTACGGACGTCTTCTTCTTTCACTTGTGTTCAGGCGGCGACCATACAACATACATACTAGTAACACACAATGGACCGAAGTGCCACCAGCGGAAACAATGGCTCTGGCCGTGCCACTAATGGCACACATTCTGATTTACCGGACCTGGCTACATACCAAGCCCAATGGGCCAAAATCCATGATGATACTGTGCGCCAGATCAACGAAGCTTTAGGTATGTACTGCCCATTATTGCTTTATTTTGTGCATCATTTAACGCCGTCGAATTTCTAGAACAAGAGAAGAAACGCATAACCAACCGACCAAAGCAGTCTCCTTCAAGCTAGCGATGAGTGATGAGCTTCCGGAGAAATGGCGATATCGGGTGTTTATCGGAACTCTGTTATTTCTGGACTCTTTCTTCTTGTTCGGCATCTGCTTGCTTTTTCTTCACTTCGTGTTGATCTCCCTTTTTATTTGACTTTCCCAAATTTCCGCAGTCTTACACGTTTATTGGCCTCATTTTTTGATTGCATTCCCCTTGTCGTGAAGCGGATCAGCGTTGCTCCATTATATACCATCTAGCAGTCTGGATATTTCAAAAAGTGTTATCTTTCCTTTACCTGAAACAATTAAAGGTTATCTGAGCTCTTTACCATCTCTTTCTATTCGAATTATGACAGTTTCTCTATCCTTCAGCTGCCCCTGTAACGAATAAACGCCCTGTGATGTGCTAAATCCATAGCGTGGGGTGACACTGTCCATGCGCCCTAAGTTAGATTAATCCCTGACGTCACAGCTGCCGGTGTACCCTTTGTTGCCTAATCATACGAAGAGCTCAGCTGGTGTTCGACCCATAGAAGAACTAGAGTGATATGTAGGATGACGTTCTTACCTCTCCCACCCACCTAGTACCCGGGGAGGAAGGAAGAGGAGGAAGAGAGGAACAACAGCACCGCCACGAAGTTCGAAATGGAACGAGTTCCTATCGCTGACGGGACCTACCAACGTCACCACGCCACACTTACTAGATACATCGTATTAGAACCATCCCGACCGCCGAGATAAGTTATTTCCCAGTATATAAACAGAAACAAAATCAATAAACCGTCCCACCAAGCAAAAGAGCCCAGTTCCGTTGGGGGGCCAGACTCATATCCTAGCCAGACCTCAATTACGAGTCCTGCCACATCCCAATACTACTAGTAGAAATTGAAGCACTGGTGGCTCCACCGGGTGTCTCCGATCTGATGCGGCCAAAAGTACCATTGCATTGCCGTTCGCCGCGGAGACTTCCGAACCCTCCGTTACAAAAGATGGGTCCACGCCGATCCCCTTCCCCCCTGTATGTAGTAACCCTCGAGCAAAAGTACCATGCCTTCTTGCCATAAAGTACCGCGACCAGTAACTGGTTTGGGAGGTTGGCTGCTTGGCCCCATCTATTTCATGCATAATGTCCTTTTGCCTTTTTCGTTTTTTTTCTTCGCTCATATGACTGATGTAATTTGTATGTGCGCGAGGGTTTATCTGGTGACTGCAGCCCGACTCATTTTAGCCGCCTTCGTTTCACCAGTATCGATTGAGGAATTTCTTTGATTGTTGGACAATCTTTTCGCCGAGGCTGTTGCTGACACATAGGGCAGATGCAGACCAGACTGTTGGCAAATGACTGGACAGTTTTGCCTGCGGGCTCAGCTGCGTCGCGTTCGGCGCGTGGACTATTCCCGGTTTGGGCTGCTAGCTGGGGTTTCGGGGAGAGGTAGATTTTGGCGGCTGTCGCGGTTGTAGATCTATTCTTTAGTTGCCTGGAGTGAGTCATTTATGAGATGCACACGTACTAACCGAAAAAGCTGCTCGCCTATCATCGAAGATTGTCGGGGATAGCTCTTCAGGTTTTCGTTCATGTGCGGTAATAGCACATGCTTGATTATTGGGTCAGAGAAGACTATTGTTCTCGTGGCTCAGGTCGAGGAACAGAGACAATGTACATCTGTTTATGCGCTCGAAGAATCAAGGGATGTGCTTCCAATCCTGTCAGAGCTGAATCTGATACTTGGCTATGTTCGTTGTCGTCGTTGGGGCTAGCTGAATCGAGAAAGTCACGTTCTCGGTCTGCAGCCTCGAGTTGTCCTCCGGCGGTGTTAGTGTCACCTTTGTCCTCCCGACATTCTTCACCTTATCTTGACGTTCTATCCTTGCCTTGGGATCATTTCGATTATGGGGAATCAATCATCTGATTATAATTATAACTGCTTGCCTGCATTGACTGACAACCGCTCTATACCCCTGTCCTTCCACCGAGAACAAGTACGATAGCAGTGAATATTTTGATGGCTCTAAGCGCTACTCTTCACGTATCATTCGTGCACTGACCTCACCCCTCTTCAAGAAGATCTCGGACACAACCGCCCATTATTGTTCCACGAATACGGCAAAGGATCCGTGACTTGAACTTCCCAGTCCTCCGATCCCACCGCCGTAAGAGCAAAGAACAACCCGGTCGGGTCGTACTTCTGCTTCAACTCATACAGCCGCGGGTAGTTGGCACCATAGAATGCCTGCTGGAAGTTGGGCTCCAACAAATCACCCTCATTCATATACGCGCCAGAGTCGGGAGAGAGCTCCCGCAGAGCATCCATCCAGTTCGTCACAAAGAGTGAAGAATTTTTGACTGTTTCCCAGCTCGAGGTGAACTCCCATTCGGTTGCGACGATGACGTGAGAGAGAGCGTCACGCCATGCCGGCAAAACTGCAATGTCCGTCGGCGGCTCGACAGCGCTTCCTTTACCACTGATGTGGAAGCCCATGATGAATAAGCCCTACTACGGTTAGTAACTGATGCGAATACGATTTGAACAGTCAGCATACCTTCTCAACGGCGTCCTTTTGAGCAAGGAAGTTCCTGTTACGGAGGTCTTGGTTCTCGAACACATTTCGAGGCAGAAGACGGGAAGCCAACTTGTATATGTCCAATCCACCGGTTTCCAGAGGAAAATTATCCTCCTCCCAGACTTCATAGAAGTTATCCGCATGGCTATAAATGGGAATGAAGCTGACGTTAAGGCTATTGAGGGTATTGAACCAAGGTCTGAGAAGGCTCTGCGTCTGCGGAATGGTCATGTTGGGTGCAACAAAGGAAACCATGCGGAAGTTGTAGTCAGTGTCATTGGAAGAAGCTTGCCCGTTCTCAGCTGCCGAGGATCCCAGCAAATAGTATCCATATGTTCCAGCGTTGACAAAGTCCTCGAAGTGGTCTAGGTAAGACTGGAAAGCGGCCCAGAACGCTTCAGCGTTTGGAGTGTCGTTCATCGTCCAGTTGAAAGTTACGATTGTCGTGGGCAATTCCGGATAAGCCTTGATGGTCATGGATGTTACCACGCCAATTGTGCTGCCTCCACCACCGAGAAGCATCCAGAAGACGTCTGAGTTCTGCTTGGAAGTTGCAGTAATAAAGCGACCGTCCGCCAAGACAACTGTAGATTGATCAGTGAACTCTCACCAACGATAATATGTTGAGTCACAGGGAAAACCAACCTTCCAGAGCCAAAACCTGATCTGCCGCCATGCCATACATGCTACTCAATGGCGAGTGGCCTCCACCAAGTGTGAAGCCACCAGAAACTCCAACAGAGAGACATCCGCCTCCGATGACGGTCACATTCAACGCTTTCCCGAAGTCATACGCCTCCGAAACTTGAACCCCAGCTCCCAGCTTTATAGCAGGTCCAACATAACCACCGTCAGACGTGAAGGAGGGGTAGAAAGCCTTGTTTTTGAGTCGGTGCGTCCAAATCGACAGACCTCCTTTTCCTGATGGCTTGCCGTTAAAATCGTGACCGGTGTTCTTGACTATCAAGCGAAGGTTCTGGTTTCGGGCAAAGTTCACAGCCAACTGAATCTGAGCAACAGTGGATACGTTGACGACGTACGTAGGGTAAGCGCCTTGAGTACAGGTGCTGGTATAGTTGTACCCTATGGGCATGCACGAGCGACCCTCATCCAAGGGTGCCATGATGGAGCTAGGATCATCGTAGCTGAATACTTCTCAGCTTGAAGTTACTTTGACGCGGAAGTATGACACTGATATACTCACTGCAAAGAGTCTTCAAGCCAGTTCGATGTTACCTCAGAACATTGCTCGGTATTATATTGGGGCCAGTTGGGGTAGCAGGACGCTGCCAAAGGTGCAGGCTTAAGCAAGCTCCCACCACCAAGCAACTGGTCAAAAATACTCCAGGTCGATTCAGTTGGCCATGTCGCATCCCCTGGCATGACCTTGCAGCGATGCTGGGGGGTTCCGCTGCTGTTAGTCGAGTTACTTGCCCCAAAAGCAAATATTCTCGATAGGGTCGCATTATTAAGGGCGGTATCCGCTCTAGCCAATGCACTCTCAGTCAGCTGTACTGCTTCATAAGAGAACAAGGGCGGCGCAGCAGAAGGGCTCGTTGTCACAGTTGCCGCTGCTGCACTCAGCGAAGCTATAGCCCTTGTAGCCTGTGCATATGCTGCGGGTGCCATCATCGAGATGACCAATCCCCGCGTAAAATACCCCTTCATGGTTACTGACGACTCGCTATGGGAGGAAGGAAGCCACAGGCCCGCTGCGAATGCAAAATGATGGGCGGGCAGTGGTTACTCTAGCACTATAAGTATTCTGCGGCTAGCGGCTGAATGAGACGCTAATAGGTTCAGATCGTCGCTCGTTACCCTCACGTTCTATTACAATAAACAATATTGACCTTGATTCTGTCACAATGTGCTTAAAAGAGTCTTTTCAGTGGCCTTATGACATACTGGGCCCGCGGAGGTTGAGATCGAATGCTCTTGAAGTCGTGAGGTCATCGACAGCTTCCTATGTCGTTCCCTACTCTATAACAGAGGGATTGTAATCACCAAGGATTACCCTATCTTGCGACAATAAGTTATCTTTGTTTATGTTTCACGGACGATAATATCTCACCTAGCTGATCCTCATACTCAGCTGAACGTATCGGTGTACACCGCTTATTCCACCGAAACGTTCATGGTCTGGCTAACTGGTATTGTATAATCTGATCACTTTTAAACTAACCTACTCGTACGAACACAAGAACACTCAAGTCACTAATACTAGACAGGATGGGTGTCCGGCTCTAAGTGCTGGTTTTTTAAGCAGACGCGACAGATTGACAAAACATTGACGATATGCAATCGCTAACTGCAAGCGACTTACCCAACCTCCAGGGAACTCTGCAAGAAAAAGTAATGTATTCAAAGCCAGCACCAAACTATTGTTCAAAAATGTGGGGACGGCGCCCGCGTCGCAAATCCCAATAACCTGTCGGCATGCAGCTATTGATTCCCATCGCCGCTAGTCAGCCGCGGCTGAATTAGCGCGACTGGTCACTACCGATTTTTTCTTTCGACACAATTCTGGCCCCAGGGCTTAATCGCTGATAGGTTTATGTGACTGAGTAGCAGTTTAGTGCAGATATTGATGCATATACTATTGGGGCACTAAACGCCATACACGAGAATGAGCAGATTCAATTGGATAGGTTACAATCATTGACTTTGCACGAAGCTGATCCTTGCAGGAACATGAAAATGGCATCGATGATATTCCCCTCTTCAAGTACATTACTCTGTTGCCTTGTGTTCTGTTGTAAGTCTACGGATGGCATTATTTCAGGTATGTGTTAGTAGCCAAAACCCTTGAGTGTAACAGACCAAACTATTCGCTACTTAAACTGTATAACTGACGATGTTTCAGAAAATTAAAGCTCATAAGAAGACGATATGTCAGAGCACCATTTGCCACTTGACCCGAGTTTCCTTCACCATCCCCAGAACTCCGACGGGCAGGAACTTCTGATCCACCAGTCTAAGACCTCCCAGTTTCTCTAGCACTTCTCCGGCATATAATTGCAAGTGCCATAGCTCTTCACTGTCCAAGTTGCCAACTTGCCCCTGGGTTAGAGTCTCCCGTAAAGCCCTCTCAAGCTCCGGTGATGTATCAAGTGGCTGCATTGTCGGAACGCGCATCAGCTCGATATACATTCGTCTAAGATTGCCACTTGCAGTTTCGCGAAATCGAGAGAATTCCTCGAATGACATAAACGTATGGATTTCTCGCTCGGTCACCAAGTCGCCGTCGAGATCTGCATTGGAAACACAGGTCTCTAGCACCTTTCGCCGCCGTTGATCGCTCAAGTCTTCGAACGTCTTTTTTAGCTGAGAATACAAAGTTTTCTCTTCCTCTAGATATTGCTTTATTCTCGCTAGCGGTGGCTCGCCCATGATACCCTCAACCAGGAGCACGGATGTGAAGGGATTGCGTAGGCCAAGTCCACCTAATTCTTCTGGGAAGAAAAAGAAAGCATCCGGAATTTCGAATTCGCCAAGCCGTCCTGTGATAATTGCCCGCAGATGTTCCGGAATACTTGTTGATGCCGAGTCATTCAAAATCCTATCTTGGATCTTCTTGTACGTGGTCAAAATGGCACGTACATGTGGCTCCCCGAAGCAGTAAGCAGGCTGGCCGAAGGTATTCTTGAAGAACCTTCCGATGCAGCTGTTCCATGTGCGGACCCAAGATATTACACTATCGCAACGATCCAGTTGCTGTTTGAGTTGCTGAACGTGCGCATCGACAAGGGTCTCGTCAATCACCCACGTCTCGGTGTCTGCATCCAGTTTCAGAAATCCAAATGTGACTGAACCTTCCGGGAGCTGGGAAGCGATTCTGGGATCTCTGTACTCAGCCAAATAAGCCGACCCAGTCTTGCTGTAATTAAACTCCAGCCCTGTGACCTTGGCGAAATTACCCATCACTTCCCATGCTCGTACACACTTGGCTGGCTCGCCGCACAACCACAAGTCATCATGCAGGCGGTATAAGAGCAAGCCCGTTTCGCGATTTACTGCCAAATCCATGAAAAAGAGGATCATTTCTCCAAGCAGTTTCTCAGCGGCATGCGAGAATGGAATTCCCCGCTTCCTGATGCGTAGTCCAACTGACTCACGTCCCTCATAGGAGCTGTCCATGTTTAGGGGTGCTTCCATATAACGATGGTAGAAGTCAATCCACCTCTTTGGGAACCCAATATACTTCATGATAATGACAATTGTACTGTGCGGCAGACAAGTGGCGTACCATCTCATGTCGGATTGAACCACCACCGCTGCACCGTGCAAGTGTCGACGGACAAGCGCCTCCGTGGCAATCTTTCGTAGCAGCTGCTGTCGGAAATTCTTTCCCTCGTGCCTTGTTGGACTTGTCCCAGCAGCATCATTGTCATCATCATATGAATTGCCCTTCTCACTCAATGTGCTCTCTGATTTTGGAAGCTGCGACAAGAAGTAAGTTTCCAGGTACTCTGTGAATCGCAACTGCTCAGCAGTTGAATATACTTCGCCATTACCCATGTAGTATCTCCGTCGAAGGCGATCGCGTGCCGTCTTCTGTCGCTCGGGTTTCCAGTTCCACACCGAGTCTTGTTGGACAAACCTTGATAATAGACGCTTCAGAATGTTACAATGTCGCGTGCTGATATACTGCAGGAAAATCAACTGCAGGAGATCCTCGTCCATCCAAATGCGATACTTCCCATTTGCCTGCTGCCGGGGGACAACAGGAATACCGTTTTCGCCAGCATGCCAGGCCCAGTTTTCGATATCACTGTATCGCATATTCAACACATCGGCGATCTCAGTCAGAGCGACCGGTGTCTTCAGGAACGAATTCATAATCTCCCGCTTCTCCTCACTGAGAAGTTCTTCATTCAAGAGTCCACGCACACAGTACTCCACAGATCGCGCGGTAAAAGGCTCTTGTTCTTCCCAGAATGATGTGGTCTCGCCCTTGAGCTGCCTGCGAAGATTGACCAAGGCATTTACACTCTCCTCATCCGGGAAAAGGTCATCAAGGAAGGCCCGTATCTGCCATTCGTTTGTCTCCAACGGCTCGAAAACGGACGCGTCGAATTGATCACACAGTTGCTGCAGACGCTGCTTCTGTCGCTCATCCACTACCATGTAGTCGTCGTCGACCGCCATCTCGCTCTCATCCTGGGCCGCCGCAACAGGCGGGTCCACCCACTCCGTCAGCAGCCGCGAGTACAGGTCAGCCAGGCCTAGCTTTCGACTTTGGATGTTGAGTTTCCTGAGAAGCTGAGCCTCAAATTCCTGCAATTTTTCTGGCGGGATTGACGAGTCGTAGATCGATTGATGCAGCCACCGCTCAATGTTAACCATCGTGGGATCGCTAGACGCCGACGGACAGAGCTCTCTTGCTCCCTCGAGCAGGTGCTCGAGTCGCTGATGAGTGTCCTGAGTGGCATGGGCCGCCTCAAGAATGGCGGCCTTGTCAGCCTCATAGCTTTTGCGTCGCTTCTCGAGCTCACGGATTTTGCTCTCAGTCAGGGACCGCAGGGTTTGCGAAAGGGCGGATACTGCAGGGGCCATTATAGAGCTGCACGATTCTCGACTAAAACTTCGTCAATTAACGAGAGACTGGTGTGTGTTGTCTCAAGCCCAGACCATATACTCAATGGTTTTATACTTCCCCAGCTGGCAGCTTGGCAGCACTTCTGCCTGCGCAGCTGCCTGGCGATCGGCATGCATCCACATTCCACCAATGAGGCTCTACACCCATCTACAAACCATCTGCAAGGGATAGATATGGACATGCCAGGGTCTCTTTGGACCCTTCCTCGACCCTTCATTCATGATCCAACCATGTCTGCGACCAGTACTAAAGAATGCAAAGAACCACGAAACCATCCCTATTGAACCTCCACACTATGTACAGGGATAACAACACCCATAACCCGCCCCTTCTCAATAAATCAATTTTCAAGACTAAACCTCGCCAACCCATCCACCCACTCCTGATGTCCCAAAAGCATCGGATTCGGCTTCTTCTCCGCCAACCCAGCAGCCGGCTTTCCCGCCTGCACCTCCTGCGTTAGAATCCTCACCACTCCCCACTCCATATCCTCCACAATCCACGCATGATACACCTCCAGCGCCGTCTCCTCGTCTCCTTCCTGCCATGCGCGCCAGGCTAGCCGGCCCGGTGAGGTTGCCGTGGGCGCCTCGCATTCGCAGATCTCCGCTTGGAGAGGCGGGAATCCGAATGTCGCGAAACTGAACTTGTCGCCGGGGTTTTGGAACGTTCCATCGTTGGTTGGGGGCGGTGTCACTTGGTCCACGTTGCTGTAGTAGGATGTCCAGCGGGATGGGGTTATCAGGTTCGGCCATACCCGGGAGGCGGTTAACTTGGGGACGTAGATCTCGTTGGATACGAAGTTTTCGGTCGTGCCGGGGAGGAAGCGGTGGGGGAAGCGGATTGTGGACATTTTGGTTGATTGAGGTGGTGGTTGGGTGAGTGTTCGTGGTGGAGTAGGACGATGAGGTAGTTGAGGGTAGGGTGAGGATGAGTGTTCACGATGTGCGATGTGCTTTCAGTAGGATTTTCTTGATTATATAGAATGAGGGAAGTAGTAATGGGAGGAATGGAATCATGGGATGGATGAAGGTCTTATATCATGTTTGAGAGGGGATATTACATCATATACCCCACGGTGCTGTTCGGTGGGTCCGGACGGCTATCCGAGCTTGACATAACCTTATGGGATACCATTTCATGGTTCTGTCCTTGACTATCTAACGACCTCTGCTTCCTTCTGATCATGACTTGAGATTATATTTACAAAGAATCTGGCTACCTCTGACTTACTCTTTGTGTTAGCATCTTTCTCGACCACGCGACAAGTACTAGCGATGGGTCGCTCACATTTGTATCCTCGCCAAAGGTCATCGGAGCTGGTCATTATCTCAAGAATCTAAGATAGAAGGCACCGTGCTAACATCAGAGTGGATGAAGAAGTGGAGGCAACATCATTGCCATCACCACCCTCGGCAGGTGCTTGCTCCTCGTTGTGTGCAGAGTATGGGGTGTCACACTCAGTGCACACATTTATAGGATAACAATGACCCGACTTCCCATTACATCATCACCCTAGCAGCTTGCGCCATGGTGTCCGCCGAAGTATAGGCTTCCATCGATGTTACGGTGAAGTCGAACTTACCGGGATTCAACTGTCATTCAGTCAATATACCCCGTAGCTGTAGCAATAGTGGGTTTGTGGGTTTGATTTACGACTCAACTAAAATGCCTCACTTTCTGTAGGAACCTTGTATGGTGAATTCATGTTATTGAGGATGACTAGTGATGGGTACCGCCGAGTTTTAGCTCGAGAAATAGCTCTATACCCGCACTCTAAGGCTACAGGGGGTAGCCTCAGACTTACAGTGTAAGAAAATCAGCTGGTGAATACCCTTGACATAAATACTCGAGAGAACATAGACAATTCCTAGTACTAAAACAGACATGTGGGACCGAACGCTGAGGAGAATGAGAGACTGCAGGTGTTCTCGGTGATTCAGGAGGTGATAGTAATGAACACGCATATTATCGGTGCCAGTGGATTTAATCGGGGGCCATGGCTCAGGGAATGAATGCTTGGGTACATGCTTAGGCTGTAAGGTTAGAGACAAGCGGCGTGAGATTTTAGTGCCGGTGTTGAGTTCGCTAGGATTCTGTACCCCAGCCAGTTATGCATAGACCTTTGAATTGCTCTTTTTTTATAAAGGGTATGGTTTTATATGTAGTGGCAGTTGGATAAGGCTTAATGGTAAATCGCTGTTATTGTAGTCCCTTTCCACTGGTCATGTTTGACATCAGTTTTCAATCCATGTCCAAAATGAACCATCTCATAGGCCAAGTCACGCATAGTGGAACTGGCTACTGCACAACCTACTAGTACTAGCCTGAGCCTTGTCTCACCAGACAATGAATCAGAACCGAGGATTCTTCTTCTTCCGTTCCTCCTCCACAAATGCCTCGAAAGCCGCAATGTCCTCCGGCGGAACGTACACATCCTTCCACAATTCCCCTTTCATCTGCATCACCATCTCGTGCATCTTCTCCTGAGTCAGATCGCTTGAACAGACCACCGTCATTTCATACTTGGTCGCGCTGATATTTTCGATTTCGTACGCCTTTTCTTTCACATGGCCCGCAACAGCAACAAAAACATCTTCGATCGGGGGTGGAAAGTCGGTGCATATAATGCGAAATCCGTTGCCAGGTTTCAGATTTATCCACGTAGTTTTGATGAAAGGAGGCCCGCAAATCACAAAGTTCTTGTCGGTTATCTCTTCGATGACACCAGTAGTGGGATTTTGGAACTTTCCATTCACGATGGGGACCCCGTGGACAGGATGCCAGTTTGAGACGTATTTCATGTTTCTGTTCTGGGAGGATTGAATTGGTTTTGACCTTTGCTTGAGATAGAGTGAAAGAAAGAAAAGAGAATGGCTTCTGAGATATGTCTCTTAAAAGGGAAAAAGAAGGATGGCCTTCTATAAGACTTTTCGATCTTATTGATGACTGGCAGGTATCCAGCCTGCTATAGACTTTGGTCTAATATGAAACGCCTGTCAAACTAGGAGGAAGCTGGGATCACATGTCCACGACCAAGCGCTCATCCAGAGGCAGCCATTTTAGTCAAGCTCTAACCCCTGCTAAATGTCTCATTTCCCCTCTTTTGTTCTTCCAACTTGACCAAAAATGCTGCAAGTCCCTGCCTAGAAGACAGAGATGTAACGTTGGATTCTCAGATCAGGTCAGAATTGCACTAGCGCGGAGGATAAGCTTTCGAGTCAAGGCTCATTGCTGTCCGAACATGGGGGACTACCTCCCCTACTGTTTTAGTCTCTAAGATCTCTGATCCATAAGCCTACAGACTGAAGCCAATCTGGCACCAAACACACTGCCTAGAGATACCGACAAAGCCCTACCAAAGCCAAGGCTACACCCCATGTAATCCTCGAGCGATAAGAACTAACAAGTGGTTGTAAACCGGAGCTGATACTAGAGTAGCCACACAGTTGATGCCACTCTTTTCTCCATCTGAAGTTAAGTACCGGATCCACCGCTTAGCAATGTCCCTTGTTTATAACTGGACCACCCAGTACAAGTAGCAGCATTTATAAGCAGTCGATCAAAATTCTCCAAGCTTCATCATATGCACCTCGCCCGTAGCTATTCTGGCCGGTATAGCTAAATTGTCAAAGCAGGCGATGTGGCAAGACGGGGTGCGGACCATCCTTCCGCTTATGGCTTAGTCTCCATCCGTCGCACTAACCTTAAATTTCTCTAGCGGACACTAAGCCCTGTTCATCCACACTAGTCCGATCCAAGTTAGCCGGCAGATCAGGGTCTGCTGTACGTAGCACGGTTGTCCCTGCGTCGGTGGCATCCATCACACATACTTCAAGCCGTCAGACAACGAGTATCAATTGTAGTGGGATAATACCGATATACGGCCTGAGTATAACACAGCAATATGGAAATAATACATTTGACAGCGAACAATGACCGACAGACCCAAACAACAACTGCGCATTACGGTTGTAGATCACATATACCCCACATCCTGCGAATTCTTTCAACACAACACAAATAAGCATCCAAATACAATCATCAAGGACGACAGCTATATTATTAAGCTGAATTAATCATCAAGGCCACCTTCTGGAAGATGCTGCGTGCAAAAACACCGTCCAAATCCAGCTTAGCCTCCGCTCGGAACAAACGTGGGCGGAATCTAAACCCGTTTAGGATGCTTTTGTAGAGCTGCCCCGTTTGTTCATCAGCTTGGCTCTGCTCAATTCCATGACCAGAACACCCGGTACAAAAGGTATATAAACACAGACAGACATGGCATTCTCATATTCATCATCAAAGCAACAATTTCTCCATCCTCCACTTGAGATCACCAAGACATCAACGTCTCTACCTTGATCACTTCCCTCTATTTCCTATCACCTTCTCACATCACACACAATGGCACCTCAACTCGCCTGGCTGGGCCTCGGTAACATGGGCCGCGTACGCATCCCCCATCCCAAATAACTGACCAACACTCACAGCTTCTAACTTTCGTAACAGGGCATGGCCAAAAACCTCGCCGCCAAAGGCTCCCTCAGCACCCCCCTAATCATCTACAACCGCAACATCACCCGCGCCCAAGAATTCCAAGCCGCGACTCCCAACACCATTATCGCCAACACCATCTCCGAAGCCGTCACCAAGTCCGACATCATCTTCACCTGTGTCGGCGACGACGCTGCCATCCAATCCATCATCGACGCCAGCATCGCCAGCGGCTCCCCCCTCACCGACAAGCTCTTCGTCGACTGCTCCACCGTCCACCCTGACACCACCACCTCCATCTCCGAAAAGCTCCAAGCCAAGGGTGCCCACTTCGTCGCCAGTCCCGTCTTCGGCGCCCCGCCCATGGCCGCCGCCGGCCAGGTCATCCCCGTGCTGGCGGGTCCCCGCGCCGCCGTCGAGAAGGTCAAGCCCTACACAACGGGGGTTATTGCCAAGGCGGTTGTGGATTTCAGTGATCAGCCCCCTGCTAAGGCGTCGCAGTTGAAGATCCTCGGTAACACATTTGTGTTGGGTATGGTTGAGAGTATTGCTGAGGGGTTGGTGGTTGCGGATAAGTGTGGTCTGGGCACGGATGCCTTGCACCAGTTCTTTGAGGCTGTGTTCCCCGGTCCTTATGTTGCTTACTCCGCTAGGATGAGGTCGGGTGATTATCATGAGCGGAAGGAGCCGTTGTTTGCGGTTGATTTGGCTCGGAAGGATGCTCGTCATGCGATGGATTTGGCGGGTAAGGTGGGCGCCAGGATGAAGGGGGTGGAGTTGGCGGATGACTACATGGCGAAGGTGAAGGAGCATATGGGTGAGAGGGGTGATGTGGCGGGTATGTATGGCGCTGTGCGCCAGGAGGCGGGTTTGAAGTTTGAGAATGCTCAGTAGGTTGATGCTGAGACATCTGCTCTATTCAGGCGCCTCTTACCTACCTGCCAGCCATCATCTTGAGATATAGATAAATAATATACATATGTTTGATCCTTCCTGTCCTCCAATTTAAGGGTCAATGTGGTCCGACAAGCTAGCTAAACTGAGCAAGTCACATTATCAACCCAGGAGTAGTGGAAGTGTCCGTCGAAAGAAGGGTGTTTTCCCCCTTTACAACACTTAGTCCATTTCTATTGATGGAATTATTGACCTGAATGATTGCAAGCAAATCAAAAGAAGAAAAATTTTAAAAACATACAACAGAAGGGATTCGCTGGTGGTCACCCACCCAACTACTAACCTCCCGGCGTGTGGCTTAAGTACTGCTGAGCGGACGGGAAGCCCTGTTTTCCACACCCTGTGGTCGTATGTACTTATTCTCTCTGTGGGACAATTAGTATAGACCATATTTCTCTTAATCAAGCTGTAAAATGAGCAACGGGAGTTGTTCATGGAAGCATCCCGGGAAGAAAATTCACGAACATCTGCAGAACAATCATCCATGACATAGTATGGACAGGTACTCAAAAGTGTACATCACATAAAATAGTAATAAAGTCAGACCAATTAGTAGTAAATGTTGTGGGTTTAACTAGCAATTTCAACATAATGGATGCTATCAGGAGATATCTCTTCATTATATAAATGTCACCATCGGTCTGTATATGGAGTACATCCCACCCCATTCATCCACGTTATCTACCCGCATCTGCCCAACTTCCAGTAGAGCAGCCGCCTACCATACAGTAATAGAGAATGCATCAAACAGAGAAGTTATACTCCTATTATCAAGCTTGCTCGGAAGGACGCCGTGAGGGCTAGAGTCAGCTTCAGCGCGTGCTGATGAATGGGACGGTGCTGTTACCGGAGCCCCTGCGATTCGTTTCTCGCAACAATAAATAACTACATGTTTCCACCGGTCGTTGAAAAGACTATGGGGTATTATCCTCCTCCCTGCAAGCTGGAGCAAGTTATGTATGAGACCATTGATGCCTGTGACGCCCTCGACGGTCGCACTGATGGCGTGGTATCTCGCACTGATCGGTGCAAGTTGAACTTCAACCTCTCAAGTTTAATTGGCATACCTTATTCTTGCAACGTGACCAGTGCCCCCACCGGGTATGGGCTGGCCCAAAATGGTACGATTACTGCAGAAGGTGTTGCTGCTGTAGAGGACATTCTTAAAGGACTTCATGATTCGAATGGTCTTCGTGCCTATCTACCTTTGCTGATTCCAAATCCTCTTGGCCGATTGAGTCTCTCATTTCCTGCGTTATCTGCACAAAGAACGCCACATGAGCTAGCACACAAGGATAATGGGTTAATTCTCACATATATTCGGTCATTTTCTTATGCCTTACCTATCCAATTCTAATCTCAGCTCGAGATTGGCTGCACTTACTGGTCACTCTCTTCGTAGAACGCTAAAAAAAGATATCACTTGTCCTTGATATCCCATGTATATCCATAAATGAAGATCGTAAAATCAAAAATGTAATCATGAGTTTAAATGAATAGGAACGTGCAACCCGGATGTCAGTAGTGATAATTCGGAAAGGTGGCATATTAGTTCCCTAGAGACAAGAGGGGTTCTGTATTGGTGTTATATGCAATGCACGAGCTCATTTGAATGCTTTATGCTCATTCATTTTTATGAAATAATATCCATCTGCATGAGACCATATATAGCCTCCGAGGATATTCGTCACATTTTGAAGCTCAGGAGGATTCGTCCTTCCAGAAGTGGACTTGAAACTTTCGTAGAGAAAGAGAAATGAAGCCAGATTTCCTTATAGAGCGCACCTTCAGTCTCGAACGGTTAGACTCCGTCTCGGCAGACAGCCAGTCATTTGTTGGGTGGGCCGGCTTTATACGACTGAAGGTCTGTAACAAACGTGTGACAACATAGGAAGCATGGATCAAGGCATATTGCTCTGTAGCGATGTGAGGGATAATCGCCTGTAGGAGAGAAAAGTAGAATAACTTACTGCCAAGACATGTTCGCGGACCACCAGCAAACGGAATATACGCCCAGGAAGGAGGAGAATTGGCCCATCGCTCGGGCCGAAATGATTCGGCGTCATCACCCCATATGTCGCGGCGACGGTGCACGAAATACGGGAAGAAAATTACGAGTTGGTCTTTAGGAACCAGGATGGGAGCATCGCCATCTTCACCACCGCCCATGGGCAGCACAGTGTGTTTCTTCGCCTCCACTGCCGTTATTGGAATGGGAGGAAAGAGTCGGAGAGCCTCGCATAGAACCCATTGTAAGTATCGACATTGGAGGAGCTTCTCTGCCGTTATCGTGGACGAATCGGGCCTATTTTTACTTCTGTCTGAGTCTTGATCGATCGGGAATGTTGACAAGATTTCCGATCGGAGCTTCTCCAGTATGTCGGGGTGCAAGGAGAGTAGGGCAAACGTGAAGCTGAGGAGGGCGACCGTTGTGTTACGGCTAGCAATGAGGAGGTTGGTCGAGTATTCGTGCAATTGCTTTTCATTCAGAGTTTCGGCCTCCATTAGAGCAGCGAGAAAGGACTTTTGTATCCCACTAGGTTGCGACAGGTCATCTTTCAGCAGATGGTGGACTTGAAGCGACACATATCGCTGGACGAAGTTGAATGCGCTGCTGAACTTGCGTCGTTTGAAAAGGAAGGAGAGGCGCCCGGTAACCATGCGGATCACTATCCCCAGTAGGCTGATATCAAATGCTCTGGCAAAACCTTGGGTCATGCTGGCAGCAGAACCGTCTACTTTACCCTTGGAAATTGAGGCCTTGGCCCACGGTTGGGAGTCCACACTGCGTCCAAAGATTGCTTCAGTGGCCGTATCCATTGTAAAGCGTTCGAAAAGACCTTTCAAATCAATGGGTCCCGTCCAGCCAGACCAAGTGGCATCGTCGTTAGGAATCGTAAAATCCAAGATCCTTTCCAAATGCTTGTGGACCAGTGTCAGGTCTGTGATTTTACTCCTCACAAAGAGCGGGCGAAGCAGATTTCGTGCATGTCTCCATTTCTCCCCATCAACTGTAAACAGGCCCTGGCCGAGCAGAGGAGCCATACTGCGCTTTCGAATTTTACCCGGTCCGAAGCTCTCGAAGTCGGTAGACATAATGGCTCGGATATTTTCAGGCTGCGCTGTCATGATAGCATGTAGGCCTGGTTCCTTAATCTCGTGTGTAAGTCCATACTTCTCGAATCCTTTGACCAATTATCCGTCTAATATATCGCCTCGGAATCGTAGCCGCTCAAGGCGTTATTGATGCCCAGGGGCCCTCTTCTTCGGAAGAGAGGCGGATTACGACAAGATAAAGACTGGCGTAATCTCCTCAATCTGTAAATCTTCCTTAGTCGACGAAAGGTGTAAAATATCGCAATGCAGGCTAACCCAGCCACGTTAAAGCCCAGCATAGTTGAAGTACGGACGTGAGACGTATAGAAATAATAATAAACATAGTGCACGGAAAATCAACTACGTAGTAAGGAATCGTGGCAACATTAAGATTGTGCAAAAGAGCTTCCACTTTGAAGATCTTGACGTAAGGGTTGAATGGACGCTGATACCTGGCAGTCACAAAGTAAGGGCTGGAGGTAAACGTGCAGGTAGACAAGCAGACAGACGAATCATGAAAAGCCACGCTGGATTCGTTGATACTTTCATCAGGCATGTAAGAAAAGAAATGGAAGCCCCGCGAAGGGATTTGTTGCCTTATGATCGACTAACAAACCTTATGCATGATGTCTGTCTTGAATGGGCCTGGTTTGGTCACAAGACATGCAGATTAATACATGGAATGAACATATTACGGTGATGATTAGCGGCCACCGGCAATAACAGTTTTTGAGATGCAATATAACAGATAGACATCACTATTTTTTTTTTTAAGAAAAAAAAAAAAAAAAAAAAAAAAAAAAAAACTCTAAATATCCCTTCCAACGGATAGATAAAAGCCTTCAGAGATATCATTATATATGTCTTAATAACGAATCTGAATACCTCAGAATTAGTATTTGTTATCGCCCGATGGCCCCTAATTACCGCCAGAAGCATACAGACTATGGAACTGAGTCTGTAGCTGCAGGCTCAGTCCACCGCAATCCACACTTACAGGACTCATGCAGGTCTAGCACCTATAGAACTTATGCAGTATTGCAAACCCCTGCAAGGGTAATGCCGAATGCAGAGTCAGGAACTGCTTAAATATGCTCACAAGTGCTAATTAGCTAAAGTCAAGTCTTCGTTAAAAATCATAAACATATTAGGAAGTTTTTATTAGCTCTTCTACTGCCCCCCCGTATATGAAACTTTAGTAACTTGTATTTCTCCCACTGTCTAAATCCTACCCAGGCCAAAACCCGCGGAACCCATCTCATTAAAATGACGCTTGTACCCCTCCAATCGTCCTCCATTCTCATCTGTCCGGTGATTATTTTGCTGGCGCTGAATTTCCCCGGTATATTTTATCGAAACGCCTTCACCCGATATGCGACAGTACTGGCTGTGGTCTTGACATCCTAGGAAGTCCTTCTGTCTGTGACGTTCGAAAACCCCGTCTTCGCATACCTGGTGGGACTGTTTGAAGCATGGATGGGGATATGGGCTTTTGTGCTTGTGGTCATTCATAATCCGAGCCGGGAATTTTGTAGGCTTCTACCCGTTCGGAAGGAGCTCCACAGCGCTACAAAAGGCTCGACCACATCCGGGGAGACTGACCTCATATGGCAGAGGTTCCCACCTCACATGTCTTGGGAGCGTTTGGCTTGGACTATTGATCTGTTCATCAATCTCAGGGGAATAGGCTGGAACTATCGTTGGGGGAGTTACCGCGTTCCCAGCGATGTCGAAGAGCCGCCAATGAGCACGAGCAAAGAACGACTTTCAGGTCGCTCTTATCAACCTATTGTCGCGAACTTAATTATGCGCTTTATTGGACAAGTCGGTTGGGTTATCTTTTGTCAGCTCAACATTTCCCTTTCATCAAGTCTCAGTTGACGGGTAATACTGGCAGCAATTATAACTTTGCTGTTGGCTTGCTCTCCCTTCTGGTATCCTTGATTACTATTGTCGTCAACATCGATCTACTCAACACGACATCTACATTGATCGTAACAGCGTTTGATACATCGCGCTTTCTTGGGCTATATGCCTTTCCATGGGCTCATCCCAGCCCCTGGGGCTCGCTGAATGCAGTAGCTAGGAAGGGAATACTCGGTAACTATCCCAGACCAACACAAATATCGTCGTAAAACTAACAATAATATACAGGTTTCTGGGGTGGCTTTTGGCACTCCTACTTCTCATATGGCTTCAAATCCATCGCCGACTGGCTTACAACCGGTTCCCAGCGAGCGAACATTGCCTCTCGGATATTCGCCCCGCTTGTCGCATTTGGACTATCCGGATACATGCATTGTTTCGCGGCATCTCAACTTCCTTGGCCATCGAGCCCGAAATATCAGTTTTTATTCTTTGTTCTACAAGCGGGAGGTATCATTATTCAATTAGCTCTTGTTGTATTGCTTCCGTTGGGGAAAGGGAAGGTTAGACAGGCGTTCAATGTTTGCTTTTGTGGCTTTTGGCTTTTCTGTACTCGTCGTTTTCTTTTTGAGGATCTTATAGTGGCGGGCTTCTGGGAGCATGGAGTGGCAGGGTAGAGTCGTGGACTGGATCTTGGAGTCAGTCCCACAAGGGCTACCATGAATGCATTGGAAGACCAGACCGTCGCCTCGATGGGTCAAAACCAGATGCTCTATATCCTGTGGGTTAGTAAATAATAGAAGCATAAACGGCACCTGATATGACCCTATCGCAGTGGCTTTGGTGTCACCGCGCATGGCCTCATCCTGTGGTGTGACCTATATTACCTCCCTTTCTACTTCGAAGCCGTGGAAGGCTACACTTCGATATTGGCCGGGACCGCATTTCTGCCACTCACTTTTACACTGTGTCCGAGCGCCATTACTATAGGGCTACTGATTCCCCGCTGGGGCCACTACCGCTAGGCCGTGATCCTCGGTTCCTTTCTTGCCTGTTTGGGCTCTGGCATTCTTTGCAGCATCAACACCCATACAAGCGTGGCTGGATGGGCCTGTCTGATGCTTATTCCCGGCCTCGGACTCGGGTTCCTTTTTCCTGCCCTAATATATGTGATCCAGACATCTGCTGAGCCGCGCCATTTGGCCATGGCGGTGGCTATGTGCAGCTTTTTCCGGTCTCTGGGGCGGGCCATTGGTATCGCAATCGGGGTGTCATCTTCCAGAACAGCATGTACTCTATTCTTAAGTATGTAGCTCATGTGTCCCATGCAGATGAATACAGCAGGGATGTTGCTTCGTTGGTGGAGATCCTGCGGATGATGCCGGAATCTGCGGCCAAAGAGGATTTGAAGACGGCGTATTCGGATAGTCTACGCATTGTGTGGGCCGTTTGTTGTGCCTTGGCAGGATGCAGTGCACTCTTGAGCTGGCTCATTAGAGACTACATTGTGATAGCAGATGGGCCTGCTCAGAAGGGGGCGAAAGAAGAGATATAATAGCTGGTGGGTAATTTAGATAGGTATCACTAGCCAAACATTCCATATCTCATATATTTGGAAGATATTAGTATTCTTCATTGGCTGACACAGCAGAATAATTGACTAAGTTTCCTAAACTTAATTATAGGCACCACAATATGGTGTGCTGAATGGTATCTGTGCTTCAGTGCTGACTAGAAACAGATTTTAGTTACCAGAGAGCCATTACTATTTATTCTTGATAATCGTTGAATCCGGCCCCACTGAATCCCTTTCTTGTTACCAGCCCCCTTGTAGATAAGGCTACACTGGGCAATACAGTCAGTTCGAGGACATACACACCCCAGATGATGCATAAGTAGCAAATTGCACCAAAAACACAACGTAGATATTCAGCACTCAATTGAGACCAAAATTTCGCATAGGATGCAAGGGGTACAGGTACGATAAATGCCATTGTGTCATGTTGATACCCCCGGGCGTCTTACCCTCTCTTCAATTGTAGCGAAGCGTATCGAAGAAGCCTGATTTACGGCGATCAGGAGACGCAATTTCTGGTTAAATAAGCATTGAGTTACAATGCTCGGCGGAGTGTATCTTATATAAACTGGGCTTCCTTTACTACCATCAATTCTGTACAGGGGCCGATTTAGGCAAACATATTGATTCACTGAAGAGTCAATAAACTCGACACCAGCTTATACGGTTGTAGGGAAATCATTTCATCTGATATACTCTGAGAAATGCTTCTTAGGTACCGGATCTAATGATGCCAGGGGGATGTCGTGGTCGTGGATCAATGCTGTTATCCCCAAATGCCGGCCACATATGACGAGGAAGGTGCATTGGAAATGGAGAGTCAATTATACCGTCGGAAAACACTATATTGTGAACCATCAGGATTAGTAATGGTCAAAGGCCGCAAGGTGGCACATACGATCAACATACCGCGATGTCTTGGTAGACGGAACAACATAAAGCCATCATACTGTGGCCTCAGTTCTAACTGATCGATCCATTCGGCAAAGCTCATTCTCGTGTTGATATCGTAAAAGATGCCGCGGGCTGATTTGTATACGATGCGGGAACCCCTGGGTACAATCGTCGTCTTTCTTGATGGATCTGTCATTCTAATCATATGCTGGCGATAGGCAAGTCCCCGCATCCGGAGGAAGCGAATAGTCGGAATGGTGTCACGCAGAGTGATCAAGAACCCACGCCAGACAGTGGATATAGCCTCATGAAACGCTGGTGCAGGCCTCCTAGCTACTGGGACGGGGCCATTTAAGCTAACTGCGACAAGGGTCAAGACCTTCAAGGTTGGGGCGGCCGTGCGTAAGAAGAGTTGGAAGCCGGGAATAGTGAGCTCGACCCAGTGAAGATGAAGTTCCGAGAGGCGGGTGAACTGGACTTGTTGAGCCAGGTTGGTGAAGTGATCCGGGCTTAGATCATGGAATTGATCCCACAGAGTAAGCCGGAGGATTTGAAGATTTGGAGCAGCCCGAACGACAAGATAATGAAGGGACTCCGCAGTATCTTCCGGCTTTGGGGGTCCGAGACAAATATCTAGATCCACTAGCACATGAAGAATAGGCTGCAGGCTGTGGTAGAGGTGTTGCGATAGAGTGAAGCAGTCAGGGGGTACCGCAAATTCGTCCTCGGTTAGGCAGGTATATAGCCTCTGAACTGCCAAAGTTGGGGACACTGCGCACATGGCTTCGAGGAGACTGGTAAGTCCCTTGGTCCAGACTGGATGTCTTATGTCCACCCACATATCCCACACTACGCGCCGCATGCTCGGAGACGGGTCAGCTGAGCGCCGTGCAGTGGACACCAGGAGTTGTGCGCAAGGGCCAAAAGGGAGCCTTTCCCGCAAGGCGCGCCTGCCGAGGCAGACATGAGGACTCTTTTCTTTGCATAACCGTTGGGAAGGATAGGCTCGCAGCCCTATAGTAGAGACATTTCTCATTCGGCTTAGGCATCGAGTAAGACTCCCTACTAAGCTAGCGGACTCGGCAAATGCTAGGTGATCGGTCTCGGCCGCCACGTAGATCGCATACTGCGCCTGCACTTCTTTGGCTGTCCATTCTTGACTCTCCGGGACACACAGGTGTAGGATACTTGTGAAGGCATCAAGGTCCACCCCGTAGTCTCCGAAGACTTGAGGTATGAGGCTCAATTCCTTTACCTCATTTCTGAATGATTCATTCGAGGTGAGGTCTTCAAGCTCCGCAATAGCCTCCCGGGTCAAAATAACACTAACGTACTGGAAGTAGCGTTTCGCGAAGAGGGAAGAAGAGAGTTGATAGAAAATCTTGCATGTAAGGCGGAGGGCGCACCAGTCCGAGTAATCAAAATGGCTTCCGATGGCATCAATAAGTTCCGGTGGAAGCTTGTTCATAGTGGCTTATTGTTGATGCTGATGGGGGATTTCAAAAGGAAGAGTGAAGTGAAACAAAATTGGCTGGACAATCTAGTGCGTAAATAAAAGATTACTAGTAGAGTGTGTTCGGGTAGTTGCGGCCGAAAGAGATTCCCGTGGGTCTGTCTGGAAACTTATCTCCGAATGCTCCACGGGTGGATGGACCCATACACTATTGAGTCCTTGAGGCTTACTAGAACCCTTGGGGTATTGGTGAGTGGGGCAAGCCTGACATTGGATACTGCATCCGTTCGTAGAGCCAAAAGCCCGGTTTTAGATTTATCCATGACAGCGATTCTTGGCCGCGAACTGATCTCTGAGTGTGGCGCTAGCATGATGGCCGCAGAGATCATCGACTATCTTGAAAATGACTCACTGTAGCGTGCATCATGCCACCCTGCACGCAAGATACAGATCCTGCGCCAAGGTTACAGGGGTACTAAGACCGGAACACATGTAGGAGACGGTGAAAATCCCTCTCCATTGACCGCATAGACAAGGCACCATTACGCAGGATCCATCAAAGATCGATGCGAACAGGAGATCCGCCGGTTGAGAGAATGCCGGGTCGTAGAAAAGAAGATTCCAGGCTACAAGAGGGTGAGAGACATAGCTAAGAAGCTGCCATTTTTGTTCGTATACACTCTTTCAAAGCTCGTTACCGGGGCTCACCCCTCGCCAGCAACGGCTATAAGGTGTCTATCAATATGTGAATTATTCCCCCTAATAGTCCTCCTCTTCGGAGTCCCAATCCCAGTCACGAGGTCTGCCGTCGTAAAAGGCGACATTTTTTTCGACCCAAAACCACCAAGTTACTGCCAGATACACGTAGTTTTCCACATTCTGTTCGGGATACATATTGCTGTACCAACCAGTCGCAAGTACAATACAATCTTGCACAATATCTGGCAATTGAGAAGTACAGTGTCGGGTCAGCGCAAGGACTTGGTCAATAAGCAGCCACTGGGAGGAGCTTACAAAAGTGATCGGTAAGCCGACCGGTTATTGGTTGATCGTTGTCCAACTCGTCCAACCCCATCCAGAAAGTCACCAGGTGCCACAGTTCGTGGAATAAGGTGCTACTCCGAGGCATCACATCATACAGATTCTCCCCGTCTTCTGCCTCGACTTCTGGCAGGCTGGCGAGATTGTCATACTCCCACGGAATTTGACTATCAAACGAGTCGGGACATAGCAGCACAATGTCCTCCATGGCTTTGTATTCGATGGTTTCAGTCTCTCCGTTGATGGTAGCCTGGTAGTATCCCGCCGGGTAGCCAGGAATGCTCACCCCCTGAAGAGGGTTGCCGTTTGCACTCGCCCCGCACAAGTCGCCGTTCGATGTTGGCTTTGGGAAGACATAGACCCCCATGTCAGAAACCCAGTATGGGCGGTGAGAATCATATCCCGCCTGTTCCCTTACTTGCTCATACATCTCTTCGATAGTCAGAGCGACTCCGTTCAATTCCACGGGATTCCCTGAAGCGTCAAAGGCTTGATCTGTCCAGTCAAACCAGTCTCCAAAGTTGTCACAGAATAGCCTAGGCGGAGACTTGTAAGACGAATACTCTCCACTGGCCACGAATTTGTTTAGCACATCGAAGTTTTCTGTTTGATTTCGTACGTATTAAAGGTATACCTCTTGAAAGCGGCAAAGGGACCACTTACCCATGAAAGCCATCATGGAGATCTGACTAGAGTCATCTATAATTGCCGGTGTGTCGCCGGAATTATCGAATTGGATTCCCAGCCATGCCGTGAAAAGCTTTTGGGCGACCACACGATCTCTGGTCGCCTCCTCATCATCGGCGGTACTGAATGCAGTTGCAAGGCCGGAAGCTAAGGTATTGGTATCCCTCCAATAGTCCTCGAGCTTTGACAATCGACTGGCGCAGCTACCAGTACCAGTACCAGTATAGATATTGAAGGCATTATCTACCGCAACGGCAGCTCCTGGCATGGCCAGCAGGCCAATAGTGAACCCCAAGGCAACAAGAGATCGGAACATTGCGGTGCTCAAATCATTGAAAGTATAGTCACTCACAATGCTCTCTTTCTACCGGAAAATCAGAACTAGATTTATATTTCCCACGCCATTATAGTATGACGATTTCGGTGAAACGCTTCCCTCGTCCACAGCCCCTTTCTGAGCACACCGCGTAAAGAATTAGCCCATCCACCAGAGTTTGCAATAACATATTCTCATAGAACTAGCCAGTGGATTCGATAGCAATGAAAGTTGAGCTCCCCTCACGGTCTGAGTTGTTATTGGGAAACACACTCAATGGACGTGGTCAACTAACAAAAACTAGCCAGTATCGCGTTCCAGACACAAGTAAATCCCTCATACAACATTCTCCTCCGGTTAGGCCGCAGCTATCCGGTGGTCGGACTTGAGAAATTGAAATGGCAAGTCGGAAATTGCCCGGTCCCACCAGATCTTAATGATAGGGGTAAATTGTGGCCTGGTTGTATCTGAGCTTCCCCGAATCTGTGTTAGGGTTGAGACGGATCTCACTAGTTTCGGGCCGGATCCTTTGCACGGTCACGACTGCCTGCATTGACCAGTGGGGTCTCGGCAACAATTTTATTTCGGGTATAATTATATCTAAACGAAGGGGAGAGAATGATACTATACAAAATATTGCAGCCTATTATAAATCATTGTGTGATAGTGATGCCTGAGAATGAGTGGTATACCTTAAATGATTTAAAATGGCTATATTTCTCAACACTTGTGAAGCACCAAAGATCAGTTTCTCTGCCGGATTCTCCTTAGCACTGCTCTTCATTACTTCTTTTACTCTGTGTCTCTCCTTATAATTCTTCCTTGCAGCCTCGCATTTCTAGTCGTTCCTTATGTTCTTTTGTATACTCCTGGCATTCTTAACGACTGTTGAGTTATAAGCAGCGGCAATTCCTGATATGCGCCTGATTTCGCAGCTCACGGGTGGACTGTTGGCGAGCAGCCTTCTGGTTCACCCAGCGCTGGCAAGCACGGAGCGTGAAATCCAGGCACGAGCTCGAGTGCAGAAGCCGAAGCCGTGCCCTGCTCCCTGTTCCAGCACAAACCCAGCTGATTGGTTTGTTTACCCTGATTTGGAAAGACTCGCGCAGTGTAATGAAAGTATGCTTCTTGATTTCAACATCTACAACACTGTGACTGATCCTCAACATCATTCAACCATCTACACTTGCACAACCCCTGGAGACCTTGCCTCCTGGGGTCCATTCAGCACCAGGTCATCCGACAGCGGCTCCAGCTCTCCTGTTACGTATGAGGTTGGCATTTGGAAAGCCAGCTCCCCGCCGGGGAGCTCGCAGCTTCTCGCTCTGCTGCGAGATATGCATAGCTACCTGATTGCCAACCCTCACAAGGGAGAATTATTCGGCTACTCTAATCGAGTAAGTGTCGGGGTTTACCTTGGTGGCAGTTTGCAGCTGACTCCCAACGTTGATTTTGCACTCAATGAAATGATCTCCCTGTCACAAAATTCCACTTACGACCGGGCAATCTTGCAATACTGCGGTTCAAACGCCAATAATACTTTGGGTGTGGCAGTTTCAACGAACGGAGACATCACTACTGTACAACAATACATCCAATCCTGGAGTAAGGCCGAGTGTATATCGGACTATGACAGCCACAGTTCTGGAACAACAACCCTGTGGACTAGTCAAACAGGGCTTCGCAACAGCACGGGTGCATTCACTACCATTACGTCAAATACAACTACCTCATCCCACTCGTTGACTCGCCGTCGTTCTCAGCACGGCCACTTCCACGGCCACACTCATTCACACACCCACGCTCATCTGGCTCATCGTGACAGCAGCTGTTCTTATATCCAGGTCGTGTCAGGTGATTCATGTGCTACACTTGTCTCAGAATGTGGTATCACTGCTGCTGAGTTCTACCAATATAATACTGCCTCAGATCTATGCTCGACACTGGAAGTTGGACAATATGTGTGCTGCTCCTCCGGGGGTTTGCCAGATTTCTCCCCATCCGCTTATAGCAACGGCACCTGTTATACATACACAGTCCAGTCCGGTGACACTTGTTCGGCGCTGGCGCAGACTTATAGCCTCACGGTCGCGGAGATCGACTCCTACAACAACGATACATGGGGCTGGTACGGATGTGATGACTTGCAGGCGGGGACCAACATTTGTCTTTCCACAGGCAATGCCCCCTACCCGGCAGCTATAACCAACGCTGTTTGTGGGCCCCAGGTGCCGGGAACCAACTTCACTGATGCACCCACTTCCTGGTACTGGGCTCAGTTAAACCCGTGCCCTCTAAATGCATGTTGTGATGTCTGGGGCCAGTGTGGTACTACCCCATTGTACTGCAATGACACGCGAGCTTCCACAGGTGCCCCAGGTACCGCAGCCGCTGGCTCAAATGGTTGCATCTATAACTGTGGAACGAACATTACCAACTATGCCGAAGAGCCGTCGAGATATGATGTGATTGGTTATCTGGAAGCCAGCAGTGTCAACCGTACGTGTCTCAGATGGGAGGCCTCTGACGTGAATACAACAAAGTATACGCATGTCAATTTCGGCTTTGGAAACATTGCGTCCGACTTCTCTATCAATGTAGATGGGATGGAATCCGATTTCAATCTTTTTCTAAAACTGGTTGGGACTAAGCGAATCTTGTCCTTTGGTGGATGGGACTTTTCTACGAGCAGCAGCACGTATATGATATTCCGTGAGGGAACCGCTGCGGCAAATCGTGAGACGTTCGCGACGAATGTGGCCAATTTCATTACTGAGAAAGGACTTGATGGAGTCGACTTCGATTGGGAGTACCCTGGGGAGCCTGATATCTCCGGGATTCCGGCAGGTGGTTCAGATGAAGGCGAGAACTATCTGGAATTTCTGAAAGTCCTGCGTGCACTCGTGGCCAATGATACAATCATTTCGGTAACTGCTCCGTCATCGTACTGGTATCTGAAAGCCTTCCCAATCGCTGAGATGGCCGAAGTCGTTGACTATATCAATTACATGACTTACGATCTTCATGGTATCTGGGATCTGGGCAACGAGTATTCGCAATGGGGTTGCAGCGACGGAGACTGTTTGTTCTCGCATGTGAATATGACGGAAACAATGTGGGCATTGGCGATGATCACCAAAGCTGGGGTAGCGACGAAAGACATTCGCGTCGGTGTCTCCAGCTACGGCCGTTCCTTTCATATGACCACCGCGGGCTGCTATGAGTCGTGGTGTACATATGATACTGCAGGCGCCGCAGGACCCTGCACTGACACAGCCGGATACATCGCTGAGGCCGAGATGGATGAGATTCTAGCCTCGGATACGACGACCCAGACTTACTCCACGTACGACACTGATATTCTGGTTTATAACGAGACCCAATGGGTAGGCTACATGAATTCCACTACGCGCGCGAGCCGGATGGCATACTACGAGCAGTTCAACTTCGGTGGCACGGCCGAGTGGGCCATTGACCTGGAGACCAATCCTCTAGGAGACTCAGACGATGATGATGATGGCACCAGTCCTTTAACCACCACCACGAGCACTACGACTGTCACCATCGACCCAACTGTCTGGATGGAGCCCTCTCCAGTCGTAACCTGCGTGCCGCCTTGCCTCATGATCATGCCGCCTAAGCCGCTGGAAACTACAACCACCATTACCTTCAGCGAGTGGGACACGCACATCACATGGGCCTCCACGGCCACCAAGACCACAACTCTGGCCAACGGAAATGTCGTGACCTACAAATCCATGCAGAATTCGGCCATTCCCACGCGACTTTCTATCGCTCCCGTTACCACCAATTATGTCAATGTCTGGAACCAGGCCATCACGCCAGGCCAAACCAGGGTCTATCAGACCAGCTCTATCCTTCCCACTCCTTTTCCTGTGGTGTATACCCCGTGAGTAGCCAACGTTTCTTTCAAGAAAACATCTTTTCCCATTTCACCATATATATAATGAAAGCTGACTTCGTACCCAATAGAACGGTGGGCGGCGTGACAAACGTCTATGGGGGTACGACAAGTACTATTGCAGGTGTCAGTTGGTCCTTTGGAAATGCCACCTACACCAGTCCCGCATGGACTGGAGTATTTGGGGGCACAACCAGCGTGACAGGGGGCACAACACTGTCTCCTTCAACGACTATTGTTACGCCACATCCTTACCCCACCGACACCAGCACTACTGATCCGGTCCTGAACACTCGTACTACTCGAATGAGCACAGGATCCCCTGCTGGACCGACCCCTACCTCTTCTGGAGAGCACACCGGTCATCACTGTAAGCATTCCCATCGATGTCCCGTACATTTTGAGCACCAACCCTAATCGGACGAATAAAGGTGTCATATTCTGCGCCTGTGCAGTTTGCCCTCCTGACCTCGATCTGGATGGGAGCTTTGGGGGAGAAGATGATGGCGGTGGTGGCGGGAGCAGTGGCAGCAGCGGGAGCAGCAATGACAGTGGAGACGACAGCGACGACGAGTCCAGCAGCACGAGCAGCACCAGCACCAGCACTGGAACGGCGGACGTGACCATGGGCGGAGCAGGCACTACCATCTACTACGAGTTCGTTCCCACCGCTGCGTCCACCAATTCTGCATTGCAAACATCTATCGATCAATACCTGGGATCCGTCTTTCGATCCCTATACGGTAGTGAGGTAGCGGCCATCACCGCCACGGAAACCGGCACCGCTGCCGAAGCAAGTATCACTTCCAGCAGCCCTCTTTGTGTAGAGGCCCAGGATCCTGACAGTGGATCGGATGACACCGTCTGCTCTTGCAGCGGAGGTAGCGGAAGTTACCCAACCCTCACTGTCGGGACCAACCCATGCGGATACACAGCTTTGCCGACCAAGACGACCACCAATGCATATCCTTACACCTTCACCCAGGCCGATGGCTGGATCGTCGGCTGCGCCTCCACGGGCATCATTGACGATGTGAGCTACTGCACTGGTTCTCGCACCACCGTGGGCGTCGACCGCACCATAGACCCGTACCCTTACACCTTCACTCAAGCGGACGGCGATATCGTCGCTTGTGCTACTACGGGCATCATCGACCATGTGAGCTACTGTTCTGGCTCCCGCACAACCGTCTCTACAGCCTCGGCAACCGCCACGGAAACCTCCCAGGCCTTTGCCATTTGGCGCACCAAGACAGTGGAGAAGTCCTGTGTCAACTCCAATTGTATTACGGTCAACGACGGCAATAAAGTTATCGCTTCATCAGCAGATACCACCGACGGGGACTTCTGCGAGGACCTTGCGTATGAAGCGACCAATTCCAATACAGGGAAGGCCCTGACTACGAAGTTGGTCGCTGATTTCACCTTTTCGGACTGGTCCGTTTGTGGTGTCTCCGGCGGCTACTCCTGCACTGAGACATCGAGCACCTCGGGGGTGTGGGAGTGTGCTGATGCCGATGGAGGGAATACTGCCCGTTGTGTCAAGTCGACGGATAGTTCATCACCGTTGGTTACATGCGAGGAGACTAGGACGGGTAACGGTGAGGATGTGTATGCATACTTGCTGGCCAATTGTACTGCAGAGTGGAGTTGTGCGGTGGATTTTTAGGATTATGAGTAATGATTATGTAACATTATACTCTCTAATCAAATGAGATGGGCTGAAATTACTCCATTCCCACGACTGCGTAGTTTATTGCCCTTCTGGTGATAAGTAAAGGTTTCTACGTCTTCATGGGATTAAAGACACTTTCGCAAGGAAGTTTTAGCCTCCTAGAAACAGCCGTAGAATAACACCCTTTCAAGTAGTTATGGAAGATTGCTATTATACTAACTAAATACACCAATTTGGGCTTTGAGCGACACAAACGGGCTCAATGTGCAGTCCAGCGAGTTGTTCAACTTTTCACAAGTCCCTTTAGATGTCGACTGCTTCAACTGTCAATACTTGTTCAATGTCTCGAACAAATAAAGAATCAGAAGATTTCCACGGCATTGCAAACCGGATGGCATATCATATAAAGCTATATTGTCTCTATGGTTAAGCAGTAGATTCCTTCTTTTGGTGCTGTGCGCATGAATGTGTTGTGAGGTCCTCACACCAGTGAGAATATTACAACTGTATGTTACATAAATATTTCCAATCTCTGTTTATCTCTCTCAAAAAAAAATTTTGCTTGAAAGCAGACTACCTGAGAAATGTTCATAACTCTAATGACTTGGAGGGGACGGGATCCCTTGACTAGTTAGTTATTGGGTTGTGTGAGATAGTTTGACCGTATTTGAATTGATTTTTCTCTACCTAACATCAGTAGATGGCAAGTAGTAGTGTGGGACTGCTTGAATCAAAAATTTCGTGAGTAATAGATGGGTTTAATACCTGGAAAATAGTGATAATCCGGGTCTTACCTTCGAGAGATCGGCGAAATCCCTTGAATGCCAGGTGAAGTAGCACGTGCCTTCACCTATAAATGAGGCCTAGAGTTTTCGACTGGATCAGATAACTACCATCTTCAGCTTCAAGCATCAAGCTTGTTCTTATTGATTTTCAGTTTGACCAAGGTAATCAGAATTCCAAGTTTTCGTGATTCACGATTATCGAATATTGAAAGAAGCGATTCATCTGTATTTTCCAGTCAGCCCTTTGTCCTTTCTCCTCCTGACCAAAACGTTCTTCTTCCAGACCATCACCCTCAGTCTTTCACTTTGCCAGTCTCCTCCATCGAATCAACACACAATGAGCCGTTGGCACAGTTCAAGCTGCAAAAGGCCAGATGTCAGTGTGGCAAGTGGAATTCCGTGTTGCAATCATTGCTTCGCCATTGCGATCAGCAAATAACCCAAATATATCAAAGGAAAGCACAGAACATGGCGACAGCGAACTTCAGACAGACTCTCAGGAAAGTTCACTCCCGACACTGCCCTCCAAAGATCACATACGACTTGTCAGGTTAAATACCGGTCCTTTCAAAAGCCTGCTTCATATTGACCTGGAGGTGGTGAGCATCCACAGTTGTCCAGCTGAATCATTTGAGATTTTCTCATTTGACTCAGTCAATGAAAAGGAAGACTGACAGTTCCCACATTGTCTTCGTAGGCAAGTACTGGGACATTGTTCACGTGTCAAACAAATGCCGAAAGGCGCTTCGCTTTGTTCGAAACCAGGAGATTTATCGACTCTTATGGGTGGATTCATTATGCATCGATGACGCTAACCTCAAGAAGAAAAGTCAACAAACCTCCTTTAAACGAAAAATCTGCCAAAGCGCGTCGAAAGTCCTTGCCTACTTGGGTGAAGAAACATCCGACAGTCGAGAAGCTTTGGATTTTCTCAACAGCATCGCTATAACAGATTCCGAAGTGAGCACTGGCCATGAGCATATAAACAGAGATACTAGGAGAGCTTTGAAAATCCTTCTAGAAAGACCATTGTTCACCAGATTATGGTTTCTTGTCGAAGCGTTACTAGCTCGGAATCTTAAGTTACTGTGCGGTGCACATTCAGCTCCTTGGCCTAAAGTGCCTTTTGCGTTGGCTCATGAAGACGTTCCTATACCCGACTGGCTTTTTCGGAAGGAACACTGGTACGGGATCAGTGATCGTGATATTTTAACCATATTAGCACGAGCATCCTCATACGAATGTTCCGATCCGCGGGACAAGGTATTTGCGGTGCTTAGCTTGATATCCCAGAGTGAACTTAGACCCGACTACACCGTTTCCGTTGAAAGTGTATACACTGGTCTATCTGCATACCTTATCAAAATTTGCAATTCCATGGATGTTCTCGAATTAGCTGGTCTAACAATAAAGACATTCGACCTCCCATCCTGGGTCCCAGACTGGTCGCAAGCATTATCCACGACCGCTACACCCGCTTCAACAACGAATCAAAGACTCAGCCGAAAACACAAGAAAGTCTCAGGCTCAGGTCGTGTAATATTCCGATCTTACCTTGCCTTTGACTGTGAGAGCCACCTGAGCATCACTACGCCGATCCTGCGCACTTCTGCTGTCAAAATCTGCGAGTTAAGGGGCAGTATCAAGCGTGGTCCAACTCGTGTAAAAATCAGAATGACGCTTGATGAAAGAGCCACTCTATCGGTTTCCTTCCCCGATCGAGGATATAAGCAAGGGCAAGATAGCTTGTTCCTTCTCGGTGGATACAACAACCCTGTCATTCTCAAAGAAGATTCTGTCACAGGCTCCTATCATTTCGTATCGACCTGCGCCCTTTCGCTCAGACAACCTCCTAGCAATAGATGGCTGCTGCCTTGGGCCAGTGAACGGCCGAATGAGCGGTACGTCGTCTCAGAACTGTCTCCTGAAGAGAATAGTCTGATTCGAGAATTCCATCTGCTCATGGAACAAACTACACAACAATCTGTCATCACCTTAAGCGATGACGAAATCCCCATACCCTTCGCCAGCGTCAGAGACAGGGTCTTCAGCTTTTCTCTATATCTGCAAAGCCCGTTGCCGAAACTTGAGAAACGATTGTAGGATAAATGGGAAGATTCAAACAGAGAGTTTGGCTGGATGTTCCGTGATCAACATGCAACATGGCAGTTTCTTCGACAAGTAAATACCTTGGAAATTCCCGGGAGACAGGGAGAATTTGAGATACTAGTGGACAAGTTTGATGACATCCAGACTACATTATATTGCGGTGTGAAGTTGCCTTGGACATATTCATGGGATCTCAGTCGATTTATCTGGTCGTTTTTACGACCTTTGAATCCAGAACAAGCGGCTCAAGGACCACAATGGACTCCAGTGCTGGGAAGGATGATGACGGCTCTTCCTAAGATTATAGGATGGGCAGAAACGACGGAACAGCTATTGACTTTGTTTAAATATAGTCAAACTATAATTGGCGCCAGCTGGGAATCATTTCCTGGTAATGGACTACCTCAGAAGTGGATTGATAACTACGAGAATTTCTACAAGATTCTGGATATGGATAAAAATAACTTCATAGCAGACCTGAGGACATCACTGGATTCATCCTGTCACTGGGACATACGAGAGTTCGAGCATAATGCCCGAGCTAGATGTCGTCTATGGAATCTCAACCTACCTCCCAAACTAGAATCAGGAAGTGCTAGTAACATAGCAGTGCATGCGGGCTTCAGATCCCTAGGGCTAGAGTTATACGATGAGCAAATGGTAGACATCCTTTGACAGATCCGTTGACTCTGCTCTGACATGTCTCTTCGGTGTGATGTTCTGCGTCCTCGTTGACTCCACCCTAATTCCGACGAATGTATACCGCAAGGTCCCGAAAATTTTCATTATAATCAGAGAAATCAAATTTGTCATAGTATTCCCGTATGCAAGTTAACACGCGTGGAGAGACAGGATCAGTCCTAGACAAGATAAGTTTGCAGATCCCGTAAACTAGAAGAAGAAGAAGAAGAAGAAGAAGAAGAAGAAGAATCATAATAATAATGAGAAAATGAGCAACTCACATGTGATCTTCATTCTGATCCCTCACTTTGTTCCATATCAAAACAGCCGGCCGAGCTATATCAAAGACAATTTGCCGCACAGCAATATCCGGAGCAACCGAAACCACAACTGTGGACTCATCAACTTCGAGAAACGCGTCGGGGTCTTCTACAATCTTAATTCCATTCTCCCCTGCAGCAACTATATCATTCCTCTTGCATTCTGGGTCCTGTGCAAAACATGGAATAGCATCCTGTGACACATTGTGCATTTTGCAGAATATGTCACGGAGAGTCAAAAGTAGAGCGTGCTGAAAAACCGATCGATCTTGAAAATCAGGGTAGACTGTTGCGAAAGACCCAAGCGCAATCCCAACGATTTTGGATATAGGGAGAGTCTTTCGTGACATGAGCTTTACCCGAAGCTCTTGGCACTCTTTGGTATTTTCCCACCTCTGGCGACTTTCTTGTAGAAGCTTGCTTGCGTCAGATACTGAATAAACTGAACAGTTCAAGTACAGCTCCTTGGTGCGGATATCCCGTAGATACTTGTAATGGCCAATCTCGATATGGTTGTAGGGCAGATAATCCCCTAGGTTATCATCATCGACTACTTCTTGCAGAGATGAATATGATATGCACGGGTTTCGGCTTCGCAGATCAAAGTCAGTGAGTTAATGCACCACTTTAGCATGAGGAACGTATATATAAACACACATACATAATGTACTCCATACCAGGCTCATCATGTGCTGGATAAACCTGCCCTGTAAGTACTGGAAACTCAACAATTACTCCATCCAACCCCGGCACACGTATACTCTGGATAACTCCATCGCGAGCGTCCTGTATCTGCTGTTTGAGATCTTGGAGCAACTCTTTGGTGTAGAATGGCTTCCCAGAGTCATACATCTCCTGGATGTGGACGAATATTTCCTGAGGGGGCGGTAGAGGCGAAGGGTCGGCTCGGGTTGCTAGCCCGATGAAAGTGGAAACTGGGCTTGCTGCTCTTTCCATTGCGTATCTTCAAGTAAAAGTGATTACTGTGTGGTAAGCTGAATAAAGTGGAAGATGCAGGCGCGTAAACAGACACAAGATGGGCTAGGCTGCAAATTGTGGGGGTTAGTGCACTAGTCAGCTGAGAGGAAAGCTAGTAGTGTTGTACTGCGAAAAGAAGTGCCACGAGCCGCTAGTGACGATCCTATATCTTTTTATTCTCCGAGAAAGCCTTTTTAAAGGTGGGTGGCTTATGTATAGTACTTAGCGCAGAGATTCTAGGTAATTTTATGTCCTTATGAATGGCACGGGAACGTCCCGTTCGGAACAAGCCTGGCGGCAATCGCCGTGTCGTCGGTGCAGACTTACGAACCATGGTTTAATATATAGAGGTTCGTATGCATATTACAGCTAGATAAAACGGGAAGTTGAGCAATATCATGCAGGGTAATCAGGAACTGGGATATGCTGAACAACATTGGGAGCAGGTCAGAAAGCCTTGCATGTTATGTGGTGAGCTCGTCTGAGGCCACTTGTGAGTCTACGAGACTTTCCCTATTTCCATACTAGTATATAATGTATGGGATCATTTGGTATCATTTGGTGTTTAGCTATTTTCGCGAAGTAACTTGTAATATATTGACTACTTTTACCCTCCATGCCTGCTATGGTAGGGCTACAGTTATCTTTTTTTTATTTCATAGAGCAAATAAAAGCAGCGGATTGATAAGAAGTCCTCGATGGTCTAACGGTCATGATTTCCGCTTGTCAATCCCTTTCGGGAACAAGCGCGGGAGACCTGGGTTCGACTCCCAGTCGGGGAGATTTCTTTTTTGTTTTTGCGTATCTTTGCCAGTTTTTCTTATCCATCTCAGGTTGAGGGTGTAATTTTGATGCACCTTTTGTTATAATAATGTTTTTCTTTGTGGGGGGTGGGTTTCCTTGATTTGTTCATTGATGATGAGACCTAACTAAGTATGTCTACTCTATAAGTCTACCATGATCTGCATTACGGTAGAACGGGCGTTTGTTGTAGTATGAAAGGCGTGTGGTTTCGGAAATTATAGCTCTTTCAAAAGAATGATTCTTCATATGCTGACATGGGATATTCTTGTAGCGTATAATAGTAGATGCCGAACTTCGTCTCTATACCACCATCTCTAGTAAACACAGATGAAATGAGCGCTCATATAGGATATCGATCGTTATAATTGGGTGGTTATAATGCTGAGAAATCGTCACGTCATGGCAGCCTACATTCGCCATGGTTGTAGTTATAATCAAACGCGGAGAGAATACCAACTAGCTGAACAACCGTGGCAAGGACGACCAGTACATGAAATATTTGGTGAGAGCAGCCGAATATGTCAAACCTTCCAGGCTTGACTGATTCCGGTATGCGCATCTACATTGACTTGTCAATATGGTACTTAGCTTTGGGATCGGTGTACTAACGGTATAGAAAAGTGCACCTAGAATGAGGAGCCCTCCTTCGCCAAGGTAATATGGCATGCCGGACTGTACCATCATTTGGGCAAAACCATAGATGCTGATACCGTGGATCAGAGGCGCGAAGCCAGATAGCCCAGTACCCACAAAGGTGCAGACACGGAAGGTGCGCCAACGGGGTCCTTGAAACTTGGGGTTCACAAGGATCATTATTGTGATGCAGCTCAGTGAGATGATCTTTTGATATCTATTAGATTTTTATGTACCAAACCGTGTGGCAGGGAACATACCATGCCCCAGTATATCCGTCGCAATAGAGGCTCGCAATAGAAGACCATGTAGATACCCGAGACGAAATCTCCCAGGGTCAGAACAATAATGCCAACAAAGTCGAGTCGTAACCACAATTCCGAGACTTGGAGGGAGTGATTCATTAATGTGTGATAGGTAGTCGACAGACCCAAACATATAACAGCAGTCAGGAGAAAGAAGGCAAAGATGGCGTGGTCGGATAACGTGGCTTCTGGGTATTTGACTTGAAGATACTGGTAGAACATGCCTTCTGATGCGAGGAAGAAGACGGCTGGAACTAGATGCGAATAAATGTTCACGGTTTCATTGTGCAGATACAACCAACTCGCGAAGCACGCATGGGTGGAATTGGAGACGGGTCGATAGCCATGTCGAATAAATTCATTGTCTTGATACCACTCGGGGATCTCGTCGTAAGAGACAAGAATGGGGGTACCGTCATCGAAGAGGACTTTTTCTGGTGTTGCTGGTTCTTCCGCAATGGCTCCCGGGGGGAGAGGAGAAGGTTTCCGCTGGCGCGGGATTGTTTCAGTTATTGATGGACTGTCCGCGAATGTCGCTGGCATATCGCAAATTGTATCCTTTTTTTATCTTGAAGCAGAATGTACAACGAAATGAGAATGGTTGAGCGGACTGGGTGAATATTGTGCTGGGTGGATAGTTTTCTTGGAGAGAAATCGAGCTGGGAAGACCCCGGCCGACTGAGGAGGAATCGGGCCTCTGTCACACCAGGCGCTGGGGGGAAGAGTTGGGGGGGTGCCTCCCAGGAGGGGCGCATGCAGGATGAGGCCCACGAGCCTATCACAGGCGGACGTGCACGGAACCGACAGGGGTCCCCGGACGAGTTAGCCGCCGAGGCTGGCGAATTGGCGATCAGATCTCCAGCCAACTTGCGCCTGTGTGCCTGTGTACAAAGTAGTCCTGTGGTGCACGGACGTGCCTGGGGTTGTTGTTCCATATAGTAGTCGTAGTATGGTACTCCGGCAATTACTGATGTCTAGCCTTGCCATCCATCCCTCTCAGCCCAGTACATCATGTCCGTTCGGTCTACGTATACACCGTTAGCATAAGGATTCATCCCCCAGTCCAAACGGCGCTAATCGAGACCTCTTCTGTCGACAGAGCTCCCTTAGATAACGCAGTTTCAGCTAAAATTATCATTCCCCTCCCTGCTGGTACCAAACCACTGATTCCCACGTAACACATGAAGCCCAAACGCAGACACCCAGTCACATCTCGCATGGACGCTCCGTGCAAGAGACTCGATGCATGCCTCATTGGCCTGATCCTCAGCCGCAACATCACTATCAGGCGTGCGGAGTCGCCCCATGTTCGCTATATCAACACGCTCGAGCTGGCATAGGCAAAGATCTCCAGACCGTCTTCTATCAATCGAACAGCAAGATATCTCATCTCCCTCATCATCAGTATTGATTCTGCGATATACGTCGAGTATATTGTCTCGTCCATTCAGCGCTTGAGTCTAACGCCTCGTCTCGGAACAGTAACGTGCAAGGGGCCTCTGACCACTCAGAGGTGGCTCCGATGTCGCATAATTCGACATGCATCACGGCTTCTACCGTGGCTGCCACCACCCACGACATCGTTCATGGATGGGTGCATCAGCCAAACTGTCGTGGAACTATCGACATCATATGGTCAGGCTTGTTCACGATCTTTATATGCACATACACCATGTTATGCCTTAACGTGCCTGCCCAATACGAGAAACCTTGGGATATCATTTGTCGGCGGCTATTCTGGATGTTGGTAGCGATCTCTGGCCCCGAGTTCGTTCTCACATATGCCAGTGCACAATGGGGTAGAGCCAGGGATTCTGTGAGGGCTTTCAAGGCGTCCGGCTTTCCTCAGTGGACAATGCGCCACGGGTTCTTTGCTGACATGGGGGGCTTCCATCTCGTTCCTCCGGACGGTCCCCCGTTCCCGGTCACTTCAAAGCACATCCATTGGCTGGTAATCCATAATTACCTGCCTTTCCCAGAAATCACCTCGGAGGAGATCACAGACAGATCCAAGCAAGATACAGTTGCGAAGATCGTCAGCTGTATGCAGACCAGCTGGATGCTTCTTCAGTGCCTAGGTCGCGCGGCACAGGGTCTTGCCATCACCACACTGGAATTGTCGGCCCTTGCTATCGTAGTCTGTTCTGTCATGACAAGCCTCTGTTGGCTCCATAAGCCTAGTGACGTTCGGACACCAATCAGACTAGAGCTTCATATCAGCATAGAACAGATACGCAGGGAAGCCGGCGACCATGCTATGGAACCATACAAGCAGACGCCACTGGATTTCATCGATGACCTACTCCCAAGTTGGTCTCTGAATGTACAGCCCTTCATGAGGATGCCAGTCGCACCCTTCGAACGGCCACTGCCGCGCCTTGGCAACGACAGGCTTCCTGACCTGAAGGGCTATCAGGAGATAATTCTTTGTGTTGCGACCCTGTTGTATGCCTCGATCCATCTCATTGGCTGGAATTTCGGGTTCCCAACAAAGGCGGAGCTCATCCTCTGGCGAGTATGCAGTATGTTTCTGTTCGGAAACACGGTTGCGTTCTGGGTCTTCGAGACGTCAGCTGCCTGGTATCGGATAGGACGCTGGCAGCGCTTCTTCTGCAGGATCTTCTGGAAATCTAAGCTGGAAGACGTGGAGCAAGCGCGACTGACAAGAGAATCTGCCAAAGTCCCCAAAGTACTGCCACTGAAGGCCGAATTCTGGAGTATATTCCCACTTGCTTGCACGTATGCTGCTGCAAGGTTATATTTGATCGTGGAAGCTTTCGTTGGGCTAAGAGCTTTGGAAGTCAGCGCTTATCGTACTGTGGATTGGACGACGTTTTTGCCTCACCTCTGAAGACATGGAATATGCTTTAGCTATGGACGTGTACCATTTGACCCTTCATTTTTGGCTAGTTAACGGGGTGTCCCCATTTCCTCTCTTTTATTCAACTTGTGTTTTGTTATCAAATTTTCGCTTTCTCTTTAGGGTGGCCTGTCTCAATGACCAGTCATGTCAGTTTAACATGTTTTAGTCGAGATTGTAGTAACATCCAGCCGAATAAAGCTTCGAACCGCGCGACCGCAGGCATATAGCGCAGAGAGGCTCAGACTTACCTTCCATCCTTACTAATCAGTATATCATTATCTTACTAAACTCCAATAAGCTTTCATAATCATCAGTAGCAATCGATAAGACACAAACAAACAAAAGAAAGAACAACATAAATGACTTCGGTGGCGTCAACAAACCCCGAACTGGCATCTTCCAACTTAGGAAAATATGAGGTGTAAAGTCGGTCCGACCGCAATTTAGGCCCGCGCGGCATTGCACGGCATCACAGAAACAGAGCACGACATGTTTGACCGAGATTCGTCTCGGTTATGCAGGTGCGGCCAAGGAGGGGGTGACCTGCATGCAGGGATGGCCCGGGAACTGTCGGCCTATCGCGGTCTCAGGCTGAATATCAAATTAGCCGCTGCAAGAGCGGCTTTGTTATCGTCGGCCCGAGTAGACCTATTCCAACCACGGCGGGGTTGTGCCAGGTGGCTTGGGGGCCGAGTACTTATTAGCATTTGCGAGTCATGAGGTGCATAGTAGTATGATTGGCTGTTTTGGGGGTTGTAAAAGGTTACGTTGTGCGACCTTGTGTGGAACGTGGTGCTGGTGGTGATCTGGGTGAGTCATTCGGGTTATCTGGGGATGGGATGGGGGTACACAAAGAAACACTACATTTGAGCAGGAGGAAGATAGATGTCACTGACAAAATAGATTCTGAAATCTAATCTATGGTCTTCTATACTCTAATTGGTATCCATCGCTAAGCAAAAGCAAAGCACGCTATAACTCCAAGCCCAGACAAGTAAACAAAGGAAATAGTGACAGGCACACATTACTTCCGAACATCGTGGTCGTTGAAGCCCGCTTCAAGAACATGATTGGGGAAGATACACTGAGGTAGGAAAGAGTGAAGGAGATAGTAATATGGACTTCACGACCAGAAGCCGGCGTCAGGTCAAGGCTCTCAACCGGATGAGAGCGCGCCAGTCTCGAACGGACTGGCGGGATGAATAGGACTGACAAGAGACTCTGACGGGCAGTCTAGGTGACGGTGAAGCACCATGGGTATGGGCGCGGGTACCCGAAATGGCGTGATTACCACAAGCAGAGATGGATATCATCATACTATGGGTAGTAGAGGTTGGTGGCGAATCCGATAAGCACTAGCAGTGGGGGTTTAAACCGAGAGACGAGCAGGCGAAGAGATGGACGGGCTTCAAGTGACAACGGTAACTCTAGACTGAGCCAGATGCACGTTGTTCTTGCGAGGGAAAAGCTTCTCCAAGCACTTGCGACCCTTGTCGAGCAGACTCGACTTCTCGCTGGGTTTGGGTGATACCGTCACCCGTGGGGCCGCAGCTGACTTGGAGCTGCTGCGGGACGATCGGCGCGACGGTGGCGGCGGGAGGACTTCGTGATCAAGGAGCTCCTCGTCGCTGTCATCGTCCATGGCCATGCCCATGGAGCGGATGTGGACGCGAATGTCTCGCTTGACCATAGCCATGGACTTGGCGTGGATGTGGGCATGGCTGAGGCAGCGACGAAGATCGGGTTCCTTGGCACTGCTTTCCTGGTCATATTTCTCGCCGGAGAGCAGGCTGAGACGGAGGTGCAATGAGGTTCTTTCCAACGGAGAAGGTCGTCTAGTGCGAGGGGCGGGGGAAGGTGATCTGGAAAAGCGGGAGGAAGTGTAGGACATTGTATGGTCTAGCGTAGTTCTGTTGTGCCTCTCTGCTGCGTGTGCTAATGGAGGGGCAGATGCAGAGTCCCGCACCCGAAATGGGAGAGGGAAGGGCGAAAGAATCGAAAGGTCCGGAGAGAAGAAGGAGCTTTGGCTTTGGCTTGTCTGGATGTCAAAAGAATTCTCTCCGAGCTGGTCGGGGAAGGTCTATATACATTTTGACAGGGTGGAGGATGAGCAAGCTTGATAACCGCCAGGTCATGGGACAGGAAAACCTGGTGGGCGAACGCTCTAGAACTCGGTCTGCCAAAGCCAAATCGGCGTTGCGGTGGATCTCCCGGTGGAGACCGACTGTTCCAGCCCGCAATTCAGGCCGACAAACACAGCCCAATCGCGGGTCCCTCCTGGCGAACCTGCTCTTTTCTGCTGTTCCTGAGACGCGTCTGATGATGCAGTCAACTTGGAGCCAATGGGCTGCATGTGAACAATGCATCTGGACTCGAAACAATCATACTCACGTCAAATATTATACAATCTTGAAACAAAAATCAAAATTGTAAAAGGGACCGCATCAGCCATTGAATCATCACGAAGGAGCGCCAATGTTCCAGAAGCCCATCCAGACAGTCCGTGCACGGGCACGTGGGACTGATAAGCTCGCCGGCTTTTTCTTTTTGTTAGCTTTTTTTCTATTTTAGATTCTGTGTCCGTTTTGTTTTTGTTCGTGGTTTTTTTTCTATTCTCGGATACTTAGTGGAGATTTCTGTCACCGTCTCAGTTTCTCAACTCGCTTGTCACAGTCACACTCAGAGTCACATTCATCCATTCATTGATTGATTTTCATGGTTCCCTCCACTTTTCTCCCCCAGTCTGGATTGTCGAAGATCACTCTGGTGACACATCCAATTCGTACCACCACAGCCTCCAAGACATGCTCTGTACATAGAAACATCGTACGTACCCTGGTGGCGATCCCTCCCACCAGAGCCGGTGCTATCCGCAGATCCCATCACGTCTGTGGCAAATGCGACCGCCGGCTTATCTTGCGTGATAAGACGCTAACTAACGTGGGCGATCCTGTTGACCAGGAACTCCCGTCATAGGGCCCTGATAATCCTTGTCTCCTGTCTATCACGATCGATTTCATAGAACGGTCGCAGACCTGTCGCTTACCCTTTGGGTTGATTCTGATTATTAGCAATGTCAATGCTTCTGTGCTCTGCATATGCACTCCACTCTTTTACATCACATGAATGTCACCAATGAGGGATTTCCGTTGAGGGTTATCGCTGGACAGATATCCTGATTAAGGGGAAATGTCATCCAATTACTAGCTACCCACCATCTGCAATAGATGCTGTCGCGGGCAGAGGTCATAGCTCCAATTTTGGGCATTCATGACTTTCTTCAAAACTATAGCTAATATTTTCATGCAAGTTTCAGGCTAACACAACCCTCATTAATTCATCTCCGTGCACCACCACCACCACCTTGTCTTCAATTTCTGGTTTCTACAGCGGCACACAGTTCCCATCGCGGTCATTTTGTGCGCCAACGCGCCCGGACCATGGTCGCAAAAGGGGCGAAAAGTCAGTCAGCGCAACAAAGCCAGGGCCAACCAACCGAAAAAAAAAAAGGTGGTGGCTGGGAGGGGAAGAGGAGTGTCAAAGGCAATAGTGCGCGAAATTCCAAGAAATGTTTGTTTGGCATTTTCTGTTCTAGTCTTTAGCTCTCTTGCCCCCCTCTCTCTGTCCCTCTCTTTCTCACTCTAACTCTCTCCTATTCTTCCGCGCCCCTCCCCGGTCTAGCCAGGAGATTAAACTCTTAGGTTTTTGATCCCACAAAAATTTTCTCAGCGAGGTACTAGTCTCACCGTCTCACCATTGGCTCGTACACTATCTCCTATCCGGTGTCCTGGAAATGCGCCACTGCTGCCGTGGATGCTTACCAGTCGGACCCCTCGGGTACGAAAACTTTATCGGACGTACATACTGGATGAGGTGTATGTTTGCCATAACCACCCACTGCACAGGCACTTCATATTCATCAACACTCAAGCTCTTACGGTCCACTAACTGGTCTAGAACTTCCCTAGGATTGCTGATAAGCTTCTGTCTGCAGCAGTGTCTAAAGAAGTTCTTACAACGCTGATAGGCTTGCTGATAAGCTTCTGTCTGCAGCAGTGTCTAAAGAAGTTCTTACAACGCTGATAGGCTTGCTGGCCCCACGTGCCTAGACCAACCGCCGCGGAAGAGGTCAATCACCAAGCATACCCTCAATGAAATGGGCATGGCTTCGGGATTTGACCATGTCGCACAAATGGGAGGGTGACACGATCGGGGATTGACCGCCGAAATTAACGGTGTAGGCTACGACTCAGTCATATGGCGCAATATCTCCCAGGCTTCCAAGTGGATTCCCTGAAGGATTGCCGGCTAGTCTTTGATACAGGAAGATTTTGATCATCGCAAGCCTCCTAAAGGGGCCGATAGTCAATGAGCGCATTGGATCTCGGTCATCATTGCACTTGTGTGTCAGATTACCGACATATGTCGCCTAATTGTTGCGACGCTGCTGATTTCCTCCAGGAAACTAACCACAGTGGTATCCCTGCATGGATGCCAAAGTTCAATTGACTGTGGCGGGACTGATCCATGTGACCATCTATTGACCCCCTCCAGCAGTGGAGACTTTGGTAGTGTCTCGTCATCAAGGAGGGTAGCAACTTAAATAGACTGGCGGGTCTTGGAGATGATCCTCCCTAATATGCATGTTCATGCTGCCATCCCTGTTTTCCAACCTGCCTGGGCATCACCCAGACTTGCGGATCTTTTCCGGTCGCTGTCCTCGGCAATTAAATTTTGCTTCAATCCGATGATGCAATCTGTCGCTTGCGCGGCGTATTGGTGAGTATAGACCTTCTGCCATCTGGCAAGCTCGGCTCTTTTGTATGTAGTCATGCGCGGATGGCGCCCATTTCATGGCATTTACTGATAACACATGTCCTCAATTCTGACCTGGTGATATACGGCCGCTTGTCATCTAAACACTCACCAACAGGAATGGATTGGACGTAATTTCAATCTATTGAGACCCAGAGGCAACCATATTCAGGTATCGATCTGAGGTGATATCCACGGTGTAGCAGGAAAAAGGATGGTGAACGACATGCGCACGAAAACAAAGTACAGCTGATGATTTGACCTAGCTACAGATATTTTACGCAATATCACAGCTTAATTGATTTGTTTTTGTCCCCTTTTTTTTTCCATAAGAAGAACAGAGTACCGTGTAGAGCAAAATTAGGGACGGCGCGACTGCGGTTGTGCGTTTCGTCTAATGGGTTTTTTACTAGGTGCAGTCCCCGGTCCCGATCGGCCTATAACTAAACGGCTCGGCAGCAGCCGTCCGACAAACTAGCCGTCTCTCTCTCTCCGTCCCCACCTCTCATCTTTCCCATTCTGCATTCTTCTGGCTGGATTCATACCACGGTCGCTAAGCTATGTGGGGCCTGATCAAAGAATACTATGATGATACAACGGTGCTTAAATTCTCAGAGACAGATCGTCCATCGGCACGCTCAGAATGTTTTATCGCTCACTCTGGTCTACAAAGAAGTGAGGTCATCTCCTGGCCTCCCCTGCAAGGCGAATAAAGATGACAGGTTTTGCTCTCTGAAATTAATCAGGTGGGCAGCCAACCAGTTGGCATTGATCGAACATCTATCTGTGCTAATAGGCTACGTTATAATTCATCGATGGTCGCAATGCAAAGCTCGATTGAGAAAGTTACACAGCAGAGTAGTTTTACGGTTCACTTGGACGCAAGATTCGGCCACGTACAGAGTCATGTGAGCGGAGAAGGTTCACAAAGTTCAACTGGAGAGACCACTCAAGGCTCCAGCTTGAAAGATCCAGCCTTTCCTGTGTTCGGAGCAAAGATGGCTATTATCCAGAAAAGGACGGGCTTCAAGAGATTGAACTGGAGGTAAATGATCGGTTGCTTCGCCGGCTTTGCCGTGATTTTCTTGAGGGATTTGTAAGGCTTTAGGCTGAGCTCATGCTGGCCTCTGTCTGGTCTGGTAAACTGATTTCGAGCCTCATAGTGCTTATTGTCGGACAATAAACCTACAATAGTCTTTGTACTGGCCCAGTCCAGCAACAACACCTGGCCAGATCATGCAGCGTTCGCATTGCTGCGGGCAATGCCCACACCTTCCCGACCGAGCATTCTCTTCCACCTACAACTAGTACCATCTACGTCTTCCTTGTTCTCCCGTTTACTCTGGAAAAATTCTTCTCAGCAATAATCAACCAACAATCACCTAAGTAAAACAACAGACGAATTCGCTGCTTCTCTTGCTTTTGCATCAACTAGACGAACACCCCAGTCCGAGATGGCCATAGCAATAGCTTAACTGCTTCGTCACGCTGCTTCATCAGCTGCCAAGTAGCAGCCAATAAGAGGCCTATTCTCGGCGTTGAGCTACAATGATCTTCTTTGCATCTTCCGGACCCTCTTTACGAGGCCAACAACGAAGCAATGTGCGATCCTCTTCTTTTGATCACTGACAACACCTTGGTCAGTCCCAAGGCCAATAGGCGACTTCTGATGCTCATAACAGCAAGCTCTATTAACAGCATGATCACTATTACAATATGGTGCTGTGGTACTCGGTATTCCATCTTTGCTCCTCGACAATCTTCGCTCAAGGTGTTGACCATGGCTGTCCCCTCAGATAACGATGACTCCTCCATCACGCCCCCTGTCCGCAGATCACATAGCTGGACCAAATACTGTAGAAATAGTAAAACACTCCGCTGCTCAGGATTCTCCTTCTCCTCCCCCTCCTGCACCCGATGGAGGCATCGTTGCTTGGGTACAAGTAGCTGGTGCTTTCTTCCTTTTCTTCAACTCCTGGTCGGTCTTGCTGGATCATCCCTGTGCGGTCCCGTTTACTGACCCCGAGAACTACAGGGGCATAATCAATACATTCGGCGTTTATCAGAGCTACTATGAAACCAGACTCCTCAAAGGTTACTCCCCATCCTCTATAGCCTGGATCGGAACAGTCCAAAGTTTCCTCTTACTTTCACTGGGACCTGTCGTTGGTCCAATTTATGATAGAGGATGGATCAAGTCCTTGATAATAGCAGGCACGTTCCTGGTCGTGTTTGGACTGATGATGACCTCGTTATCCAAGGAGTACTACCAATTTTTTCTGGCTCATGGCGTCGCGGTGGGCGTTGGTTCCGGCCTTCTCTTCATCCCTAGCCTTGCCATACCCGTCACATACTTTACCTCCCGACGAGCCTTTGCCGTTGGAACTGTTGCATCAGGGGGCAGCGTCGGTAAGTCCTGATTTAAACGATTTCATTGAATTATACTAACTTGGAATTCACACGCTAGGCGCTGTAATCTATCCCATCGTGTTTCACAAACTAATCGACCGCGTCGGATTTGGCTGGACAACCCGTATATTTGCTTTTATTGCTTTAGCCGGCCTCCTCTTCTCCATAGCGGTGATGAAATCACGCCTTCCTCCTCTTGAAAAGACTCGGCGGCTCCTTGATCTCACGGCCTTCCGTGAAGTTCCTTTCGTTATCTACTGCCTCGCGCTTTTCTTCGACCTTGTGGGCCTCTACTTCCCCTACTTCTATCTCCCGACCTATTTCACCATTTATCTCCACGCAGGCGATAACATATCGTTCTACGTCCTTTCCATTCTCAGCGCCTCTTCTTTCTTCGGTCGGATTGCACCCAACATGCTCGCTGATCGTCTGGGATCACTGAATGTCATGATTATCGTGAGTCTTATGGTCACTATCCTCGCATTCGCATGGATGGGCATACACAATAACGCTGGCGCCATCGTCTTTGCTGTTTTCTATGGCTTCCCATCCGGAACGATTGTCGCCCTGATGTCTCCGGTTCTGGCGGGATTGTGTCCGGACTTGGCTATCATGGGGACGTGGTTAGGCATGGCTTTTGTGTTTTCGGGGCTTGGCATTCTCATTGGCAATCCTATTGCGGGAGCGTTGTTGGATCTGGAACATGCCGTTTTCTGGAAGGGGCAGCTGTTTGCGGCTGTTACGGTAGGAGCTGGGATGGTATTGTTTGTGGCGTTGAGGTTGTGGCAGTGGAAGGACGGAAAAGGGTGGAAGGTCTGACCGGAACCCAATGAGTGTTCAATTTGCGGTTCACATGAGAACGATCGATAACACAACAAGGTACGGAGTGCTAAATGCTAAATTGCTCTATTATATACTACGTACATGCATCTGAACTCAAAGCCACTGGCATCAATGAAAAATACGGAACCTGCAATTACATAACATCAAAAACCGACTCAAAATCATCTCTCTGGTCTCTCGCATCTTCAGCCTCACCCCACATCAAGTCCCATCCCCTTGCCAATACTTCCTTTGCACCGGTGCGCTCCAACCGGGCCGCATCCCACATAACATACCCCCACATCTGGAATACATCAGGTATATAGCTTCCTAACATATTGCTATATGTTCCTTTCCACAAAAGCGTCCATGCTAATGGCGGGTACGCTCCGTCTGAGTAGTCGTCCACCCTATCACCCCGGAAAGGCAACGGCTCTCTTCGCTCCTCCGTCTTATCTCGCTCAGAAGGTGCCCTAACTCGACGTCCACTTTGCGCCGCCCAGTTGAACGCGCCGTGAACATCTCCTTGAAGGAAATGCTCGAGCCAAATAACCAAGGTCTGCTCCATTATGTTGACTAATTCCGAGTGCTCCTGAACCTTGAAGAAGATAGTCTGCAACCGCTCGAGGCCTTGTGTCATAGTCCCGATCAAATAAGCATGGCTGTGCTCTTTATTCGCGGGCATTCTGCCAGTTAGCTAGGATCATACAGCAGAAGAACGTGAAAGCTGCATATTTAGAGCTTAACTGACGTGGTATATCCACCGCCCCATCCGGAGTAGGCGGTCTTTCCTGGTCATCAAACCGAGGATTCCTCTCACTGAAATCCCAGGTCACAGCATCATGGATTTCACGACATTTTGTTTCCGCAAAGACATAGATGCAGTTGATCTCCTCCAGTTCCCAGGGCTCCCATAAGTCTTCCAGCAACTTTAGAATATCGCTATCACTGAGTTAAAACTCTATCCTGAAAAGATCAAGCTCGTCCTTGTTAGGTCCCACGCCGAATACGTTGCTGCATAATTGAAAGCGATACAGAGCGCGGATTATTCTGTGTTCTTCTGATTCACTCAATGCCTCGTCAATCTTCGTATGTGTTGCTTCCGGCTCTTTAGCTAGATTGCCTAACGCCCACGCAAAATAGTGCCGTGCGAAAGGTTTCAAGACCGAGAGATAAAAGGTTACCATATTTATGGCATCATTCAATGTGAGTCCTGCCGTTAGATCTGAGTGACAGCGCCTTTCCGTGAGAGACCCAAAATACTCAAGGATTCGATCGTGGTTGCGTGTCTGCGAGAAGCTCACTGAGCTGGTCTCCTGGACAATACAAGCTTCGAAGAAAATGCTGCCCAGTGTGGTCGATAGGCTGTTGAGGAGAAGGCGCTTGCGATTTAGAAGATACTGGTCGTGATAAACGGGTGATGCTTGAACTAGTGATCTAAGTCCTTCAACATTGAGTAGAAGGAGAATTTGAATTCTAATTTCAGCTGGCAGGGTTTCAAGATGCATATGTGAGTACGAACGGACTAAGTTGTTCATCGTGAAAATTTCAAGAAATTGATCGGCCAATATTGAAGTCATGAGAGGACTGATGATGCAAGGGCTGAAAGAGGCAAAGGAGGTCTTTGAGAAACAGAAGGAAGTTCTAGTATCTAGTATGATTTCTGAGAAGACGTTCGAAGGCGAGGAGATCCTCGAGTCCGTGACAAGCAGCCTGATCTTCTTTTGCCTGGTGTTTCACTAAGCGCCAGGAACAGCTGCAAACACTCTTTCACCACTCCACCATGGGGGGCTGGATTTGCTGATGACTAAAATAGAAAATCTAGTGGGTAACTTGCCTAAAACACTATCTGTTGAGGTTAAAGGCGGCACCAAGTGTTATGGACTGTAGTCCAATCATTAATGTTCGTATGTCTGGAGTGACTGCTATGCGCCGTCGCAGGGGAATGCATGCTACAGATATCTACAGATACACACTAACTGCTACCCCGCGTTATGCTCCTAAACGCGTGTACCAAAAAGAAAACCTCAATACTGGGTCTCGAGCATTCAGTGGTACCAAAGCCTCAATTATTGAGGGTATCCGGTAGTCCTTCGTGACTCGTAAATTTGAGCCGAACACATTACGGATGAGTTGAGCGAGGAAGCAGTATCGAAGAAGTTCACTGACTTGCAATTACATAACATCATAAAACCGTAATAGATCCAGCCACTCGTCTACTCCGACTTCAGGCTCTGGCGCAACTCCTCGCGCTGGACGGCTCCAAAGCGCAGGTTACCGACATCAAAGATCTGCAATCCAGTTAGTAAGCTTCAACATCACCTTCAGGAGCAAACGGGTCCACTTACAGCGTAAATGCTCTTCAAAAAGGTATCTCCCAGAATATCCATGGTCATATCACCACGACTCTGGATTCCTCCATATACATAGCCTGTCTTCGCCTCCGAAAAGGCCAGGTCTTCCTTTTGCACCACAAATTGCTTCTCGCCCACGGCGAAGGACACAGTGGGTAGCTTATCCTGCGCCGTATCGGTCGGATAGATCCAGCCTTGGACTTCCTGATCGTAATACGCGCCGTCAATTGCGCTATAGATTGCCTCACATGTGTCATCGTCCACCAACGCCAGCGTGGTACCAGTATCAGCAATAGCGGTGTTACCCGACCGGTTGATAGTCTTTCCATTGACCGTTGCCGAGGTCGAGTTGAAGAGCCAGAAGCCTTGGCTGTTATCGACGGGGGTGTAGTAGACCTCTTCGCCTGCCGTCTTCACCAGATCCTGATCAATGAAGCCAAAGGTGTAGAATGACTCGTCATCAGTGTCCCTCCAGGTATCCAGCTTAGCCGTAAACAGCTCAGCGGACTTTGGAATGTCGTCCTGCAGGATCATGTTCTCGACGGGCGTTTTCACAGACTTTGGCTGCACAGTGTTGATGTTGCTGAATGCTAGACCGAGCAATCCGTCCCCTTCACCTTGGGCGAATGTGCTGGACATCTTCTCCGCCAGCTCGACGGCTTGGTTCTTGACTACTACGCCGCCAATGTTGACGTCGTCGGTGCCGACACTCCCTGATGCGGAGGATCCATCTCCATAGGAGATTTGCCAAGATTCACCTTCCAGGGTCTTGAAGGTGCTCGATTTGGACGAGTCGAAGATGGCATGGGTCTTGTTCTCGGATAGCAGGGTTGAGGGGAGTTTGTTGGACCAGACCTACATCTGTCAGTACAATGATTCTCATGTAGATGTTTCATAATGGAGGTATACCCAAAGATCAGCGGAACCAGTGTCAAAGTCCAACTTCAGGTTCTGCGCCGGAGTTCCGATACCCACGGTCGCCAGGTACATGGAGTCGTTCTGCACATCTTCGGCCGGGACCTCGCCAACCTCATCGCTGGTGCTGCTCTTCTTCCGCACCAGCTGACGAATATGAGCCCGACCCCCGATGGGCTTGTCAGTGTACGGACGGCCGGTCTGTTGGATGGAGCTGCTGAGGGTGTAGGGACCAGGCTTGGTGGGATGAAAGCGGTACTTGCGGATCAAGTGCACGTAGGACTTGGTGCCTGAACGCTTGTAGTTGAGGTTGGGGATGAGCTTGATTTTGGTAGCCATGATGGAGGATGATCAATTAGACCGAAGGGCAATTGTTATGGGACAAAGTGAGTATGAGATGGAGAGAAAAATGACGAGAGAGAAAGAGAAAGCAGCGGCCTTTTAAACCACCTACCCGGCCAGCAGCTAACTAACTAACTACTAGCTGGCTAGTGAAGTAGTAAGTGACCCAATATTGAGACGTCATTCTCTCCCCTCCCGTCCAGCGTAGCGACATGCATCCACTGACAGTCCAGTCTCGGCAGCCGACCCTTTCAGCCGGCCCTGGAATGTCGCCCCCAGTCGGGTGATGCAGATTGATTGAATGATTGGTTTCAGCTGATCGCGAGATCGGCGCCGATGACGCGATAAGCCCATGACTTATCTTATCGTGGAGGCCCAGAACCGGGACATTCGTCGCACTATTCAGGCCGAGGTGTGTTAGGTCCAGTTAGTGGCGTGGTGCGACGGGCCTGTCATCTTGTCCCGTTGGTCTTTCAAGCTCCGGTGATCGTCAAGCTTGGCGTCTCCTCCCCGAATTGCTTCAGGTCAGCCACTATCAGTGACCCCCGTGTTATTGGTGGGATTGCTTATCATCATTACGCAGCGTCTTCTTCATGATGTGATGTGATTTATTTTGTTAGTTTCGTTTTATTATTTGTGTCGTGTGTGTCGCCGCCACTTTCTCTCTCTCTTCTCCCTTCCCCATGATGGATGGCACTGAGATTCTGTGCCCTTATTTTGCTTCTCCTCCCGGGCGGCCCGACCCTAACCGGGTGGCTCTGTCTCCATCTTCTGTTTTTTAATAGCATATTCTTACACAACCCCTGAGGAACAAAGAGATGGCGACACTGTATGATTGAGGGATTTCTAGTCACTTGGTATATCTACACCGATGTCATGTTCTACGTGCAGCTAGTTTCGACCTCCCCTATGCAGACTCCAGAAGTTGCAGGATGCGGAGTAGCAGGCCTCGGAAATGCCTCATGGCTTATGGCTCACAACAATTCAAAGCATCAATGGATTCTTTATGAGACCGGTCTATATGAATGATGTCATCAAGTCAGACAATGAGAGGATATAGCTGTGATATGGTTACGATGCAAAGATGCCTATGTAACTAGTCATGATTGCACGCAAACCATGGCCGGAATCACCTCATGGCGTTTACTCTTGATCTCTCCGGTGCGGTAAGCAGTCTAGTAATTCTGCCACGTCCAGAAAGGATGATCATGGATATGATCACTGTGCGACCAAATGGGTTACTGTTATACCCCAAAAATCTGCTCAGAAGAAAGCAGTCAATGAATCTACGATGGCTCAATCTATACCATTGTCATTTACTTTTTCTTACATGATACACGTCCTCAATGAGGGCGCAGAGGGGTAAGAACTTTAATCATGTAAGAACCTTACTACTTAGTGATCAGACCAGCTGACCGCTCATCGAAACGGAGATGACATGTCCCTCGACGTCTTCCTCTTCTGAAGCTAGACCATGCAAGATATCGCACATGGTGGAGTACCACGGGTCTTAGCAGCCTATATTCCTCTCTTCTCTGTTTCCTTCCTTTCTCTCTCTACCGAGGCAACCTCAAACACAATCCATGCCACATTAGTGGCTAGGTATTCGTTCCAAGTCATTTCCAAGAACAACACGACCTTTGAGGATGGTTAGGAATAATGATAGATCCATTAAGGTGAGGGATCGATGAATTCAAATGCTAAAGGGACGACCTTCTGCCCTATTAAGTTTTATTGATTGCATTGGTATATCGCGATAACAATTACGCATACTAGAGACCCCACGAAGCATTCCACGATCTACTGCCAACCTCTAGAACCACAGAAAAAGAGAAGAAATAAAGCTCATCTTAGCTTCGCCACAAGGCTACTAAACTCCAGCACCACGATGAGGTATGAGCTTTATCACTGGAGACCTGTCAATCTGTTCTGGCAGGGAACAGGTATCCGCATCCACTTACAGCCTATGCAACACTGGCCCAAGTTTCTTCTGCTGGGATTTTAGAGGGATTAGGCAGATGGGGGTGTCCCTTCTACTATTGAGAAGAAGTCTGGGTTAGCTAGTGCCAATGATTCCGGTTACAAGAAGACTTACCTCCGATCTTCAGACGGATCTATTCTTTAATGCCTGACCACTAGACAAAGCAGCTACTCCGAGCGCAATCGACAAGGTGCCGAACTGCAACACCGGAAGCTGAACTGTCCTCCTGCTGCTTCCAGATGGCTCAACCGCGACCATCTCGATATCGACAAGGTCATCGTCAACCGAGGCATCGTCCGCATCTTCCGCCGGTTGAGCTATCTTCCAGCAACCCCTGTCCGGTTGCCTGCTGATGCATTGGTTCTCCCAGCGGACACAATCGCAGGACGAAGATTCGAGCATCCCTTCCAGCTAATCCTCGCCGAATGGCTCAACCGCGACCATCTCGATATCGAGATGGTCGTTTTCACCCGACGCATCGGCCGCATCAAACTACCCCCAGCATCCCCGTTGCATTTTCTACCGAGGCTTTATCCCTTTCAGCGGCCACACGCACAGGACGAGAGTTCGAGCCTCCAAGTACGGGCGTATTGTATCATACCTGGCACCACCACCACCACCGCCATTGCGGCGTCGCTGGTGACGCGTTATCATCAAACCCTTTGTGCCACTAGCTCCCGCAGCAGGAAGATGAACGATCAAAACCTGTATTTGGAGCAGCAGCCCTGCATCTGTCTTTTTCCTTTGGCTGAAACATCGCCTGCATCTTCCGGTGGTTGAGCTATTCGCTATCATTCCCACTTGCTTTCCGATTGCCTGCCGAGGTAAATATGTAACTTATTCTTGCAATCAGCAGCCACATACAGGGGATGGATGCTCGAGCCTCGAGGTGTGGGTTTGTTAACGTCAGAGTTGGTGCTTCCAGAAAGGGAGGTGATTACCATGTCGTTGACGGTGCGACATAGGGCAATACCTGCTCGATTAGGACTCTAACTATGTCTTTATCGATAAGGGAGCGTTGTTCGAGCTTGCAGCGTGGATAGAAGATCGAGCCTGCGATGGAAGAAGGCTTGGTGTTTGGGTTCACGAGGAGGACTTGTCGTGACCTTGGATTATTACAGAGGGTTCGATGCCATTGGGTCTTTTATCAATATGTATGGAATCTTCCTGAATAAGTTATCCGTGGCCATTGGGGGTGGATAATGTCTTTATGTTTTGAGAATATATATAATTACTAGTAGGAATTATAGGAAGTAGCCATCCCTCCTTCAGATATATATATATATATATTCAAGATTTTCCTGGGAAAGAAGGAAAAGAAAGAGCAAAAGAAAAGCAAGAAGCAGCTTTATATAGACGATCCAAAGAGCCAGACAAGTGAAACAGCCTATCTACATTGAATTCCCCATATTCCCATGAGGGCATAATTCAACCTATCTAAGCCACGTTTCCTACCTGGATAAACTACCTATAGTCTCCGTGACTGCTACTTGAGGGTGAAAGTGAGGAGGTTAGTGCGGTGAAAAGGCCATATGGTGAAGTTGTAAGGGTGAAGAATCAATCATTCACAGAAGTGTACTAGATGACTATGTACGGAACCCGACTTCTATAGTGCCTTGTAGAATGGAACAAAATGAATTGAGCAGGACAAACTGCGGTAAAGATTGCTCTCGGGTAGTTAAAACAGACGGACGGCTAGGGAGAAAAAAATAAAATAAACAAAAAATGGAGCTGCGGGGAATCGAACCCCGGACCTCTCCCATGCTAAGGGAATATTATACCACTAAACCACAGCCCCATTTGATGAAAGATGACTAGATCTTGTGGTCCATCAAGGGAGCATAGGGCTCCAGCACGTTGCGTGGGCTTACGAGCTCAGACGCTACTTGAGGGTATGGTCGGAGGTACTCCGCACTTCACCCACGAAGAATGTCAAACAACCTACAATCATATCAAGTGGATAATACAGTGAAGTACCATTTAATAAAACCTATTGAGTTGGAAAGTAGGAGAAACATCAATAAGATCACTCATATTCCATTACATTCCGTCCTGCACAGCAGACTCTAGTACTAGTACTATATATTAAGTTGAAGTAAATAAAAACCAGATAAACTTTTGTTCCCGTGCACAGTATTCTCATACCGCCCACATCTAGACAATCGCATGTCCCGTCTGCTGGGCGCGACGGCCCGTTCCAATTCCATCCACTCCGCCCTCCTGGTCCTTTCCTAGCCACGGCTTCTTCGCCTCACCCATCTCGCCCTCCATGATGAAGTACACAAACAGGCCAATGACAATTAGCACGAAGGCAATGGGATACAGGAATTGGACGGAGTAATGGAACACCTGGATACCGATGATCAAACCCCAGAAGTTCATCGTCAGCAAGGAGATGTTGAAGAACATGGCTGATGACACACGCAGCATGATGGGCGCCAGCGTGTAAAAGATGAACAGCACTATGGTGTAACCGGCAATGTACCCGCCCACCTTGTTGTTCCAGGTGGCGCCGTGGAAGGAGCCCCGGTCGAAGATGGCGCACTGAACGCCGTTAATGAACATACCCCAGAAGCCCATCTGACCAATGACCTCGTACATGGGCCGCTTGGAAACCATGAACTCTTCAAACAGGTTGCTAAAGGCGTAGATGGTGCAGGCCAGAAGGGCAAACAGGTCACCCTTCACTTGATCTTCGGCGGGGTAGTTGGCACCGCGCAGGTAATCGGATGCGATGAGCATGCCGAGACCACCGCAGGCGAGGAAGATACCAAGGTATTGGGTGATGTGGTAGCGGACGCGCAGGAAGACGAAGGAGATGATGGCGACACAGATGATGGTCCAGAAGCTGAAAAGCTCGGCACTGAGCAGCGAGGTATAGCGGTAGGCGAGCACCATGAAGTAGTTGCCTTCGACATCCAGGAATGAAAGAATGAAATACCGCCAGCAGTCGCGATAGAGCATTCGAAACCATTTCTTAAAGCCGTACTTGTAGATGGTAATGCTGGTGTAGACGAGGTTGAGCAGGATATAGTTCCAGAGGGTCTGGAAGGCAGGGATACTGTTGCCAGCGTTGGAGAGGAGGGACGAAAAGGTCGAGGAGCTGATATCGGCCAGCGCGATGATTTGACTGTTCTGGATTAGTATTTGGCCGCTCTTTGAAGTGGTTTTTGACAAGATATGCACTCACCCTAGAAGCAAAACCAACCAGAAATCGCGGGTCTTCATGTAGGCAAACAGCCTGGCCGCGCGACTTTGGGTTGGCTGCTGCTCCTGCTGGGCTTCCTGATCTTGCGATTGACCGGTCTGCTCCGATGACTCGGTCACAGTATGCACCTGCTCAGTCTTTTCCGTGGAATATTGGGGTTGAGGCTGCACGTCGGCCACAGCCGCGGACTTTTCATTATCGGCAGACATGGCGGGGAAGCTGCAGAATGCGACGAGGCGCACGGGAACTCAAACAGAAACAGGAAATGCGAAATGCGAAAAAGGGTATTCAATGGAGCTTTTCGCCAGCAAATGTGAACGCAAAGCTCCGAAGTCGTTCACTGCCAGGACCAAGGGGCGCAAAGAAGAAAAAAAAGAGAAAAGAAAGCAAAAACGGGACGCTGGGATGAGCGGAGATTTAAAGCAGGCCGACGAGGCCAGACCGCGAGGGCGAAACTAAAAAGCAACTAAAGCAAAAAACTTCAGATTTCCTTATCGCGGAGTGGGCCGCCGCAGCGAATGGCAGGCCAGGTGGGGAGATTTCTATAATGTAAGTAGAATGCAGTAACTAGTGTCTTTCCATGATGACACTCAGGATGGGAACCACCATACAATGGCTGGTGGACTTAAGATCCAGCAGACGGTGTACTACTAATACTGTCCCTGTATGAGATGGTAGTAGTCAGCACTTGTCGAATATCATAATCACAGCATTGCAGAAGGAGAAGTGGAGGGAAATAGCAGTTGTAAAAGAGAACTTGGAAAAGTGAGGGGAGCTGCAGACGGAAGGCGCCCGAACCCGTCTCGGCGCACGGTCTTCGCTTCTGCCCAGTTCGAGTGGAGAAAAGGCCGCCCGTTTGCATCCAGCCACAACCAACCAATCCGCTTGTTTTCTCCTTCGCTTACCTGTGCCTTGTTTTTATCGTATCCATTGATTGTTAGGTTCAATGTGTCGTTAGGAGGCCATGACAGGAAGTAAGCATAAAGTGATCCGGAAGTACACGTTCAGGGATTGGGTGCTTCTTTCTCTTCGTTGGCGGTGTTCAAATGCCCTCCCCGACCGACCGCTACATAGCAGTCAGTCACACATAGAGACACACAGTCGTCCTGTGCCACTCCTTCCTGGCTAGCACTTATAGTAAGTAGTACTAAGGTATTATGTGTATCGCCACGTGTGGTGGCGTTGCCTTTCATTGGACAATGCCCTATATACAGGCAGGCATATAACATGGATCTATCATCGCTTCATCACTAAGTTTTCCCTATCGTGAATCAGAATACTGCAATACATGACATCACACCTGCAGATAATTTTCGACTTGCCGCCCATGCAAGCACCAGTCAACGCTAGTTCGCAGCCAGGACAGCCACCGCCCATGCCGGCAAACTAAAGGTAAAGGTACCATTGCTCGCCTGCACCGTCGATTCGCTCGGCGTGACCAGCGTCTGGGTGTCAGAGTTGTACGCGTCGGGGTCATTGTCCGCCAGAACCGTCAACTTGCCTGTGCTCGTTCCTGGGATGCTCACGGTAAGGTCTTGCGTCTCCGAGCCGTAGTTGGCCAGCTTCACGTAGTACGAGTCGCCGGCGCTCGACGCAACCCAGTACAACGGTCCAAAGTCGCTGTCAGAGGTCACCTCCTTGATGGTATCACCACGGTTGCGCGAGAACATTTCCTGCACGTAGTAGCTGGTCGAGAGGAAAATGTCATCGGGTGACTGTGTGTATCCGATCAGGTCCGGCTACCACTCGTTAGCTCATCTATGCCGTCGAATACCGCTGCCCAACAATGACTCACCGTCCACTGAGTCGAGTTCACTAGCTGGAGCAATGGCGCATACGCCGCCATCTTGACCACATCGCTGTTCCTCTCGAACCCGATCATGAAAACGGCCTCGGAAACCGACCCCTTCATGTTGGGCCAGTCGATCTCCCAGCGCGAATACTCGCCGATGAAGTATGGCACAGAGCGGTCCAGGTTGTCGAAATAGTTGAACTGGCCCACCAGTCCATCGGGCGTGCTGTAGTCGTGGTAGTCGACCCAGCTACCCTCGGGCATCGACTCGGGCAAGCAATCCGCCTCGCTTGTGCTAGCAATAAGGATGAGATCCGGGTAAGCCGCATGGATTGCATCATAGAAGGCAGTAAAACGCTCGGCGTAGGACTCGCATCCGCCTCCCAGCATATCTTCATTGCCAATCTCGACCATGGTAAGGTTCCACGGCTCCTCTTGTCCATTGGCAGCGCGCCATGCTCCGTAGGTCGTGCTCGTATCGCCCAAGATGTACTACCGTAGGGTTAGCTCCGGCCACCGCTCATACATCGAGCTCAACATACCTCGAGTTCGTTCAAGACATCATCAATATAAGGGGTCAGTGCATCGCCCGTAATCGGGGTGTTGCCACCTGACTCCAGAGCGAACCCATCCCAGACTCCGAGCACCGGCACGAGTCCCAAATCCTCACACCAGTAAAAGTATTCGTGGAGGCCTATAAGAGTTAGTACAGCAGTTAGGTTCTTGCATGTATTTGTACGTACCAAGTCCATCGGTGTTATAGTAAGTCCAAGTGCCTATTCAACGTCAGGAATGAATGCTTCGCTCCTGATGTCAAGACATACCTTCGCGGCCGGGACGATCCCAGAGATCACCGATTGTCTCGTTCCACTTCCAGCGGTTTTCTGCGCTGTTTCCCTCACTGTCTCTGGTGAGCTTCGATATCCCTTGCCGGACGAGCTAGGACTTACAGGTTGTTGCCGCCGGGGAATCTCAGGAAAGATCCCTTCATATCAGCTAGCACATTGGCAAGCTGGGGCTTCAGGCCATTTTCCCTACACAATCAGCCCCTATGTCACTCTTCAGGATATAGACATGCAAACCTTGATTTATAAGTCTCGCCAAAAAGCGTCAGGTATCCGAAGTTCAAAGACGAACCAGCAGCCA